GCATCTTCTCTTGCGACCTCCAAAGCTCTCCCTCAGTCCGATGATCCGTTTCATTGGCGGACGAACTCAACTGAGACTCCTCTCGATTTCACCAAAAACGATCTCCTTCTTGGATCCCAGGATGCATTCTTCTGGTTCCTTGTCCCGGTCTTCGGTGTTATAAGCGTCGGTGTTTGTGTTTTGGTCAATTACGCTGCCCTTCTTCTCGTCAACATTTTCTCCTTGATTTACGGGGCTGTGCACAGCAAGTCGGGCTATATACGGCGCGAGGACCGAGGGAATCTTCCCATCTTCAACTGCCCCACCCCCCGACGACGAGTGATTCACACCGCAGTCCTACTCCTTCTCGTCTCGACCATCATCCCCTATCAATTCGCTTATATGGTCGCCTGCATAGTGCAGCTGGCAACGACTGTGCGGGCCCAGTGGCACGCCAAGGAAACCAGGACCACCTCTCACATTAACTTTGACAACTACGCCCACTCAATTCTGATCCTCATGCTCTGGATTCTTCCGATAAATGTCCTGGTTCTCCTAGTATGGGCGCATAACCTCGTGGTTCATTGGTTTATGCCATTCTCCTCCCACCATAATGTGCTCTCTATCATGCCATTCCTCCTCCTCGTCGAGACAATGACTAGCGGTGCGATGATCCCGCGCATCACAACTCGGTATGCAAAATCTCCCACTCTACCAATCATTCACCAGTACTAGTGCTAACTCCAGCAGCTTCAAACACGTCACCTCGACGATCTTCTTCGCCATCGCAATGTACTCCGCTGTCTACGGCGTGACTTATGCCTATCTCCTACATCACCTAGCAAACCTGCTTGCAGCGTGGTTTGTCGGTATTTACTTAGTCGGCAACAATTTCTCTCCGCGCCGGTTATGGCGCATAATCGACGGTGATGAACCCCCCCTCTGAACCGGGCAGTTCACGCCATGTGAAGAAGAAGCCATGATAGCCATTCTGGCCACATTGAACCCTTTTTTCGGATATCGAAAAATCGAATAATCCTTTCCATTGTTTCTTTTCATTTTCTTTCCTGCTCTGTTGCGCATGGGAATGGAGTTTGAGCGTTTTTTTTCTGGTTTTGGCCCATTGTACAGTGGGAATGAAGGTCCATCACGGCTAGCATGGCGGGCTCTCGAACCACACCACATCACATCACACCACGCACACCATCTAATATCTCCCATCCGACCTACCTGCGCGAAGAAAGGAAAAGACTTTCCGACACCGCCACTCTCCGATATTTCGTGGCTCGGTCCCGTTCCGCTCGATTTAGAGGTACTGCCTGTATATACCTCCTTGTTTTTGACGGTTGTGTTATTTTACGGATGCTGTCCTGGTTTTAAATAGACATTTTTTATGGGTGGTGGCGCTATAGAACCGTTTACAATGAGTATTTATTTTTCCCCTTCATCCACCTAGTTACTATAAACCTGTATCAATTCAAAATTACTGGCAACAGATTCACCTGTTAATCTAGGACGGTATTTTCCATTTGTCGTCTACAATCCCTTTGTCCACAAACAAACACCTGCCTGGGTGGCTAACAGTGACGGCCAGGCAGTAGTTACCTAGTACTAGTAGTATTTATACCTGATAGCACCACCTCCACTGGCAGTCCTCTCTTTTATACTTACTCCTTGCCCAGTTGGAAATCAATTCCGCGAGAATGAATTCTGAATTCACCCAACGACAACTTCGCAAATCTCCTACAATTTCCTCGAACCTCACATTTCAATTACTAGCATTCGGCCTTGTGCTGACTCAATTTTCTTTCTTCTTACACTTTATCATCATTATCCCTCTCATCACAGTCTATCTTTTCCTACCCCTGATCCTCATGTACTACAAGTTCTTCGCACCCAACAAGCTGAATAATCCAAGTCCCTCAATCAACCGCCGCGCCATTGACGGATTTTAGGATACGAATTAATACTACACTGCAGAGACCCAACCTTAGGAATTGGGAATATGAAGGCACCAGACACTGAGGTACCGGGTTTCCTCCTCTGTTCAACTTGAACCTCTCTTCCTATTCATTCGGCACGTGTTGTTGCGATGGGATACTTGGGAAATAAATTTGACTAAGACTGTGCTTATCGTCTGTGTTTTGCAATCAAGCTCACCGACCTTAAGGTAGTGTAGATAGTTCCATCAATAGCTTAGACGAGATAATAATCATGATCTGGTCCATTCTGCAAGGTATTCAGTGCAAGACTTGGTGCTTATATAGAATTTTGTAGAAGATATTTGCAATCACGGAGTAAATAATCCGTAGGGTAAGTGCTGGTAGTACTAGTAATATCCACCCAATCCTGCCAACACACCTGTCATGTCGTACTGGTACCTGTTCGCTAAGCCACGCATGTTAGGTACATACATATGTACTGTACTCCGTACATCCATGCACACCACCAGCCATCAGCTCAGGCGCCCGCTCGCAGATCCCGAATTTGAATCAGCAAGGTTCCCCCTTTTCAGCAGCGGAGATAGGGTTCACGGACAGACCGAATGTATCAGGACAAGGGCCTGAGCGAGGCGAGGCGAGGCGAGGCAGATCGAAACTTGAAGGGGGGGGCCCTGACAAAAGAAATATTTTTGAAAAGGGGCTGGCTCGGGCTGGCGGTGATGGACAGGGACAGGGACAGGGAAAGGAAGGTCAGCGTTACACGGACTACGAGTTCTTTCAGCCTCGAGCAGCAGGAGAGTCTAAAGTGCCTGAACCCTAGTACATATTACTCCGTACTCTAATAATACAGACAGGGTACTCTGTACTCTGTGCATATTTGAGTGAGATATGTATATGTATATGAATTCATTTTCTACGTGGATCCATATCCATCTACCCCGGATTCCACGCATGAAAGGGGGAGGACTCCGATCTGGGTGGGCCCGGACTCGCGACTAGTCACGCAAGGGAATGATTTTTTTCCCTCCCAACCCGGTGAAGGGGGAACCGACCATGCCATATTTAGAAGGGCAGAAGAAAGAAAGGGGGGCGCGATAAGGCCGCCCCATCGAAGAAACTACTGGGGCGATTTCTGGGGCGCATTTGATGCCAGCACGGATCCACTTGACCCCGGACTTCAAGTTTATATCTATCAGTATAACATGGCAGTATACCGTGACGGAGTATGGATGGCAGGGAGTCCTAAGGAGCGACACAGATCTGTCAGTGTCTGGAAATGACTACGAGACGACGTAACTGGAACTCTACGAATCGAATCAAAACGAGGGTGATTAACGGAGGGGGCAAACGGGCAAACGGCAACGCCACAATGTACTTTGGACGTGGAAGGACAAACAACTGGACAAATCAGATTCCGATGTAAGCGCAAAGAAAATTTCTTTTCTTCTTTCCTTGTAAGAAAGAAAAAAGGGGAAAATTTTTTCTCCCTGTTTGACCCGGATCCGGCTTTGGCCGCCTTCCAGAAAAGAAACCGCCAAAAAAACCTGAAGCAGCACAGCCCATGTGAACCGAAGCGGTTCCAGATGACGGGGAAATGCCGGGACGCAAGTTGAAAAATCGAGAGGTCAGAGTCAAAGTTTGTTGCAAGGGTTGTTTTGGGGTTGGCACAAGGGATTGTCGACCCACCCGCGCCAGCCGGAGTGCCGATAATGCAAATTTTAATCTTTTTGCCACTTGGTTTGGTGATGGGTTTACCCTAGGTATACTAGGCACTTTGGGGAGGATGGAAAGGGGAAAGGAGGAGAACTCCGACGCTAGAAGGACTAGATTTTCTGAGTTGAGGGCTGCCTCAAAGAAGAGGTTTAAGGTGCTAGTGATCAGATGTAAGAGACAAAAGAATAAATTAAATGTACTTAATCTGAAAAAAAAAAAAAAAAAAAAAAAAAAGCCTGGGAGAATGATGACCGATAACGATAAGAGATCAAGCGGTGAGCAAAAAGCGGTGGAACACAGAGAACACATGGGATGGCACAGTTCAAGAGGTACAGAGTACATTTAGTACATTGTAGATATGTGTAGACTGAGACTAGTTTGAGACGGGACAAACGGGAAGAAATGTATCAGGTTGAGTTGGGGTACATGTATTTGATGCAGTACATACAGTGCAGTATCCTACATAATAGGAGCATAACCTAGCCCTAGAGGGGTATATTTTACTAGTATGCACTCGGGAACAGGACCTCATAAAATATGGAAGTGAAATGAATGACCAGTTGCTATATACTTTTGCATCTACTGATCTCTTTGATCTAGTACTGCTGGACATATTTACAGTAGGCTGAGGCTGGACTAAAAATATTCGTATTAGCTGCGCCACCGGATCATGAGTGGCGAGTCCTGCAGGCATGCAGTATGTATACATAGTAGAGTATCTCTAATGGTACTAGTACTAATTGGGCATACACATAGTAATGGTATACATAATGGTATACACCTATACACTACTGCTACTACTAGTACAGTTCTAAGTGTAGTCTTCACCATGCTGTCACTTCTAGGAGAAGATATACACCTCAGGCACTCAGGCACTCAGCACACAGCACAAACACGGCACTGATTACCAGCAACCTCACGCTCACCAATGATATCACTTGGATTCGGAGACTCCTCCTCTTCAACCAATCACACTTCATCCCATACCTACTAAACCCATTGCGGACCCTCCCCGCCGCCGAAAAAAAAAAATTTCAGTGCAGCCCTGGTTGGGCGGCGAGGGGCCACCAGCACCACACAAGGCGATAAATATCTTCCCCCCCCCTTCCTATCCTAATCGCCCCTCTCCTCCTCCTCCCCTATCCCTCCCTCTTTCGTCTTTCATCGAGGTCCTACCCCTCTCCTTTTTTCTGTTTTTTCTTTTCTGCATAGACAGATTAGACTCGTTCTGCAAAAAGAGCGATTGCTGCGTCTTTGAACAGTCGACGCAGCCCTGGGCCACACAGCTCACAGTGATACCCATAGAAAAAACTCTTTCTTTACTCTAATTTCCCCCCCCTCAAAACCGCCAAAATTTCCTCCAAAATGCCTGCCGCCGTCGCCTCCTCTCCTGCTACTACTAGCAAGGAGACCGCTCAGTCGGTTGCCGTCCTCGAGGACCTCTTCAAGACCCTCAACGTCTCAACCACCCCCCGATGAGGCCAACGCCGCCGCTGGCAACCTCGCCACTCTCTTCAGCGGTCCCATCCCCGAGCAGGTCCTCCCTGTCAAGGCCGTCGAGAACTTCAAGAAGGGCCTCGGCAACAAGAAGGATGCTGTCGCTCGTGAGCGTGCCCTCCAGGGTATTCGTGCCATCGCTTCCCACCAGTCCATCGCTCCTGGTGTTGAGCCTCACCTCGCCTCTCTGATCGGCCACGTTCTGGCTGCCGTTGGTGACAAGCAGGTCCCCGTCAAGGAGATGGCCGAGTCCACCGCCGCTGCCCTTGTTCAGGCTATCAACCCCAACGCCGTCAAGGCCATTGTTAAGCCCATTCTCGAGTCTCTGCAGAACGCCCAGAAGTGGCCCGAAAAGATGGCTGCCCTGAAGTGCATTGAGATCCTCATCGAGTCTGCCCCCGCTCAGCTCTCCTTCCAGGTTCCTGCCATCATCCCCGTTATCTCTGAGGCCATGTGGGACACCAAGGCCGACATCAAGAAGGCCGCCTACTCCACCATGGAGAAGGTTTGCGGTCTGATTGCCAACAAGGATATCGAGCGTTTCATTCCCGAGCTCATCAAGTGTATTGCCAAGCCCGAGAACGTCGCTGAGACCGTTCACTTGCTCGGTGCCACCACTTTCGTTTCCGACGTCACTGGCCCTACCCTCGCCATCATGGTTCCCCTGCTGGACCGTGGTCTCGTCGAGCGTGAGACCGCCATCAAGCGTAAGGCCGCTGTCATCGTCGACAACATGTGTAAGCTGGTCGAGGATCCCCAGATTGTCGCTCCTTTCTTGCCCAAGATGTTGCCCGCCCTGAACAAGAACCACGACACCCTTGCCGACCCCGAGGCCCGTGAGAAGACCAAGCAGGCCCTTGACACCCTCTCCCGTGTTGGTAACATCGTCGATGGCAAGATCCCCGAGATCTCCACCGCTGGTGACATCTCCACCGTCTCCGCCATCCTTAAGGAGATCCTCGAGGAGAAGCACAAGGACACCATCAAGTCCCACGAGGCTGTCATCGACTACGTTGCTGCCATCGCTGGTCAGCTCGTTGACGAGAAGGACTCTGACGCCACCACCTGGACCCAGAACGCTACCTCCTACATCATCGCCATCGTCGGTGAGGCTGATGCCAAGTCCATTGCTGAGACCCTCCGCAAGAAGGCCTCCCCCGATGCTGCCGCCGCCGATGAGATGCCCTCTGACGAGGAGGATGGAGTCGACCTTTGCAACTGCACTTTCTCTCTGGCCTACGGTGCCAAGATTCTGCTTAACCAGACTCACCTGCGTCTGAAGCGTGGCCAGCGTTACGGTCTGCTCGGTCCCAACGGTTCCGGCAAGACCACCCTCATGCGCGCTATCAACAACGAGCAGCTTGAGGGTTTCCCCAAGAAGGATGAGGTCAAGACCGTCTATGTCGAGCACGACCTGGACGCTGCCGATACTGAGCTGACTGTCATTGGCTGGACCAGCAAGAAGCTGCTTGAGGTCGGTCTCACTCTCTCCGAGGATGAGATCCGCACCGCCCTGGTCAACGAGTTCGGCTTCCAGGAGTCTCAGCTCGATGGTCTCATCACCTCCCTCTCCGGTGGTTGGAAGATGAAGCTCGCCCTGTGCCGTGCCGTCTTCGAGAAGCCCGATATTCTGCTTCTGGACGAGCCCACCAACCACTTGGACGTCAAGAACGTTGCCTGGTTGGAGGAGTACCTCAAGAACTCCCCCCTGCACCTCCATCATGGTGTCTCACGACTCCCGCTTCCTGGACCACGTCATTCAGCACGTTGTCCACTACGAGCGCTTCAAGCTTAAGCGTTACCGCGGTACCCTGTCCGACTTCGTCAAGCGTGTCCCCTCTGCTCGCTCCTACTACGAGCTCGGTGCCTCCGACATGGAGTTCAAGTTCCCCGAGCCCGGTTTCCTTGAGGGTGTCAAGACCAAGTCCAAGGCCATCATCCGTGTCAACCAGATGTCCTTCCAGTACGAGGGTACCCCCAAGCCCCAGATTCGCGACATTACCTTCCAGGTCTCCCTGGGTTCCCGTATTGCCGTCATTGGTGCCAACGGTGCCGGAAAGTCCACCCTGGTCAACGTCCTGACCGGTGAGCTGATCCCCACTGCCGGTGATGTCTACCAGCACGAGAACATCCGTATCGCCTACATTAAGCAGCACGCTTTCGCTCACATCGATCACCACCTGAGCTCCACCCCCTCCGAGTACATCCAGTGGCGTTTCCAGACCGGTGAGGACCGTGAGACCATGGACCGTGCCAACAAGATCGTCACCGAGGACGATGAGAAGGCCATGGACAAGATCTACAAGGTCGAGGGTACCATGCGTCGTGTCGTCGGTATCCACTCTCGTCGCAAGTTCAAGAACACCTACGAGTACGAGATCTCTTGGGCTCTTGGTGACAACATCGGCATGAAGTCCGAGAAGTGGGTTCCCATGATGTCCAACGAGAACACCTGGTTGCCCCGTTCCGAGATTATCGTCTCCCACTCCAAGCAGGTCGCCGAAGTCGATCAGAAGGAGGCCCTCGCCTCCGGTCAGTTCCGTCCTCTGGTCCGTAAGGAGATCGAGCAGCACTGCGCCAACTTCGGCCTCGACGCCGAGCTGGTTTCTCACTCCCGCATGCGCGGTCTGTCCGGTGGTCAGCGTGTCAAGGTCGTCCTTGCCGCCTGCTCTTGGCAGCGTCCCCACGTCATCGTCCTGGATGAGCCTACCAACTACCTGGACCGTGACTCCCTGGGTGCTCTGTCCAAGGCTATCAAGTCTTTCGAGGGTGGTGTTATCATCATTACTCACTCCCGTGAATTCACTGAGAACCTGACTGAGGAAGTCTGGGCTGTCAACGACGGTCTCATGACCCCCTCCGGCCACAACTGGGTTCAGGGTCAGGGTTCCGGTCCCCGTCTGGACGCCAAGGGTGACGACGACGAGGACAAGTTCGATGCCATGGGTAACAAGATTGTCACCGAGAAGAAGAAGAAGCTTACTGGTATGTTCATCCCATGTTTACACCTTTCAATAATTACCTTGATAGTGATTGATGCTAACTTTCTTTCCCAGGCTCTGAACTCCGCAAGAAGAAGAAGGAGCGTGCCGCCCGCCGCAAGCGTGGTGAGGAGGTCTTCTCCGATGAGGACGATATCTAAATTATTTGATAGAAGAAAAGAAAATTGGGTTCATGGTGTTTATGACATGTTGATGAATTTCTTAGTCGTTGCTGAGATAAAAATACATTTCTGGCTGTTCATATAATTGTTGTTTCCTTCGTAGTTTTGCCTTATCTCAAGTAGATTTAGACCTAGGCCCTTGTTATCAATTGACCTACTGGTACCTGGTATTCCAAGGTTCGACCTAAGTGCCTAGTGAGCTTTTCGAGAACCCTGGAAGAGTGAGGCCCATACCCACCGGCGCAGGTGGTGACTGGTGCTGCACCTCAACTTCGTATACCCAAACATGTTACAGCAACTCTCCCCCTCATGGTTTATGGCAATTGATGCGCCGACTGAATACTACTAGTATCCGGCACCCTTCCTTGCATGAAGCGTCAACTTATCTCGTTCAAGTTGCTCGTTGCCTACCACGACTTGGTATACTAGTAGTATGCTATCGTTGGAAAAGCTCCCCATAATGGCTCCAAGTAGTAAACAAACAGTTATTGGACATATTTCACCATGAGACGGAATCACCCATAAAGTCAGCAAAAAGCGAGAAGGTATACAATGCCGACTATGATGGATAACAACAAAGCACGCTGGAGCTGGCGCTGGCCGCAACACAACCCTACTGGCAGTGGGTGGTTTGTTTCCCTCTTGCCTCATTTGCACCTCTTCACTTCACACTTCTTCCCACCACAAATACTCCTTCTCTCAACCATCATCCCGCGCTTTGACAGACTTTCCCAAGAAGCCTAGAGCCATGGATTCATCTGTGAGTTCCAACTCGATTTATCTCCACCTCCGACCATGTACTAAACCACCCAGAACTTGAACCCCGGACCCGACGGGCCACAGAAAGACCAAGCCCGGACAAACCAAGTCGAGCCAGCCCAAATGGACCCAGAAACACCGAGCTTGAACTTGCTGGTAAGTATATACTCGCGCATGTCCTATCCGCGTGCAATGGCTGATATCCAACCCCACAAACCAGGACTGTCCCAATCTGTGGGATCCATGTCTGGAACTCGACCTGGACACGCTCTGGGCTGTCGATCTGACAGAAGTCAATCTAGGCCCTGTCCCAGCCTTAAGTCAAGTTCAACAGCAGGACAAAGTAATCACAGGGACTCCCGATCCTAACCAACAGTCCGTCTCGCGAACAAACGCTCAAATCCAACCGCAAGCCCAAGCCCAAGCCCAATCCCAGACGGCAAGCCAAAACGAAGCAGACAGCGAATGGAAAATATTCATCGGCCAAACGATGCCGGACAGACTGCAATCGATAGCGCAATACAACGCTCAGTATCAGCAGTCACTTTTCGCGCAGCAACATCGACAAGCCTCCTCCCAAGCAGCACTCTCCTCCTCTACTTCCACGCCAACAATATCAACCACAACACCAACACCAATGAACCAATTCGACAAATTAATGCAAAGCCAGCCACCCTCAACACCGCAATCAAAACAGCCTGCAACCCGAGAAGACCTGGAAAAAGAAGTGAACACCCTAACCCGCCGCCTCGCCTTGGAAAAGGATTATCTCTACGAGCGCCATAACAGACTCAACTTCTTCAGCCAGTGCCTGGCGAGTTTGCGGGAGATTCTTCAGCATGAGCGGTTGCAGGGTAATGATAAGGTTGGGCTTGAGGAGTGGATTGCAGATATGGCGGTCCTGGTTCATGATTTACGGGTTGCTATTGATGGGGATGAGGGGTCGGTTAGGGAGGTGGAGGGAAGATTGAGGGCGGTTTTTAGCGAGCTTGGTGAGGTCCCTGTGTAGGAGAGAAAGAGCTATGCCTTCAGGAGGTTTTGATTTGGTTTGGTTGTATCATGTTCTGTTTCGAGGTTCGTTCTGGGTTTGTGTTTGAGTGGGATGAATTGAATAATCTCAATCCCATCTCCTCACACTACGCCAATGCTCCATGTCGCTCCCAAAAGCAAGCCTCAAACCCTTTTAGTTCATGAACCTCATAATTAGACATTAGCACCCCAGCGTTGATCAAATTGCGCCAAGGACAGTTCCAGCTGTGTCTTGGTTTGTTCCCATGTTTCACTTTTTATCTCTGCATCTTCAATATGTCGAAGCGCTGCTCGCATCAAATAAGCCCGACTTGGAGGTAATGACTCAACTACAGATATAGAATGCCCATTCTGTGTAGCTGCAATATCCTCCATAATTTTCACAAGGGTATCCAATGCCGAGGATGATGTCTTGTGCCATTCTTCAGGAGATTTATGTCGACAATGGGTCATTTCTTGGACTTGTGTGAGGATTTCCCAGTGTAAAGTGAAAAGCGCCCTGGTAAATTCTTAGCCAGAATGATGATTTTAAGACTCACAAAAACTAACCTGATAAGTATTGCGTTCGCGGTACAGAACTTGCCCCATTTCCCTTCGGATCGTTCCATCACGATAGCTAGAAACGTACGGAGTGTATGGTCGAGTCCATCAAGTTGGATTAATTTGGCATCGATATCCGTGAGCTCGATTGTTTTGAATACTTGGTCCAATAGCCAAGCTGCTTGTGCTATGCAGGCGTATCCTCCACTCCTAACGGTGTCTTCAGCTGTATCTGTAGACTGGCTGGTTTTGAATTGATTATCGTTGTTTGGTGAGTATGTGTCCCTTGGTAGTTGGGTGTGGATATCTGGAAACCTTGCCGCAAAAGGCTGATCAAAGTCGTCAAGCTCGCAGAAGAAGGTTCTATACAATGGGTCAGATCTTCCTGGTATTTTCAAGTTGATTTTCTAGGTTCATACCTTTCGCAAATTGCAATTCCCCACCATGTATTTGCTTCCTCTTCAGCTTGGAGGAATTCATTGCCTTCCAGCTTTGGGCTTGGATTTGACAGGTGAATACGACACGCGTAGCCCATCCTTGCACATAGACTTATAGACGCTAATGCATTCTCCACTTTCCCATTCGCATATTCATACGTGGCAAGAATGATTCCAGTTTGAATAAGATGCAATGATGGTGGTAATGATGAATGCACTTGCATAAATATTGTTTTCGCCGCTAGATAAAGTGAAGATTGATCGACCGAAATTTTATTGTGCGTTGATTCCTCGGGGTAGTATGTAGTCAAGGACATAGCCAGAAGTAGGGTAGAGAATCCGGCGGAGGGCGGAGCCCCAAAATTAAGTAAGTTGTCGTGAAATCGTGAGCGCGATATGACAGGAATAAACGGGTGAGTGCCTTGAAAGTATCGAGCACTGATATCATCGACAAACTGGCCTGTTTCTCGTATTATTCTGAGAGTCTGTAGGTAGATGGTGGAATCTAAATTCGTCGGGTCCGATGACAGAACATCCGCTAGAGTGCTTGATACCAGAAGAGAGGAGCGGATTATCGGACTTTCGGGTATCAATGCCGATTTTGATCTGACTTGAAGGTGAATCTTATCATCTGCCGCCGCATATTGGCAATCTAGGTTTTTTCTGATAACTGTGTTAATCTAAGATCGACCTCGCGTTGGAAAGACTCACGATTTGCAATAGCCACAGCAAGGCTTGACTTTATCGCATTTCTTCTTGCGCAGTTTACAATTCACACAGACCAAGACTTTCATTTTTCCGTCGCCGCCAGGCTTAAGCACGTTGGATTAGATAAATTAGAGATCAAAGAGTCAGAATGGAGGGGATCCGACGTTGAAACCCACTTATATATTACAAATCGATGCAAAGGGGACGAAACTGGTATAGCGGCGCCGACAAGTGGGTCAAACCTGTCGGCCGCCAGTGGGCCTGCTCACTCTGGATGAAAACACATCCAAGCCCTGGAGGCTGTCGGACTAGAGCGCTGTCGGAGGACGAGCGGCCGCTATATGACTGGGTCTGAATGATCTGGTGGGGCGAGGATATTCATAAAGCAAAGAGAATATAAAGATGTGATGATGTCCCCGACAAATGTACTATTCAGCAGCTTTCCTTCCCAATTCCATTTTCAAGTCTTTGCTGCATAGACCAACCAGATGTCGATCGAAAAAGCACAGGCTTCTGTCACCGAGGAAAATATCCCCCCAGAGGGAGGTCTCCGAGGATGGATGTGTGTTGTGGGAGCAACACTAGCCCTTTTCTCTACACTCGGCTTTTTGAACGCGTGAGTGATTTTGTACTGGTGGATGTTAGAGTAATACTCACCTCCAAACCAGCATCGGCGTCTTTCAAACGATCTATCAAGAAACGACACTCAAGGAATACTCCTCATCAGAAATATCATGGATATTTGCCGTCCAATTGTGCCTCATGTGGGCTCTTGGTCCACTCTACGGTCGTGTCATCGACACTTATGGCGCAACCCCGGTACTAATTCCATGCAGTACACTCTGCGTCTTCGCTCTCTGTATGACGAGTCTTGCAGACAAGTACTACCAAATATTCCTCTCACAAGGCCTTGCTTTCGGCATCGGTGCCGGGGGCGTATTCTGCACCTCGTTCGTCTGTGTCGGGCAATGGTTTGTCAAAAGGCGGGGACTAGCGATCGGCATTGCGAGTTGCGGCTCCAGTATAGGTGGAGTTTTATTTCCCATCTTTCTGGATAGAATGGTGAAGAATGTTGGATTTTATGGGGCTGTTCGATATACGGCTTTGTTCGTTGGGGTCATCCTGGCTGCGTCTTGCTTCCTGGTTCGCGCACGATTGCCTCGAAAGAGTTGGAATCGCGAGACACCGTGGCTTGATGTGACTCTGTTCAAGCAAAAGCAATTTGCAGTGTACACTTTGGGGTCATTTTTTGTCATGTCAGTCATTCATACTGCTCCTTCAACCGAAAAAGTAGCATGATTTCTAACACTTTACAGGTGGGGGCTTTGGGGTCCATTTGATTTCATTTCGACTATGGCCCAAGCGCGGGGCTTCTCCCCCACGCTATCTCTTTACCTGATCTCTATTATCAAGTATGATGAGCCGTCTCTTTCCGGTGTTTTAATCGTGATTTATTTATCTAACTTACCAAACACAGTGCCACCTCTATACCCGGCCGAGTGCTCCCACCGTACCTCGCCGACAAAATCGGACATTTCAACGTATTGAGCATCTGCGCCATACTGACAGGAGGCTCAATGCTTGTACTCTGGCTTCCATTTAACTATCACCCGTCACATGCCGGCATTATTATCTTTGGGCTCGTCTATGGATTCGTCAGTGGGGCGGTAGTGAGTTTGCTAATGCCGTGCGTCGCCAAGTCTGGCAGTCTTGATACACTGGGCCAGCGATTCGGGACATATCAAATGGTGATTTCTATCAGGTAAGCTGAACCTGCCTTTTGTGGCACGAATTCTTCACTCACCTTTCTTCCAGCTGCCTCACAGGTCTGCCGATCATGGGTAGTATTCTGTCCCGACAAGGCAATGACAACTTCGCTGGTCTGCAGATTTTTGCTTCCGTGGCAGCATTGTTGGGGGGTTGTCTCATTGCATTGTCCACCTATTTATTGGGCTCTAGCCGTGGCACCCGAAGAGTCTGAGATCTGAGAAATCTCTTTAACTGACCGGACAGATAAGTGAGCTCGAAAGTGTCGAGTATGATACTTGCCTGGAGAAGGTAAGAAGACAGACTCCTCATGGGCTCTAAAATCCAGGAATGTCCCTGCCATATCCACTTGGAGACCCTTTTCACCTCATATGATGTGATATACAAAGAGATGATATTTGTCACTGCGGGTGAGGCAAGACATTGCGAAGTCTGTCTTGCGATCCGTGTCTATCTTTCATTCACCATGGCCTTTGAAACCACCAAATTATTTCGTTTTATTATAGACTTTTGTTAGAAGTGTTCGATTCCTTAGATTGCTAGATATTTTACGATTGTTTTTTATGCAGCTCCTCGATATTCTATATGGCTCTATCTTCTGAGATTTTCCACTTGTTAAGGCAATAAGCTTCAACCTTTCGGTCCTATACCAGTGCACCGTGACGTTCTCTGTTTTACTATTCTTGTTTAGCTGCGATCTAAAAAATCAGACAACAGCTTTGACTTCATCCAAGCTCAATTACTCTCGAGGTGAGCCATTTATCTTTCGTTCTCCAAACTAAACCTTACCACCTATGGGAGAAAGCGTCTCTCATAAGGATGCCAATGGGCTTGGAGAATTCGACTCAGGAAAGCGCTCTACACAGTAGTGTTTCAAGAGAGAGGTGTGGACTCGGACATGTTTTTGAATTTAGCATCATCTTATATCGAACACGGACAATGTATATCAACTTGGATACGAGAACTTATGGTCAAACACTGTGCATGCAATGATTCTGAGAGATTTATTACAGGTTGGATGAAACCATAGTAGTATACAAAGTCAATTAAGGTTGGCTATCCTACCAGAGGTCCAACCTTGACATCAGTTCTCCTTCGCAGTTCTGCAATCTCCTCTTCCTTTTGCTGAGTCTTCCGCCGGTGTGTCAGCATCGTTTCGTATCTCTTCTTGCCTCCAAACTTCAACTTCGTGATCATGTCAGCCGCCTGGCCACGAGTTAGTCCTTCCTGGCTGACTTTTTCTGTTCGAATGCGAGCTCTGTTCAGCATTTGAATTTGAGAGCTTGTCGCTGGATTCTGCCGCCACGCCTTCCCGGAAGAAATGTAGTGCTCTTCGAATTTACTGCTGGCGAATGTGTCACCTGCGCGTACAGCCGTCTCCAAATCCGGCCCGGAGGCGATGTGTCGTGGCTTGGTGAATGACGGTTTCTCCGTGACGGGGTCCTTGAATTTCATGACATGACGCACGGCGAACCCGTCTGTTCCCTTTTCTCTCTCAAGAGCTAACCACCCACTTGAATCCGAGAGTATATACTTATCTTCACTGACACGCACCCATGAGTATCTGCTTAATGACCTGATATGCTTTTCGTATCGTGTGTCACCGAGAAGATCGTAGATGCTGTCGTATTTGGTGAACTGCAATTGCACGTCCTCGTCGACATCATTTTCCACGAGTGTAGATGACTCCAGTGGGCTCTCTTCTTGCTTGCTTTCTCGTATTTCTTTTGCGGTGGTGTTGTCGAAAACCTCATTTGGATCAAGGCCAAATAGGGTTGGGGTTGATAGAACTCCTGTTTCCAAGGATGCTACCATGTCAATTACATGACAGTTTTTCTTGCCAGGGAATAAGCGTAGTCCTCGCCCTATCATCTGAATGAGGAGGTTACGAGACCGAGTTGGTCGTGCCATAACAACGCAGTCGATATTTGGGATATCAGTACCCTCTGTGAAAAGACCACAGTTCAAGAGCACTGAAAATTCTTGGTTTTTGAAAGCCTCTATTTGCTCCGCGCGGACGTTTTTGTGGGTGTTGGAAGTAATGTATCGCGCATCAATGCCCTGCTCGCGAAAGGTCGCAGTAAGCTGTTGTGTATGTTCGATATCCACGCAAAATACAAGTGTCGATTTTCGATCCTCGGCATTCGCCATCCAAGCGCGCACAGTGATATTATTCGTGTTCGCATTATTAACCGCCTTTGACAGTGACCCGAGGGCGAAATCCCCGAAGCTGTCCTTCTTAACTTTGGAGAGATTGGCACCAGATTTGACGGTGGTAAACACCGCATCAGCCAACCAGTTATCTTCGATCATATCCACATAGTCCTTGTGGTAGACAATATGGTCAATTGCGGCTCCCAGCTTGAGACCGTCAAATCGTGAAAATGTCGCCGAGACACCGACCAATACAGGAGCATTGGGGGAAGGCTCACTCAACCCGAAGTGAGCCAGGGCATCCAGATAAGACCGCGCAACAATGTGATGCGCTTCATCCACCAAGATGAGCTTATAATCAGCAGGGTCAAACTTCCCAATGCGCCCACGAGCAAGTGTCTGCACCGAGGCGATGATGATATCCCCATGACCCGTGGCTTTATTATTTCCCATCTCGATCTCCACAGACAGGTCGGGGTAAGCAAGGCGGCAATGCCTCGCAGCTTGCTCAACCAGTTCACGTCGGTGAACAATGATCATAGTTTTGGTTGCCCTTGCATCACGTGGTGGTATTCTGTTAATGAGCTGCGTGAAAATGACCTATAAAGGATATCAGTATCATACTTTACGAAGGGGCGAGATAATTGCATATCAGGTTAACCAACAGTTTTTCCGGCACCAGTAGCCAGTGAAATCCCTAGCCTTCGATGTCCTTTGTCCAAGTATTCAATTACTGACTGTATGCATTCCTCCTGATAGTCGCGCAAGACAATACTGCTCGACCCAGGTAATGGCGATGGTGCCCCTGAATTGAAACGCACATGTCGCAGGTAATGTGATGGTGTAAATCTTCCTGGAGGCCTCCGCGGCCGCCCAATCGACAGCAGCCCAAATCTGCGTACGAAGTCCATGCGAGTTGCAAGATCGAGGCTGGTAGAAATAGAAATGCGCCGCCGATTGGCAATGGCGCCGCTCGGGGGTGCAAACCGCGCAAACACTTTCTTATCGCGACCAGCGACTTTTTGGTGGAGCTGCAAGTTCAACTTATTTTTTTTCTCTCCTCTCGAACACTTCGACATTTTCGCGCAGGTGCAGCTGTGATGTTTACCTGCGGCTCATTCGGACGCGCTGCGACTTTGCCAGCTCTGCACGATGAGCAGCTCCTCTGCCTACGAACCCGATGAAGACGACTCCGAGCTCGATTCTGACACTGCGCTGGGGCGCGCGCGCCAGCAACGGTCGACCTCTCGAGGTCGAACTCTAAGACGATTCTCTGTTGATTCGGAGCATGAGAATCCAGAGACAGAAAAGCTTCAAAAGATCAAACAAGATCGCCTCGATGCCCTCAACAACCTATTCCAAGATATTGGGCCGAACTCCCTCGAGGCTTACACTGGACTTCTCGCGGAAGTTGAAAAGGGCTATGATCCTAGGAATGTGAAGGAAGATGATGAGTTATTGAATGTCACGCAAGATGGCGCGGTGGTGTGGACGGCCACGGAGAAGGAGGTTCTCTACAATTTTCTCGATCGAAAGAGCGCCAACGGAATTAAGGAAATCGCGACTGCAATCGGTACAAAATCGGAGTTGGAAGTGATGGAACATCTCAGGGTTGTCCAGAGAACCATGAGGAAACGACTTGATCAGCGACGTCTCAGGTGGATTACTGTGGCTGAGATCCCCGCAGCAGTCGAAATCGACGAGGGGTGCTGTGCTGAGCAGGAAAAATATGCCAAGTACTTGACCCTCAAAGACGCCATTGCGGACGAGCACACCAACCAGCTCCACTACGGTGATTATGGAAAAATCGGCGAGACCGAAGCCCAAGCCCTCGGCAATGCAGACTCCGATACTCCCTTGCAAGGCGATCTTCAACTCGCTGCTGGTCTATTCAATACGCCGAATTGGATCTCCCTGTCTAAAGACTTTTTTATGAACTTCGGTGGCGAAAGGGAAGCAGATGACTGGAGAAATATTGCTGAATCGGAAGAGGACATGCCCTCAATTACTGCAGACGCAATGATGGATTTTTCTGCCCTTGCGACCAGTCTGATACGCCGTTTAATCCAATCTTCAATATTCATGACTGAATCACGGCTACGCACTACCGGTATAACCTCTGATGCCCACCGTGAAATCAAGCTTGGAGATGTCCAAACTGCAATTGAAGTGTTGAACTTGAAGCGCAAGCGACCCTCCTTCCTGGAACTTGCGCGTCGAAATCGAATGGTCATCGGCGCATTTCCCCACAAAGAACTATCGCGACGCGAACCATCGGTTATGGCGAGGCAAAGAGAGTCCTTGAGTATCGTGATAAGAAGTTTTACAAAACAGCGCACGCCATGGAACAAGAGAAAGTTTCGCACAATGATGCGGGTGAGACTGTGCTCAGTGAAAGGGACGAGGATTCAGATGAGGTCATGGATGAAGATGGCGATGACTCTGACGAAGATGAAGAAGACGCCGAGGACGAGACAATTCTTGATGCGCAAAACGAATCCGGTCACCCAAATACCTCACAACATCCGGAACTTGTACAGCCTGGTATCTCTGATGGCCAATTAGCTGAAGACAAGGAGGAAGAAGAGGCCGACAACTTTGATCGCGAACAAAGTCGCCGGGAAGAACTGCGACTCTGGTCTATGTTCGAGAAACTCCCGCCGCCCGCCCTTCTCATCCCCATAGTTGAATCCCTCCCTAGCCTCAACGAAGACAGGAAAGAGGCTATGGACGACGCAAAGGACGACCTGGCACAGCATGGTATCTCGGAGCACAGGACCCAAGAGGACGTCGTCGATTGGCGAGACCATACTCTTTACCGCAGTGAATGGGAACAATACGGCTCCGACCTGGAAGATCTGGCGGAGGAGCTGGTTCAGAATATGAAGAAGCGTCGCCGCGTCGAGGCAGGTGATGCAGAGGATGGCCATGACGGCCACCATCAGTATGATAATGAGAAGAAGGGTGAAAATGAGAAGCAGCAAGGGGAAATAGCTGGAGGGGGGGCCTGACCCGCCGCCCGGCGGATTTAAGTCTGCTGCCATTATCGAGAGCGACGACGATAGTAACGACGAAGCTGCCGACAGCAGCAGCCACAGTGGCAGAGGCAGCCCCGTCGACAACAGTGAAAGCGACGACAGCAATTCAAGTGACGACAGCGGAGTCCAAGAAAGAGGAGGAAATCAAGTCACAGCCTCTGCTCCTGCGCTTCCACCAGCAATTTACATCAACAGTGACGATGATGACAACACCAAGGTTGGAAACCTAGAGAACGAGGCTGGAGACGAAAGTTCCACCGACTCTGGCTCTGGCTCTGAATCCTCCAATGAGTCTTCCTCTAAAAACGGCCTCGAGGCTGGAAATAAAGAGAACGCAGCCAGAATCGTAATATCCAGCGACTCTGGCTCGGGTTCTGGCTCTGACTTTGACTCCTCTGGCGGTTCCTCCTCTGATGATGAAGCCCTGGAAGCTGGAGATGAAAGGAACAAGGCTGGAGATGAAAATTCCCCCCGACTCAGGTTCTGAATCATCTGATAGTTCCTCCTCTAATGACGGCCCCGCTGCTGGAAATACAATTGAGATCTCAAGTGATTCAGACTCAGAATCTAATGCCGACTCGTCCGATGATTCTTCCTCGGAAGATTCTTCTCCGGGCCACTTGCCCGCAGCCACCCGTTCAGATCCAATGGATCTAGACGACGAACGTCCTGCTGCACTCCCGCCTACCAGCTTCATGTAGAGAGCAGCCACGAGATAATCACAATTTAATAGCTAGTCAAACTACAACATCATTTACATAGCCAAACCATACCCATACCCAATCTACAAGTTCAAGTTCTACATTCAGATTACTTTCGGACAATCTTAGAAGCATTTCCATCACGGACATATGATTAGAAAAAGGGGATAAACACATTGAACGAATCAACACTAACTCCCAACATAATAGAAAGAACTGCGCCTTTTCCTAGCCAGATAAGTTCAAAGAGAATATTCATAATAACACCGCCCAGCTCCCACGCGGTTCGCTTCGATCATCCAATACAATTCCTCCCTCGACCCATCTCCATCTCCATCCCCATCGCCCCATCGTCCACCCTTGACATTCTAACCAGCACCCCGTTCTACCATGCTGCCTGACGTCTGCTCACTCTCGCACATGGGATATATCGTACATGCATCGAGAAGAAGAGTCTCTCCTTCACAGATCAAGCGTCTTGTAATCGGCGCCGCCCTCAGCGCTCAAAGGCTGAGCTCCAGCCCGGGCATCTCCACCAACAGGCTGGAAGCTGTAGTGGTTTCCAATTCCAGCGGTAGCGGCGTTGGCGAGCATGCTGTTAGTATGCTCGTTGGGGCCTTGCAGACTAACAGCCTGGAGAGCATCCTGCGCTTCCTTAACGCGCTTCTTAAAGGACATGCGGTCCAGGAAGAGTTGCTGGCGCGCCTGCTCAAGCTCACGACGCTCGGCCTCGATAATCTCCTCCATCTCGTTGAACTGCTGCAGCTTGATCTCGAACTTCTGCAGAGTCACGTTCACTGCGGCACCGACGAGGCGGGTCATCTCGCGCTCCTCGTGAGAGGCGAGAGCTCCGGCGCGCGCGGCAGAGGTGGCCATTGCTATGGTAGACAGAGACTCCTTGGGCTTCTCGCTTTGTTCGGCTTCGCGGACGGTATCCACGTCCATTGAGTCTTCGGCCTTGACGTCTTTTCCCTTGTTATCTCCCTTCTCCAGCTGGCTGCGTAGCTCCTTGCGGATTTCCTCGACGGAGCGGCCGGCGGCAGCCGCAGCCACGGCGGGCTCGGCCATCTGGGCAAGGAAAGCTACTACCGACAGAACGGGGTTCTCAGATTGGCTGATGGGATCCCTGCCTGCTGTAGTGCGAATATCGGGAATATCTTCAATGTATTTATCCTCGATTTCGAGGGAGAGGAACTTCATCACGCACTCTTCGCGGGTTCGTGTACCCACGTGGTTTGCGATCTGCTCCCAGTTCTCGTCGAAGTTCTCCAGACCCTCCAATAGGAGCAGGAGTTCTGAGTCAGCCCACGGTGCATCTTTGTCTGGAACCTGGCTGTGGCTCTTGTCTTCCAGCTTCACGAAGTCTGAGGCATTATGGCTTGAGGGCATGCGTCCTTGGAGGAAGCAGTTGGGGCAAAGGTCGTATTTGGAGTCGGGAGTTGTCGCATTAGCTGATGTGGGTGTAGACTTGGCGTAATGGAATCGAAGTCTTGTGCAGTCAATGCCACAAGAGAAGCAGTGAGACTTCTTCTTGGGCTCCTGCTCAATACCATTCGTTCCATCACCATTGGTCTGCTTGTCGTCCGTAGAAGGAGTGACATCCTTGCCCTTGTTATCAAAGATATTGCGGCGCAAGTCGAGGCCTTCGCCTTTAGTCGCGGGGGTCGAAGAGGCGGCGCGGTCTGTGGATGGGAGGGTCTTGCCGGAGGTGACAGTAGGGTTAGGGCCGGGCTGGAATGGCTGCAATCCGCGGGGGGTATCGGCAATAACGCGGAAGTGGCCGGTAAATGGTGGTCCAATATTAGAAGGGCGAGATTGAGGATCAACCTGGACATGTTAGCCGGATGTGGAAACGCAAACTAGACTTTACCCCAGAGTAAAGGTAAACTCACCTGGTAGTTGATCAGACCCCACTGCTCAAGGAAAGAGTGAATACGCATGATGGCGCAAACATCACCCGCCAGGTTCCGACGGCAAGCAGTGACCGTCAAGTATTCGATAGGGTTCAGACGGTAGGTGTTAATCATGAAATCACGATAATCCTTGTAGGTCGCTGGGGTCTTGCTGCGGTTGCGTCCGTTGAAGAACTCCGCAATGGCTTTCTTCTCGATCTCGTGAACGGTGTTCATATCAAACCAGGTCGCGTAGCTGGGGAGAATGATGGCGTGGGTCTGGGTGACAAGCTGTTCGCGGGCGGCGGCCTCCAGCGAGGACTTAGAGGGAGCAGGCTGCTCTTCGCCAACGGCATCTTCAAGACCTTCACCAGTCTGCTCAGGCGGTTGCGACTCTCCGGCAGCGTCTTCCAGACCTTCAGTATCGCGTTTCGCATCGGTCTCGGTGCCGCCCATTTCCTCGTCCTCCGGCTCGACATTGTCATTGCGGCCTTTGGGGGAGGCAGGGGCATCAAGAGGGTTCTCGGATCCGGAGTTTTCGACCTTCTTCTCGGGGGACTCTTGACGTGACTGGGCTTCTGATTCCTGGGGTAAGCACTGACAAAGGATCCAGGGAGGTGGCTGGAAACGACGTACCTGATGCACTGCCGGCATTGGTGATATCTGCGGCGCCCTCGGTGCCAGTTATGGGCTGAGCATTCTCAGATGCCGCGCCGGGGTTAACTGAAGTGTCATCCATGATGATTTGACGAAAGATAGCTGCTGTCGCGGGCAGCTGAAGATCGACTCCTTTCGCGGTCGTTCGCTGTGGTTCGCTGTCGACCTTGCGCAGCGCAACTTGGTTACGCGTGGCAAGGGCAGGTAGTTGGAAGAAAGTATTGGTCGGACAAAAACGCAGCCCAATCCAATGGGAAATCAGGCTAGGAAGTGATGATTGGACCAAGTGCTCGATCGCTGGGGGAGGTGGGTGTCGCGCCTCACGGAAAACTCGCGGTCGCTGGGAAGAGATACGCTAACCGAATTTGGGTTAGCGTTATTTAGAGTCGATACCTTATACCTCAGGCATAAATATTTAACATACATCTAACTAGTTAGTTATAGACTTGCAGGGATGTACTATGTACATTTTGTTCATGGCTTAGATTTTATTACGATATCAATACGGCTTTGATTAATGGGCCAGTTTAAATAGACGTCAGCGAGTAGTCTTTGCATCCCGCTCCTCATCTCTACTGAGCATCGCCGCTCAACTACTCACTGAACTACAAAGTGACATGTAACGAGTTACTAATTAAGATCTTATTCTCAGATACACATTCCATACAATCATCTCATTATATAATTCCACCTTATTCCATCTCTATGATAGAGCAGCCATCGCAGCATTGCGGCCCTCCAGGGCTGTCGCAACAGAGGGCTTAGCCTTCTGACGGTCCAACCAAGCCCCAAGGTTGGGGTACTCGGAGATGCTGATACCCAGGAAGTCGAGAATACCGAACCAAGGAATAAAAGAAAGATCGGCATAGCTCCACTTTTCACCGACCAAGTATTCCTTGCCCTTCAGGGCGCGGTCCAGCACGCCCGAGACACGGCGAATTTCATTGTAGTATCGCTCCTTGGCGCTCTCAATTTGCTCTGGGTGGTAACGGGTGAACCAGACAGCCTGGCCAAAGTAAGGACCCTGGCCGCTCATCTGGAAATGCAGCCACTGCTTGGCGAGGAAGTAGTCCTGCGAGCCGGAGGCAAAGCTAATGGTGTGCTCCTTGTCATAGGTCTCGACGAGGTATTCCAGGATAGCGCCGGATTCCCAAAGGGTGATGCCAGTGTTGGGATCTTCAATTGCGGGGACTCGGCCATTGATGTTGATGGACTCGAAGGGTTCCTTCTTCATATCCGGGAAGGCGACTTCCTTCGTTTCATAAGGGATGCCCAGCTGCTCGAGGACAATAACAACCTTCCATGGGTTGGGGCCGGGACCGTGGGCATAGAGAGTGACGGGCTTGAGAGACATGATTGTTTTTTGTGGTGAAGGCTGGTGTATGGAGTGAATGAATTGAATTGAATTGAATTGATGCAGTTGAATAGGAAGCCAGAAGAGCACGAAATGGAGGTCTTAAATCGCCCACGATCCCGCATTCTGACTTCATGGTAAACCCCCACTTCGACATCGGAGCTCGGCTTACAAATGATAAGCCACGGCCCACACGCACACCGTGCTCGCACAAACAGTGCGGAACGGACGTGATTTGTTCCCGGAGCTTCCCAGGGGTTCCAATCAAGGTCAATTGAAGCAACATCACCCCGCGTCATTAGCTCAGAGGTTGATAGTCTATGGGATGCCCTAATCATCAATAAGCAACCACCCGCATTCGGCCGGAGTTGGTCCGGAGTTAGTCATCAGGGACCTATTCCCGACATCCGATCCCCAGTGCAATAAGCAAGGCTGCTGCGGGGGACATATCATTTGGCACTGTGATTGAGACCAAGGCTGAGACGGATTTCATCTCAATCCCTGCGGAATTCGCGCCTTTGGGTTCATATCTCACTCAGCCGGAGAATGAGGGGCAAGCTGATCTGTAAGCAATGGTCAGCAGAGGCATTGAGGGGTGGAATAATGATTTGTATTAAACGGTAGCCTGCAGCAGGAGCAACAGAAAGGTTGATAGACACCATTCACAACGGCTGTCCTCCGCTGTTGTAAAGAATACAGTGCGTCTCGAACCTGGTGCCATCACCTCCACTCTTTCATTGTTTCTCAACCCGTGATGCCAAGACCACATACTAGTGGTCTATGTTATGAATGGACAATGGACCAGGAATATCAATATTCTTGTATCAATATCAGTATCAATACCGTGACTTACTCTTGGCAAAGGGGAAGCCGAGGACGAGCTGCGAGTAGTAGGTGACGGGCTCGTCTGGATTCAAGTCTCTTCACGGCCCCTAGACTGCTGCCTAGAAAGTAGAAAATGAGTCAAAATATTTACGATTAAGCACTATCTAGCCACCCTCGCACAATATTTACATTTTTGAGTCATATATGGAGAATCCTGCGATTGGCCATCCAACCAACTGTGATGTTTTCAAGGCGGCCGCGGCCACCGCTGCGGGGGGGTCATCGAGATCCACGAATGATTGTCGCGTCATTTCAGCCCCCGAGACTAGGCTTTAGCCAATAGCTCTCGGTAAATAATCTGAGCCCGTCTTGAATCTTTGCGTAACTGCCATCATTGCGTCAAGATCATCTTCTATCCCGCGGATCTCTTGAGGCTCAACCGAGGGAAACGTGCATACAAAAATATCGAGCTTTCCCACACGAAGCTCTACTTCAGCAGAATTTTCTTTCATACCCAAGAAATTCATCATGTCGTCCTACGGCTGCTTCTACCGCCTCCGTAGAGGAAATCGCCCTGCGAAGAGCTACCTCCCTCAGGTGGGGCTCGATATCCATGCGCATGTGCTCTCTAGCAATACTCGAACGGCCATCACCCAGACCTATATAAATCCATCTAACACCGAATCCATCCCAGAGCTTTTTTATTCTTTTCCCCTCTATGACGGCGCCAGCATCGTTGGGTTCACCTGTCGCGTTGGCAACGAAGTGATCCGTGGACAAGTCGAGCCGAAAAAGAAGGCCGAGGAGGTCTATCAGGAAGCCAAGTCGAAGGGGCAAACCGCTGCAATTTTCGATCAATCCTACGATGCAGCCGATGTCTTCAAAACTCGCCTAGGAAACGTTCCTGCTGGAGGGAAGGTTCACATCGACATCATCCTAGTTCAGGAATCCAAGCAAGATACCCAGACCGATGGAATTCGATACACAGTCCCGATCACGATCGCCCCACGATACGGTACTCAGAATGACGATCAGTCACCTAGCCTGCCCGAAGGTATTGCTGCCAAGACAGCGATTGTAGTTGATCTGGTTATGGAAAGGGACTCTGATATCCGCAATATTCGGTCGCCAACTCATCCTATCGAGGTAACTATCGGTCGGACATCGACCATGCCAGAAAGCACTTCCAAAGCGTGCTATGCATCTGTCAAGCTCCGGGAGAATGTGGTAATCCAGGATGATTTTGTTGTGACGGTCGGGTCAAGCAAGCAAGATCTTCCCTTTGCTTTCCTGGAGACACACCCTATGCTGCCAAACCAGCGAGCACTGATGGTTTCTCTGATTCCGAAATTTGGCTTACCTCAGAGTGCTTCTGAGATTATCTTTGTGATTGATCGCAGTGGCAGTATGGCGGACAAAATTTCAACCCTCCGATTGGCGCTCGAAGTGTTCCTCAAGTCCCTCCCAATTGGTATCCATTTCAATATCGTGTCATTTGGGAGCAGCAGCAGGTCTCTGTGGCCGCGTAGTAAAATTTGTGATCGAGAAAACTTGGAGGAAGCTCTGAAGTACACAAAGAAAATCAAAGCTGATATGGGTGGGACTGAGGTCTTAAATGCCCTCCGGAATGCCGTGGCCAACCGTTACCAAGACAAGGTCCCCGAAGTCCTCCTTCTGACAGACGGGGAAGTGTGGAACCAGGACGCTGTTTTTGACTTTGTGGGAAAGGCCGTGAAGGAAAGTTCGGCACGGTTTTTCACATTAGGCATTGGAAATGCTGTTTCCCATTCACTCATCGGTGGAATTTCTCGAGCGGGTATGGGGTTCTCTCAGTCGATCCAGAACTACGAAGAGCTAAACAAAACGGTCGTGCGAATGCTAAAGGGTGCATTGATGGCGCGCGTGACTGATGCCAGCTTGAACATGAACTTGCCAGATCTCGAAGGCGAAGACTTCATGGTGGTTGAGCCGATGGAGGAAGACCTCAAGGACGGTCTGGCAGAAGGAACTAACAAGCCGATCAAATTATTTGACGACAAATACGAAGAATCTGACAAGGTTCAAGATTTGCACCAACCTCTTCCAAAACTCACTGCTCCGAGTATCATTCAAGCACCTGTTGAGCTACCCCCGCTTTTCCCATTCATCCGATCCACGGTCTATATTCTCTTCTCTGGCGACATCTCTTCCTTTCCTGAGACAATCAGACTCCGTGCAAAAAGCGACCATGGTCCGTTGGAACTAGATATTCCGATCCAAGACATTGGACTCGGTGAAACCATTCACCAGCTGGCAGCCAAAAGGGTGATGGGCGAACTGGAGGAAGGACATGGTTGGATTCACACTACCAAGGATGTTCACGGGGTTCTGATCACAAGCAAGTGGGAAAGCCGGGTTGGGGAGCTGGTTCAACATGAATGCGAGAGACTTGGAGTTCGCTTTCAAATCGCTGGAAAGCACTGTTCCTTTGTCGCAGTCCAGGATTCCCATCAGTCCGAGGACAAAGGTGCAGCTCGGGTCTCTCCTGGGGCTCTAGCAGGCGATGAGGATGCAGAACTCGTTGACTGTCTTTTCGACATGTACGATGCAGAACAGCCTCTTGCTGCCAGTGCTCCGCTTGCCGTTTGCCTTTCGTCACCCGCATATTGCCCCGAAGGTGGACCAAGTGAAGATGAGATGGAGGATGAGGAGGAGGATTCAGTACCACTACCAGCAATAAAAAAAAGGAAAATGCGTCGCAAGGCAGCTGGTCCATTCTTCGAGGAAGAGGCGGGGATTGATGAGGATGATGAAGAAATGTTGAATTCACATCTCATGGATAATTCCTCTGGACTGCATGCGCTTATATCTATGCAATCATTTGACGGTTGCTGGGATTGGCACAATGAGCTTCTCCAGGCACTTGGTCTCGAAGCAGAAAGCGCCAAAGCCAAATTGCAGACACGTTACCAGGATTTGGCTGGCAACAATTCTGATATTTGGAGCCTGCCTGTCTGGAAGGAGGTTCTTGCTACTTGTCTTGTGGGCCACTTTCTGCAAACGCAGCTTTCAGAGTCGAAGGACGTCTGGGAGTTGCTCAAAGAGAAGGCAGATACTTGGGTACAGAAATCTTTAAACGACATGAATGAGACGGACCGACAAATTTTGGGGGAATTGATCGCCGAAGTAGGGATCTGCTTTTAACATTCTCTTCGTCGGCGAAGTCTGCCTGTGATAAGTAGCCGATCGGATATGTTAGATTATGAATCTTGCCAGAATATTTTAATGAACACCACATGTCGAAGACAATGTCTTGCCCACCCTCCTTGTCGCTGCAGACAATTCCATTGCTGACGAATCACCCCCACGGTTCTAGGGTTCGGTAGCGACGCCCTTGCAAGAATTCGTGGAGACGCGGCAAGATATGGTCCGCAGCTATGAGAAAGGGCATGATGTGCTGTTCACCAAGACCGGAGGGCGTGTTTTAGCGCGACTATGTAGAGTCATTCCTTCCAACTCCATCCAACATCCAACATCCACTTGATTCGAACCGCCCTAACCAAGCCTCTCGGGCTTTTTCCCTTACAAGAACTGGCCAGAACCATTAGACCGACAGCTCCAATTCGAATTTTCGTCGCCTCAATCAAGTTACACCAACTAAACGGTCCCACAGGGCGATCTAGCAAGCCTCGGACTAGGTGTCGGAGTAAAAATTGAACGTCGGACTAGATGTCGGACTAAGCCCTGCCAGCCCTATCACGCCACTGAAATGAATATAGCACAAAGAGAACAAATACAACAAACATAGCCTATGCAATTCTGATACATGAAGCATCTAGATTTCAAAGCAAATCATCTGAGCCCGCCCTTAAGCTGGCTCATAAACCACGGTTCTCCGCAACCCCGCGCTTTTGACTCATCCAAGCCACCTCGTAAAGCACCCCGACGAATACGAATGAACAATCTCCAAACGTCATAGCAAGTAGATAGTACGGAGGTATACCTCATGACTAGGTCTCGCGGCTAAATAGCTAACCTTAGGAATCAGCTAGTGTAAAACCGAATAGATCTAAAAAAGTATTCTATTCCGTGCCCGTGCTCCGTCGCAAGCACCGACTTGAAAGTGGAGCCACCCGGGTCGGATCTTCAGGGCCAGATTTTGTACTCCGTACGGAGTATCTTGAGGTCATTCCCATCCTTCGGAGTTCAAATCCATGCCGGCTGGACCACCCTTTCCTCAAATTAGACTTCAACGGCAAGGCAGCAGATCCAAAGAAAGCCATAGCTACTATCTAGACTTCCTGCTGCCTGACTCAGGCATAGGTGCGCCACGCAAGCTCACGGTCGATCGGCCACGCCCTTTCGCTTATTAGGAAGCCCGTATTGAGTGCCCGACAGTCCAGGCCCGCCAAATCGCAAAAATAAGCCGGTCGAAGGAGCAGCAGGACAGCTCGATGTATGGACTAAATACGGAGTACTCCATGCCCCAATAGAATATAGGCTCTTCGGCCTCTTTCTGTCCAATCATATTATTTTTCCCTTGGGCACTGCCCTTCCAAGGCTCAGTGAGAGTCATGTCGAAGAATATCATAGCCAAGAAAAGTGGGGGCTATCCGGATTGGGAGCCCGCGACATCGCAGTTCACCCTTTCAGTTTCGGTAGTCATTGATCTATGGATTTACCTACAAGAATTCGCCAGAACAGTCTATGCTAAGACCTTCACAAAGACATTTAATTGTCAGCAGCTTGATTTATCAGATATCCTTGGCATATCTAGAACCGCGCCCTTGGCTCGTATGTACAAGCGATGCCATTGGATCCACAATCCATAAGTCCGACCATCTACTCCGACGCTTAGTCCGCTCCACCTACCTCTGACGTCTCGAGTGCTTTGGGTTTCTTCCACATGGTGAGAGTCAGTCGCCTAGGTGGGTCTGTGTGGATCTCTGACATCTATTTTTTTTTTTTCGGAGTACATGACGGAGTAGTAGATCTTATAGGAAATATTATGTGTGTCTCTGCTATAAAGACCGTAGAACCACCCATCCAAAAAGATCCAATCCAGAATCAAATCAGTCTTCTAAACAAACAACCTCATTCTTGGTTGATCCATACTCCATTCCAGCTTGATATCAGCATATCTATACCAGACTCAAACTCTACTCTACTTTCTCGACCTCCTTCAACCCAACAATCCTCCCTCTCACCATTACCATCATCATCACCTCTACCAAGATGACCAGCTTCGTCTCCTCCGGCTCAAAAAGCTCCCAGGGCTCCCAGAACCTGAGCGATACCGCATCCACACATTCCACCGTCTCCACCGCAACAACGCTCAAGGGCGCCGACTCCCCCAAGCAAAAGAAGAAGTTCTTCTCCTTCTCCAAGGCTGAACCGCAGTCCACCAAGGGGTCATACCAAGCCAAACAGGCCATGCACAATGAAGCCATCGCTAGCTACTTCTCCATGCGCTAGTCTCTGTCATACTCTGTACTTGCTCTTTGCCAAGTCAAACCTTGTTTTGACTTGACCCTTCACGAATACAATACCCCCGACTCCGACTGCTTGAACAATACCTCGCATCCTTCGTCTTTATTGACTTCGATTTCAACTCGCCTCGTCTTCCTTTCGACACTTTCTCATTTGTCTGCTTGCTTGATTTGAACTGCGTCATGATGATTATGAACATGAATAATACTCCGTGAAGAATTTTGCGCGACATACTTGTTTGGTTGTGGACTTTTATATAGAATTGTTGCTTCGTTTACGCTTTATCTGTGGTTTTAATCTAGATTGTTTGGTCACTCTATCTTTTTTTCAATTTTGTTTTTAGGCAATACATAATATTCGCTACATTATCTCCTTCCTCTTCTTCTTAATGCCCTTAGAGTCATCTTGAAATGCGATTATCTGAATATTTCTGCAAATAGATACAAGAACTGCCCACTGGAAAACTAATAAATGGTATACCACAACAAATAAACCCCCAATTGTCCGGGCAAGAAACAAAAACGCCAGAATGAATGCCCCATGATACTCACACATCTCACAGTCCAGCCATCAACTCACTCATCGAGATAGGCTTCCGAACCGCATTCGAGAATCCTTCGTGATACGTAACCCAAACCTTCCTCCCAGCTTTCGACGTATCATCCGACAGATCCCCTCCAGACTCCTCGTCTTTGCCGCTGGGACTGGGCGTCTCAAGAACCCGGCCAAAGAAGTCCCGCTTAACAAGACCCTCTTTAATAGACTTTTTGGCGGCTTCGCCTGGTTGAGGGGTTTTGCCAAGTGCGTATTTACCACTGACAGAATGTTCGGATTGCTTCCGCATTGTCTCCTTGCGATATTCTTGGTCCAGGACCTGGCGGACGGCGTATCGAACGGGTGCGTTACCTCCGGAAGCTGCGCTGGGCATTTTCGAGAATGAGACAAGCGAGTCGATTGGTCTGTATAAGTTTTGTTAGTTTGCTGATTGGATTTTTTTCCCCGTGGATAGAAGGGTTCTTACGGTTCCATTCTGTAGGCCCATCCACCATAACCGCCACCTTCTTGCTCAACTCGTACTTTCTCAAATGTCACGCCCATACCCGCCATGACGCGTGCGGCGGATTGAACGAGAGTGCGTTCGGACTCCTTGCGGACGCTGGCTGTGCTTTTGTTGTCGCCGCCTGTTCGGACGATGACTGGTTTCACGTCTGGCGAGAGCATGCGGACTAGGTGTGGGACTAGGTCGGTGATGACAGATTCAGAGGATCGGAAAATGCGGGTTATGGGTGCTGAGAATGAAGTGTGGAAGCCGTTCAAGATTGCGCGGTTTGCTTTCATTGCTTCGAAGGCGGCGAAATCGGCTCGGGGGCCGGAAAAAGGGTGTTCTTCCTCGGCATCCTCATCGTCTTCATCTTTTTCGGTGGCCTCGGTCTTGCCCCCAGCAGAGGCGAAGAGATGGTGGAAAGCCAATACAGACTGGCTCAGGTACGGGCCCAATTCCCATTCTTGCTGCGAATGAACCTTCGAAGAGATTGTGTCGTGGAAGTGGAGCCATTCATAAGCAGCACTGGGCTTGGAAAGAAAGGTGTCGTCCTGGTACTGTTGGATGGGATATGCGGCAAAACAGTCGTTAACACATCGGTCATGGTCGCCGCTAGAGTCCACCATCTCTCGCAGGCGGTTGATGGCGTGTCTCTTGCGTAGATCGGCTACACCAACAGGAACCCGTGTGTTCGGTCCGTCGTACTTATCTTGGAAGGTCAGTCCCATGGGGGTATCCGTAAAGCCTGCACCTTCAGTGAAGACGCGGTTGACAATCTCGCGGACACCTCCACGGCTCATTTCTTTGAAGAATGAACCACCCTCTGTCGACGCACTGAGAACTCGTTGTTCTAGCCAATTTCGGGTTAGTCGCAACGCTGTTGGGCGCTCATTCCGTAACTTGTGGGCAACCCATTCTGCGGCTACCAGCACGCTGCGGATATCACCCTCGGCAGATCCGGTATTTTTGTCACCGCGCTTTCTTCGACTCGCTAATCCCCAGGCTGCTTCGCAAAGTCGTCGGGCTCCATCGCCATCACAGGGGATTCCTTCGCGGGTGAAAATACTTTTCACTCGTTGAACGACATTATCCAATGGAGCCTGTCGAACATGAATCATCTCCGCGATAGATGACGCTCGCAAAGGACGGAGACTGGGGTGGTAAAGATCATTGCAGACTAAGATCAAGGGCCGAAGGAAGCGGAAGTTATCACCCTTGCGCTTCTTGCCTCTGTTTTCTTCAGTCTTATTTGAATTCCGCTGGTCAAGCATGACGAGGTCGATTAGGGCTTTCATGAAACCACCCTCGCCGCCACTTCCGGCTCCGCCAACAACGCCGTCGACTTCATCGACAACGACACAGACAGGCCTCGCAGCCCGACGGACCTTATTCTCGCCAACTTCCACATTTGCGCCCTTCACGTTCTCCGTGGCCAACGCATCGCGAATGCGGCCCTTAACCACATCCCTACTGCGTTCGTCACTGGCATTGATCTCCAGCACCTCGTAGCCCGCCTGTTTGGCACAGACATGGGCCAAGGTCGTCTTTCCAAGACCAGGTGGACCACTTAACAAAAGTACTTTTCGATGAATGCGCTCTTCATCTTCCTCTTGGCCTTTCTTTGGACGAGACTTCGATAGGCCTGGAAAGACAATCGGCTCCCATCCCTTTAGCCAGCGGAGGACAGCTCGGTGTGTGCGCTCGTCTCCAATAAGATCGGTGAACTTTCTAGCACGGTACTTCTCTGTCCACATCATGGAATCATACTTCTTTTGCTTCGCATCGCCCTCGTGCTTTTCTATAGAGGGTTGTACCGGGGGCGCGGATGCTGGCTTGGAAGCTTTCGCTTTGGCCTCCTTCGCAGCATCGTCCAGCAGTTTGTGTATTTCAATTCCATAGTAGCTCTTCGTTGCTCGTCCTGCTTCCGTCTCAGATCGGCCAGCAATCATGCGCTCATAGGAAAGAGGAGTAGAGGCCTTCTTCGAGGAAACATGGTGCATCTTGCCTGAGCAAGTCTTAATCTGGAATCTCACTGGGGGTGCAGGGGCGGGTCGAATGGTCATCTGGGGTTGAATCTGAGACTGAGGTTGAGGTTGAGGGGCTTTGGACGTGGTGTCATTCGTTTGAGATAGGGACGATAGTTGATGTGGTTGATCTAATATTCCGGGTAGACCTAGTTCGGGGTTCTCTGGCAAGTCGAATTGCGTCTTTAGCTGCTCGTCCCTGAGAGCAGCAAGATCGTCATCTTCTTCATCTTCGTCATCATCGACGAATCCTCCCACAAACTTCTGTCGCTTGGGTTCGGCTTGTGGGCTCTCGTCCACTTCGCCTGCCTTTCGCTTCTGAGAATCACCCGCCGCATTCTCACGGACGGAGGTCCCGAGTGGCGAAATGAATGGCATTTTGAATATAGGAGGTGAGGATGTAAATAGTGCCGAATTCCTGGTCGGCGTGCGTGGAGGACCTCGCGGGGTGCGGAGGGAGGGCTTTGTCGGAGTAGTATCTGTATATTACCCTGTCAGCGCCAGTCACTCAAAACTAGAGTCTTCTTTCTTTTCAAGGGATCTAACCAAGTCTTAAATCGTCGTCACTGCGAAATACATCGGACAAATTCCACGCTCGGTGTTGGATCACAACTTTGTTGCGGGTTAGATCTGCGCGCGCAAGGTGGATTGCTTCAAGGTCGTCGGAGAAGGATTCGGAGGGCGGATTGGCTGTTATTGGTAAATCTTCGGAGTTGAGATGACAAGCAGGATCGAAGGAAGAGAGAATTGGCGAAGAAGGAATCATCAAGCGTCTCTCATTGTCGTTGTCATTTTCCATGAAAGTCACCGTCAATCGTTTCTCTCCGCAGTTTCGCGCGTCTCGCGGCGCGCGTGTCACGCTAGTCCCGATTGAGATAAACAGGCACAAACCGGCAAGACCCACCCAATTGGATGTCCATACTACTCGTATGAATCGAGGTGCCGACCGTTTCCAAGATAGCTGCCTTGCTTTTCGTCGTGCGATCGAGAGAAATGACTATGAGATGGTTCAGATTTTGTCGGATTGGATCGTCCCTGGTTTCAATCCGTGCGATGATCCTGAATGGCTCACACGCACTCTACCAGGGCTCATCAACCACGTTGGAACCAGGACAAGAGTCCGGTCCTCCAAAAGCGCTACACTTGAAAAAGAGGTGGTGGGACACATTTTTCGTTGTGAGATCCATCAAGAGATACGCTTTTCGAGCAACCTATCCTGTTCCTTCATGATTCGAATGCAGTGGTTAGCTTAAACTCGACATCGCCTCAGGCATTATTGCAAAGGTATGAATAAATTCTTTTCTGACTTCTTTTGTTTCATGACAATGTACTTCCCAGACGGACCTAGTCTGCAATTTGAAATACTTGACTCATATGCATAGAATCGAGATGATATCCCCGTCATAGCCACTAATCATCCTGCAAATGACCACATCTAGAAAGGAAATAAGTATTCTTGAATATTTATTGCGAAGTGACTAAGCCTCTCAACTTTAGTCCTCTAATCAGTGGTATGGTATTCTGTACGGAAACAAACGACCCTCAACAAGGTCACGCCAGGAACAAAAAATTGGGAAATCAACAGATCAGCACAAGATATCCGTAGATATCTAAGCGCTCTTCAGCTTCTCCGTAAGCTCAGGAACCTTCTCAAACAGATCACCCACCAGACCAACATCAGCAATCTGGAAAATAGGAGCCTCGGGATCCTTGTTAATAGCAGCAATAACCTTGCTATCCTTCATACCAGCCAAGTGCTGAATAGCACCGGAGATACCAGCGCACAGGTAAAGCTGAGGAGCGACATTCTTACCAGTCTGACCAACCTGCAGACTGTTATCGGCGAAGCCACTGTCGACCGCGGCACGGGAAGCACCGATAGCGGCACCAAGCGAGTCAGCGAGCGGGAGCATGATACGGTCGAATTCCTCCTTCGACTTCAGACCACGGCCACCGGAGACGACGCGCGAAGCGGTGGCCAGATCGGGACGCTCGGACTTGGCCAGTTCCTCGGACACCCATTCGGTCTGGGCGGCGGCGCTCGAGTCAACGCCGTCCACAACCTCGGCGGATCCACCTTCTGTCTCGACGCCCTGGAAGGCGGTGCCTCGTACGGTGATCACTTTGATGTTGTCGGTTGATTGGACGGTGAGGATGGCGTTACCGGCGTAGATGGGGCGGACGAAGGCTGTGGTTGTGTGGGTTAGCGGGTTGACTTTCACATGTCAAATTTGTGGTCTGTTCGATTTGATCAACGTACTGTCCTCGCTTTCAATGGCGGTGATGTCGGAGATTTGCTGGACGTCCAGGAGGGCGGCGACTCGGGGAAGAAGACTCTTGCCGAAGGCAGAGTGGCCGGCGACGATGTGAGTGTATTCGCCCTTCTTGATGTTCTCGACGAGAAGAGGGGCGTAGTTCTCGGGAAGACCCTGTCATGAAAAAGAAATTATAGTGATCAGCTTCCGCTCCCAAGACGTAATTCCAGAAATGACAAGCTGTGTATATATATGCATACCTTCTCGTAGGCATCGCTCTCCACAGCGACAACCTTGTCAAGGCCTTGGATCTTTGCGGCTTCGGCGGCAGAAGTTCCCTTGACACCGCTACCGGCAAGGAAAGCTGTGACAGGGCCTCCAAGCTTCTGTGCGGCGGCAATTGCGGAGAGGGACGAGTTCTGCAGCTTGCCCTCGCGCTGTTCGAGGACGGCGAGGGTCGAGAGCAGGCGGGCGAGCGCCGAGGAAGCGGGCTGGCGCAGAGCTCGGGTTGGGTTAAGCTGCGAGCGGGCAGCCCGCAGAGCAGAGTGGCGAGCAATCGGAATCATAGCGACGGCGTTGTGTGAGGACGAGAGGGTTGTCGTGGTGCTCCCAAGGTGCCAGAAAGGTCGAGGTAGAATCTCGGCGATCCGCGGTGATGTGAGGTGAGGATGTGGTTATCGTCGGGACGCCAAGACCTGCCCGCCCGAGGTCGGACTCGGCTAATGCAGGCATCATATAGCCTGACCACCGCCGAGCCTAGGGTATGACAATGCTGATAATAGCCTTTCTTCCTGCCATGCCGCCTCCTTAGAACCTCGACATACGGTCACGACACTCATTTATCAAATTAAGTTCGGTTCAATTCTCAAATTCAACGCCATGGTCAGAAAGATTCATCAGTTTCATGAACAGGTCGTGACAAATGGGAAACAGTCGAAAATAGAGCAAACTATACAATATTCAAAACTCAGGAGCTGCCGCTATGTTGGTTTATGGTTACTATACTAGTATCCTACGGTCTAATTCCATGCCAGTGGAGATGTAAAAAGCCATTCAAGCGTTAGATCGAACTCGAGACAAACACAATGCAGACAAAAAAGACACAGGTGATATTTTGTACGCCGAATAAAACTACCTTTACATGCAGAAACATTAACTAGGCAAATTTGTATCCCATCATGAAGTAGACTTTCTCTTCTTCTTGCCCGCAGCCGGGGCTTGAACCTTCACAGTCTCACCATCCTCAAGAGCCTGGGCCTTGAGCTTGGCGAGCTTCTCCTTCCGCGCCGCAACGGACGCAGCCTCCTCCTCGTCATCGTCCTCGGCGGGCTTAGACTTCTTGGACTTCTTGTCCTCGACCTGCTTTTCCTCGCCAGTAGACTTGCGCTTCTTGCTGGCCTTGGTGGACTCCTCGATGGCAAGGTGCTCGGGCTCGACGACATCGGCGTCCTCCACCCAGAGCTCATTGGCCAGCCAGATGGGCAAAGCGGTGGTGTTGGCACCCTTGACGTGAAGAGCCTTGATGTTCCTCCAGCCCTTGGCGACGAATTTCTCGGTCATTCCATTGACGACGGCGGCGATGTTCTCGGACAGTTGGTCGGCGGTGAACTTGGACGAGCCGACGCGCACGGCAACGGTAGTAGCGGGGGCAAGGTGGACGGGGGTAGATTGAAGGGTACGCTCGATCTCCTTGGCGACGATGAGAGGGGAAGCGAAGGCGGCGACTCTGTCTTCCTTGGCGGGTTTCTTCTGCTTAGGGTCCTTCTTGATGCGCTTGCCATCCTCCTTCTCGATCTTGGCGATGCGGATGGGGATGGGGCGCTTGCTGGACTTGTAGAAGATCTTTCCGAGGGTAGTCACCAGGCGGGTGATGATCCGGTCATCGGCCAGGAAAACGTCGTGCTCGGAGAGCAATTGGCGACGGCTCTCGAAACTCTGGTAGCGGGCCTTGAGCTTGGAGAAGCCAATGACCTTTTCGATGCGGGAGCTGAGCTCGGCCGGGAAAGCAGAGTCGGCAATGATGTCCTTGACGCTGCGCTGGGGGTCGGCGGTGATAACACAGACGCTCAACGAGGGCGAGGAGTTCAGGGAGTGAGGGACGCTGATCTTTCCGGGCTTCAGGCGGTTCTTGTCCACGACGTGCTTCTTGGTGGTGAGGATGAGCCAGACGGCCTCGTTGGTCAGGGGAGTGCTCTCGTCATCGTCGGAATCATTGTCGCCAATCAGCGTCTTCTTGGTAGCGGACTTCTCCTTCTCTTCTTGGCTGGACTTGATGTGTCGCAGCAACGCGGAGGAAGCTTTGACAACCTGGGAGAAATTAGCGGTTACGCATTGGTATTGGGGGGTCATCTGTGACGAACCTGGGGGGGTATCGAGTTGATAGGGCGATCCCGATGTCACCTTTGAGGTGAGCGTAGTAGAGGACACCATTTTGACGATATGTAGACTCAATGGTTTTTTTGCGCCGATATCGAGATCCAAGATCCAAAAAAAAAATTCCTCGGAAGGCGGTGACATTTTCACCGGGCTTGGCATGGACCCGTTCTGGCCTGAGGCATCGATCGACCCTCAATCGGGCGGTCTGTATTAAAGTGAAGAACAACAACATGCTGCAGGCCTGAATTACCTAGGTATCTTTGAAATTTGTGATTTTTTGGTCACTTCAAGGTATTTGGCCCGGAATCTCTGTGGGCGGTATTTCATCGACCCATGACGGCAACCCAGGCGATGGTAGAGATGAAGTTCAAACCATGCCGTCAATCGATGCGACTATAAACATCAATATGGGATCTTAGGCTATTGAAATGGCCCCAGTACTAGTATGGTCGGTTCTTCTAGACCTATTTTATCATATTATTTAAAGTCATTATGGTTGACTGGAAATTTTTTGGGGCCAAAATCTGTTTCTCCCGACTCGGAGGTCATCTGTGGGGATATATATTGAACAGTGGTCCACAACCGTTAGGTAGTACCACTACGAAACCAAAGCTATTCAGAATTTAAATGAACTTGAATTCGGGCGAACTTGAAATCATCCTAGAACAATGTTTATGTCCTTCTAAGGTTGGAACTAGACCCTACAATACCTAGGTAAAAGGTACTACTAGTATTTAGTAGTGGTCACCTTTCATAAACCGTCATGGAAAGCTATCTAATTCAATTCTATTTGCTAGACTACAATCACCCCGAGGCGCCCCACCGCCCACCCACTCTCCATTGAAGACAATCTCAGCTGAACCTTCCAGACATTCAAGATCAAGTTTGAAAGACCAACACGGGCTTAAGCTTGGGTCTACTGTTTGAGAATGTCTCAGACCCTGAAGAAGCAATATGTGGTCGTGCCTAGCAGAACGCCTCTTGGCCGCAAGCAAGCAAGCCACATGGTGGGCATAGGCAGTTTCTAATAATAGGGACCCCAGGTCCGAGTTACCCAGATTCTCCGCGATGACTACGGAGCACGGAGTACTAACTACAGTACACACATACACGCCACAACCTGGCCAATGCTCCCGACATTAGCGGTGGCGATGCCGGGATTTTTTTTGTTTATTTTTGACAAATGCCGACCGCGAGATTTGGACGGATAGGTCATGGAGGACTGGCTTTGTTTACTTTACAGGATCCGATCAACGTAAGGCGCGGCGGACGCGGGAGGAAGACGAGACGGGTTATATGTACGGTGTAGGTACGTATGTACTTGGGGAATAGGGGCTGCCTCAGTACTCCGCACATACTGTGCATGATGTAGTAACTATCGTGATCCGGCAACGCGTACCCCGTACAGCCGTACACAGCTAAGTACAAACACTCTATGTACATGTACAGAACGGTGTTTGTAGAACTGTGGACGGAGTACGGAGTACAAAGTATAGAGTATGTGTACCGGCCGTCCCACTACTAACTAGCTATTGATTAGTATCTGGGAGGGGATCCCATCCTATGGGTCTCGTGTTTCTCGGGATCGGGTGTGGGCTGGTTGCAACGGACTGGACTGGGTCAGGCGTATGTACTCCCTACTCGTAGAGGTATGAACGGCGGCCCATTTTTCAATCGAGTTGTATCCCGCAGGGCTATGTACATGCTTTGCTACTAAGGGGCTCCACCTAGATGGGAATCGTTAATTAATTTTGGCTAAGAGAGAGCGCCACGCAATTGTGGTGGTCCCACGTCGCCTCGGATAGGAGCTCGAGGGGGTTTCCTCGGGGGAAGGTATGGGAATAGGAGTCGAACAGCGGAGCAGGGGGTGATCTGTATATTCTGCGTGGTTGGATATTGCTGTGCTTGGGATCCACGGAATAGATTGAGGCTACGGAGCAGTTCTCACGAAGGCCTTTGAAGGATGGGAACTTGGTAGTAGGGGATTGGCGCGAGGTTTGTTTGCATGTGGCAGGCACCCATATTGTTGCAGTCCAGTCGGAACCGACGGACTACCGGTGTTTGGATCAAAAATTGGATCGCAGAGCGAGGACGGGGGATTTGCCGAGTACTATTCCACATTCACAGGGGAGGGTAAGACATGTACGATGCACAGCATACGAAGTCCGCCATCAGGATGCCCGAATAAGTTCGGAGGATAGCACATGAGTACATATACCCTGGTATTCCCCTCATCTCCCATACGCTGGGGGAGATTCAAATGGGGATTCCATACTACGGAGTACTCCGTATCCGTACAGTAAGATGGTGACGGCTAATTCATTACAGGAGGATACATGGCTAGTCGTAATGAGATGGGCGAGCCATGACGCGGACGATGGGTGAATAAGATTGCAGCGGATCGACAAGCTAGACGCTTATCGCCATTTGGAAGGCCCTCTCTACCGGCAGATACTGTTAATTCCCGCCTCTTTCAATAGTTGGGAGGGGACCCGAATTTACAAAGGTTGAGATGCGCTCCAGCTGGGGGCTATTGATTGGTCCGGGGGTCTGGAGAAACGCACCGACGTTAATTAAACTGTCGGTGGACGTCGTCACCCTAGTGGACCACGAGGGTTGAATTGCGAAGCCCCTTCCTGGACTAGGGACAGGGCAATTTGCGGAACAAAGAGTGTTTGGCTGAAAATTGGGCGACAAGAGGGTGAATACGAAGGGGATAGGGGTAAGTTGAGGACCGTAGCACTCGTATGGCGGAGGGCCACGATTGTCCCTCGCTGACGCCCCTGCTGCTCACAGGCGCGGGCGCAGGTCCAAGGCCAGGACCAGGACCAAGACTAGGTCGGGAGAGACCTGCCAGGGGGAGAGACGGCCCCTGGCGTGGTGATCAGCACGAGAGTAGAAATTAACCTTGCGGAGGCTAAAGGGAGAAAACACCCACAGGCTTGGCACATCAGCCAAGAGTAGGGATTAGTAGTGTACATACAGAGTACGAGTACTCGTACGGAATAGGAGAGTCTCCTCGACAGAGTTTGGTAAAGTGTGGTGGCAAGCAATGAACCATAATAGCAATCTGACTCTGTAGGTCGGACATAAAGCATAATAAGAATAGCTAAACGGGCGAACCGAATGATACCGTACCCATGGATACGCAAGGCATTTCGGCAGAGGCGCCCAACGATGATTGGTGTGCCTGGATGGTCCCCGGCCGAGCCCAGTACTGGCTCACTCCCTGATTGGTTGACCCCTGGCACATGGTCATTTCCCCTTAAGCACGAACCGTAAACAACCGTTGTCTACGAAGAAAAAGAAGAAAAATCATCGACTGCGCCCCACGGAGAAGGTGGGCATGTAAAGAGAGAAAGAAAAGGCGGGAGATGGACTGCCAAGGCGACAAGAGCAGTCGAGGCCTTTTGACTAGGGATGCGCAGGATCCACCAGGCAGTGTCTCCCTGTAAGTGTGTATGTACTTGTGTATGTATGTACGTATCAGTATTGTGAGACAATTCTGTATGCCGGCCACCCCTTTTTTTGCCCACAACAGTAGTGGGGCAGCCAGGCACAGACACCAAATTGTATGGACGGGTTACCATACTCCGTATTCCCATACACTGAAGACTCAATCCCCTCGCCCCCCCTGGAGATTCACACTCTCTCCTTCTCTCTCTCCCTTCCATTCACTCCGAGTTTTCCTATCCGACCTAGAGAGATTCGTCTCTCATCACACTCTTTTATCGGAAAACCCAACGCTCTCTTTCAATCTCGATTTCTCACTTTCCGTGTACAGCCTTACGAAATCGCGCGACTGGTTTGCCGTTGATGTATGTGATGCCCAATTTGATCCCCTTACCCCGGAGGAGATGGTGTGCGCTAGACCTCCACTCCACCCATGATCGATGGATGCGAGAAATGCGCAGAGAAGACCAGGAAATCTATCATGTCGCATCCATTTCGCATCGCAAACCGCACTGTGTTGCTATAGATCCAAAGGATCATCTCGCTCATCATCTAGCGCGGCTCTGGCACCTGGGCATTTAGGGGGCCGCCCCAGAGGGGCACAACATCTATTGAGAGATCAACTAAACATGGAGATGAATGCGATGGCTGACCTAATTGACTACCCATAGATTAGCAACTTGAAACTCCTCGCAATTCAAAATGAAGTTTTCCAACTCCGTTGCCGTGACTCTGGCCACGGCGGGCTCCCTGGTGGCCGCCCACGGCCACGGCCACGCCCACTTCCACAAGCGCGCTGTTGAGACCGAGACCGACACCGCTGTTGTTGCCGGCCCCACCGTCTACGACTTCGTTGTCCTCGAGAAGACTGGTAAAACCGACGAGATCAGCAACAAGGAGGCCTGCGCTGGTCTGGCTGACGACAGCCTCGAGTGGTACGGTGATGCCGTCGCCAACGCTTGCCCGACCAGCACCGCTACTCCTACCCCGTCGAGCACCAGCACCCCGACCCAGACCCCCACTATTGCTGCCCAGGAGCTTCTCGAGACCTCCGCTGCCATCACCCCCAACAGCCCTTCTCCCACTTCCACCGCTGAGCCCACCACCACCTCCAGCTCCTCGACCTCCAGCGTTGTTTCCACCAGCAGCGCTAGCTCCAGCTCCAGCTCCAGCTCCAGCTCCAGCTCTTCCGCCAAGGGCCTGACCGCCGAGTTCCCCGATGGCGAGGTGGACTGTGGCACCTTCCCCTCTGAGTACGGTGCCGTCGCTCTGGACTACCTTGGCCTCGGTGGTTTCTCTGGCATCCAGTACGTCACTCTCCTCGATGAGGTGATCAGCGACATTGTTACCGCTGTCAGTGGTGAGTCCTGCACTGAAGGTGCCATGTGCTCTTATGCCTGCCCTCCCGGTTACCAGAAGGCACACTGGCCCTCTACCCAGGGCTCCACTGGCCAGTCCGTTGGTGGTCTCCAGTGCAAGGGTGGCAAGCTCTTCCGTACCAACTCTGCCCACTCCACTCTCTGTATCGAGGGCACTGGCGGCGTCGAGGTTGAGAACAACGTCGGCCAGCAGGTCGCTGTCTGCCGTACCGATTACCCCGGCACTGAGTCTGAGACCATCCCTCTGGGTCTTGGTCACGGTGAGACTCAGCCCCTGACCTGCCCTAACGGTGCTACCTACTTTAAGTGGGAGGGCAAGAGCACCTCCGCCCAGTACTACGTCAACAACGCCGGTGTCTCCCCCGAGAAGGGTTGCCAGTGGGGTGATGGCTCTTCTCCCATCGGTAACTGGGCCCCCATGAACCTGGGTGTCGGTTACTCCGCCGGTTCTACCTGGTTGTCCATGTTCAAGAACGAGCCCACCACCGATGCCGATCTCGACTTCGCGATTACCCTCACCGGTGACGTCTCCATCAAGTGCTCCTACGACGGCAAGGGCAACTTCTACAAGGACGGTGTCAAGATCACTGATGGCAGCAACGGTTGCACTGTAAGTTTCGGAGAAGACCACTTTATCATGAGAGTATTTCTAACATTCCATCGCAGGCCGCCTCCACCTCCGGCAACGCCAAGTTCGTCTTCTCATCTGTTTAAATTGGTCGTCAATAACAACTGGGCCTCCTCCCCGAGAAAACACAGGCCAATGGCCTTGAATGAGCTCTTCTTTTCGCACTTTACCCCCAGACTCGTCGCGCGCCGAGAGGTCACTCTTGCCTCGCACTTGTTTGTGTTTCTGTCCATATCACGGTTTCTCACTTCTGTGTATCTTAAATTTTATCTTGTTTTATGAGGGGTCGTTTTTGGGGGGGAAATCCAATCTTTGTTATTTTTTTTCTCTTCTATCCTAATACCCTGCAGGGTGAAATAAATCACCCTCGTGGGTTCTTTCTATCTGATTAGACTTTATTTCAAGTGCAATCTTTTGATCAGATAATCCTTTTGTCTTCACTCTCCCTTTTTTTGGGGGTCTTCACTCTCTGCATGTCTGTCTACTTGGTTTCGTTCGCGATCAATTGTGAACCGGAGATTGATAGCTATTCACCGACATGGCATCAATTGAGGCAGCGGCGAGCTAACCGTGGCATTTCCTTATCCTGCTAGCCACCTCATGTTTGTGTTTTGTTTATCATTGATCCATGATTCATGACTCCATAGACAGTTTTGACACCTTTTACCCTTTTCTTGAATGCAAAAGGACCAACCTGACTGATCGCCAATATTCTAGACCAGACACTCCATCCCTTGCCAGCATTTGCCAGCATTTTGACTCGAGCCCCAGATCATCTGCAATCTCCATGGATTGCACTGACTTTTACCAGGGAAGTCTGCATTACAAGATACGCTAAATGGTAAGGATCGACGATCTCCTGAGTAACCCTGGCCAGGTTCCCCAGATCAAGAATGTGACCCATCGATCTGACGGGCCACGCTCAGATTGAGGTCCATTGCCTCATGGGCCGATTCCACTCCGTACTTCGATAACTGGTCGGCCCTTGCTTCAGGTAACTTGTTGCCTATATGCCGCGTAACATTTACACTGAGGCGAGGTCAAGCTTCAAGCTCCATTCTACACCTGCGCCCAGATGTACTCTGTGTAACGAACTTGCTATTGAATCTTGCTGGATGAAAAATGGAAGCTTGACCATTTCAACTGGAAGTGTCCCTACATTCCGATAGTTCCCGCGGCAAGTGTAGCGTCTTGCATTTTCTGCTTATCATTTCGTCGCTTGTCGCTCGTAGCCCTGGAGACCTCATTTACCTTTTTTTTTCTCCAAAAAATTTATTCGCCCAGTATTCTTGGCTTGGCCCTGTGATGTAGATGCTAGGGGAGAAGCTGTCATGACTGGGAAGTATGTACGTGTGTACTCCGTACATTGGATAGCTATGTACAAGCTACAGCACGCGCGCACCTTCACTTTGCGGTAAGTGGTTTTTAATCTGGCTTAAGCGAGTCTGTGTATGCACATTTAGCCCGAAGGCCTTCACCGAGAGGGGTTGGTAGTGGTTTTTTCTTTTCCTGCCCCGCTATGTTGCTTTGTATCTTGACGGTTCTTACGGTGTGTTCTTACGGTGTGTCTTGAAATCGAAAGTTTGTGCTCCGATCGGGTGGATGTGGTATAAGTTGAACCACCATTTGATTTTTTCTAGTAGTGATCAGTGAGTAATTCTTCATTAATTATTTCAAATGAGTATATAGTATGTACCGATTCCTAATTATTGCAATATACTAACTCAATTCTTGAGTTGGCAATTGACGTGGCGTAAGGTAAGGCAAAACCACGCGCCTTCTGGGCCCCCGCGGAGTAAAATTTGCTAGCGCGTCAGTTCACGTCAATATCCACTATGCTAGGAGACAATTGCTTTATTCTGAGGTTGGGAATAACGGCAGAATGTTCATCAATAGAATATACATGAATGCTCTGCTTAATTTATTCAATTCCTTTGCCATCCAGTATTTGTAGACGTACCTCGGCTTTGGCCCCAAAGGTCTGTACATACACTAGTAACTCTTGGGGAGCGATGAGTATTCACTTGTCACAGCGCATTTTGCAACAAAATGTGCCAGCAGAATACTCTTCATTTCGAGATCGCCCGATGCCAGGACGACTGAAACATACCGCAGGCTGTCACCTCTGCATACCATACCACACTAGAGATAGTTACTGGTCACTCACTGGTTGCTCCATACTTCACTCGCGTGCCCAGCTCCACTACTGTATCATGTCACGTGAGTTCAGACGCGGTCGCGCCTTTCTACATGTCTTGCTATCAAGCTGCAAGACAGGCATAGGAAGGGAGAAAATTGTAGGATAGATATTATCTTTAGTTATTTAATACAACTTCCTACTACAACTACTTTTTTCAGAGTTGATTCCCCGTGGATATTAATCAATTGAAGTACAGATGTATCCTAAGAGCAGTGGAGCCCGTGAACCCTCGCCGGCGCCTATCGAACGCGTCGGGCTGTAAGCGTGCATTTCCGCTAGAACGAGACGCTCCGCTCATTCCCACCACACCTTTTTCTCTTCCCTCCCTTCCTGACCTCCAAACCCTTCCCCCACCCCTCTTTTTTTGAGGTCCCTTTGGTCTTAGTGCTGGCCTGAATCCTCGTCGACTTGTCTCTTTCCCTATTATTTACTCTCCCTTCTCTCTGTCTCCAATATTTACGCGGTGACGCGAGTCTGGAGCTCGACTCGCCTCTCGTCCAAAAAAGGAGCTCGTGTGGGATTAACACCAGGGTTCTAGGTTTATCCTATTCCACTCAGGATGGAGTCTTCACCTAGTAGGAGCAGCCTGGCTCCTATTGCTGGCACAAAACGTCCTGCGTCTTTGCTGCCGGCCTTCGAGCCCTTGACCTCATCCCCCTCTCTGCCTCGCCCCCAGAAGCGTGTTGCACGCGAACCCGCCGTTTCGATGTATCCTACTCCCGTCCCAACATCATCGACCCATATCATGTCCTCCTCGCCTCCTGCCGCTCGTCAAACTGCCCGTCGTATCTTTTCAGCCGCCTCCGAACGAGCTCCCTTGTCGACTGTGCCGGAACTGATGCTGCCGGATAATGGTGAACCGCTCCTGATGGGTCGATCAAGTGCTTCGTGCCAACATCAGTTAGCCAACAGCCGCATGATTTCTCGTGTTCATGTGAAGGCTACTTACAAACCGGCACCGAATCCCTTCGACCGGGATAGAGTGGAGATTATGTGCATGGGATGGAACGGGATTAAGATCCATTGCCAGGGAAAGAAATATGATTTGGCTAAAGGGAAAACATTTACCTCGGATATAAAGGATGCTGATATCATGATTGATGTTCATGAGTCTCGCGTGTTGGTGCAATGGCCTCGGAATGATAATGAGCATGATCGGAAGGACTGCCCATCCACCGACTCTGAACAGACCTGTGACGAAGCAACCCCAACCCAAAGGAGACCTCTTCGTGCTCTGCAAGATAGCCCTTTCCCTGAGAACCAGCGTTTGGCTTCGCCTGTGTCTCCGTCTCCTGCCGTGCAACGGACTATCCCGCCGTCCTCGCCGCTATTCTCTCCCTCGCGTACCAGAGCCCCCGTTGTTGTATACGAAGATCAAGGATCCCCCTTGAAGCGTCACAATACCGTTGCTGGTATCACTTCCCCCAGTGCTCGTCGTGCCAGTGTACTCCTGCAAAGGTTCCAGGGTAGCGACCTTGGCCGACATGAGGAGGATTCTGAAGGGGAGAACGATGAGGAGAATGACCCTATAATCCACTCGTTCGGGCCTTTTGGCGAGAACCTCCTGCCACGCATGGCCTCTTTCCATGCCGGCGATTCGCCCATTCGGTCGGCCCGCTCCCCAAGCAGCTTGCTGCCGGCCCAACCTCTCCAGCCAGCCCTGTCCCCCAATCAGCCTTTCCACTATCACAAGCGTGACAAGTCCGACGAATACGTCAAACCCTCAATGGATGAGGAGAGCATCACTAGAATCCGAAACCACGCTGCCAACCAGCTCGCCTTCTCTCGTCTAGCCTCCACACCTTTCTCCACAATCCTGAACAACTTCCCTCCCGATATTCGAAAGTCTGTTGGAGCACCTACTGGCCCTTCAAGACTCGAGATTCGCTCTATCTTGGAAAACACCGATATAATTGGACAGGTATCTCGCCAGGGCAAGGACGCCGCTGGCAAACCCCTCGAAGCGGAGTACTATTATGTGCCGGACTTTGACCATGATCCCACGCGCCTGGAGGCGCATAAGATGGGCAAGCCCGGCCTGCGTAACTGTCGCAAGCAGCACAAGGTTTGTCGAAATCCTCATATCCCAACATCTTGTCAAACTGAGGCAGCCCAGCTAACGTTTTCATAGCAATATTTCTGGCGCAAGCCGAAATAAAGGGATAGTTGGAATCCATCTATCTTCCACTGCCTTTCTGGTTAGATTGGCCTTTTAGTACATATCTGCAGTGTTATTGATCACCCCCGATCCAAAGAGGTGAATTGCATAGCGTGGCGTGAGGCATACCCTGATTTTAATCTGTTTTATCTTCGACTTTTTTTTTTTTTTTTGTTCCTGTTGATGCTTGGGTTTGTTTTCATCATTCTTTCCCTCCAATCACAAATACTGCTTCCTGTCGACTTTTTGGTTGCTCTTCATGATTCTCATGGAGGTGTATGATGTGTGTGTGTGTGCGTGCGTGTGCGTGTGTGCAGCGTCAAAGCCAGTGTGTATCTGTTCCATGTTGGCTGTCTCTCGCGATTGTCTGCGTTCTCATGCATGACGCTTTTCACGGTCGATTTCCTTCCGTTCCTCTTTCCTGTTTCTTGTCTTCGGTTCCTTCGCAAAGTTCGTAACCTGGGTCTTAAAGTCATAGACCTGTCACCCGCTGAGATGATGTCTGATCCCATGAGCTCTGGGTACTCTTGTGCTTGTATTTCTGACACCTGCGACCCCGGCTCATCTTATTATAAATCGTGCTTATGTACCTTAGTTCCTTTCTGCTTTCACTTGCCTCATTTTCCCCCTTTCCCATTTCATTCTCCTTTCATTCTCGGCTGACTCGAAGAGTCCTTCGAGGGTTGGATGCCGTCATGACTTGTACGTTAGCTCGTCGAATTTTAAAAGCGTTAGTTCCTTCCATGTCCTTCGATGTTATTTTAGAGTAAATAGTAGAGTAAATAGTCCGCTTTGCTTGGTGCAACGCTGCCTTGTGACGTTGCGCAGTATCGAGTTGATTTCAAGTTGGTACATTCGACCTTCGTACTAGGATATGACTCGATGGTATGTGCACATCAGGCCCCAGGTTTGATGCCCTCGTAGACCGCAACCAAGAATCATGTACACAAGTACCAGGTACAGTAGTAAGTAGTAAGTAGAGAATCATCACAGTGACAGACTCGATCGGTTTAGACTTCACGTCATACCATCAAAGTCCCACGAGAATCCCTGACAGACAAGACTGGGTATCTGTCCAGCTTCGCCGGGGTATCGTCATCGCTGTCGCCACTCATCCCCGCACCTACACGACCTATAATCTAGAACCTCGCCCCCGACCTACCCTCATGATAATACGATTATTTCTACACCTACCTAGCACACAAAATTCCTACTGGTAATCAGTGCCCTGATCTAGAATACCAAATACCAACCTTATTCAAGTTTCAAGCAGACCGTATCCTACCCAACACCGCAATCCACTCCACTATAAAAAATATCCCACCAAGACATCCGCAAGCCATTATCATGCAATCCACTAGCCACCAAGGTTCACTTCCAGACCGGTCTCGCGACCACATAGTCGCAGAAACCAACCCCACCCCCAGCCAAGCCCATGAGTCAACGCCCGACCATTCCCTTCGAGAAAGAAATGACAGAGTCACTGCTGAGGCTGAGGCTGAGGCTGAAGCCGAACCAACCTGGCAGCCCCGATTCGACCGTCGACAGAGTTGGAGTACCCAGGATCGCAAGCATCAATTGCAGGAGCGACTTTTGAATGTTGAGGGGAGTCGGGAGAGAGGGTTTACGGAGAACTGAATGTGGGAGTTGAAGTGATGATGGTGGTATCTGCTACCTAAAAGTGTTGAGCGATAAGTTTGATGATTCTGAACCTGATCATGTATAATGAGACTTTGAATCCAATGGGAACTTGTTTCTTTGACGATACCAAGAGCCTCTCCCTTGAAAATAGAGTGGCCTCCAAACTAATTAAAATTCACTGTACAGAGTATAGTGAATGGCCTTGCGCAAGGTTCTTAGGGTGGCCCGACCGCTTTGAGGATGATGTAGTGGGGTTCTTCAAAAGGCAAGATTGTGTGTGGGAGCTAGGACTCTGGGATGGGAAGCCCTGGATTGTTCGATAGTAAATCCCATGTGCCAAATGTAGAGTGTAGAGTGTGCAACCATGGCAAGTATAAGAGTAATAAGAGTAATAAGGGTAAACCCAGAAGTGTCCCGCACTCCGACCTCCGCACCGCCTTAGGACCAGCCCGCCGCTCAATCCGATTCCGATCCCGCTTCCAGAACTTGCCCCATTCCAAGGAGAAGGTGACTCTTCTTTCCTTTCCTCCATATTTCCCCTCGTTTCCTCAATGTGGTGTCCAAATCACTGCGACTCCCCCCCCCAGACGTTCTGAGAGGATCACACTGAATCGATCCGTGAACGAACGCACACATGGCCATGGATCGCCAAAAGAAAAGTATGCGCTACCTGCATAGCTACGACACTTCTCCCCAGGACCTACTGACACTTTTCTCACTACAGGAGAACTCCGCGATTTGAACGAGAGAGCTTGGGCAGGCGAAACTGGTACGAATAATGCTTCCTCCCTCCCTCCCTCACCCCTCCTCCCCTTCCAGCCAAGTCAAGTTCCTCTATCTAACCCAGGTTACCCTTGCCTCCATAATAGATGTCTTCCCCGTTAGCAAATCCCTCGACTCAGCCCTAAAGAAAAATACCGCCTTCATCAAGCGTCTCCGAACCGGAATCAGTGCATCCGCCCTATCAACCTTCCTTTCAGATATCCGCACCCTCTCGCTACACAAGTATCTATCCGAGATAATCTCCGCTTGCTATGAGGGCCTCAGCAAGTTGAAAACGCCCGGTGAAATCGCCGTCGGAGTCGAGATCGTCGCCGCCCTCCATCAGCGCTTTGGCCCTGCTGAGTTCACCCGCTACATCGGCTGGCTTCTCGGCCGCGGCCTAACGTCCCCGGATAAAGCCCAGATCAAGCAACTGAGTCAGGAATTCCGCGAGCGCGAGGAGAAAGATCGTTTAGCGCGCCATCGGGTACTTTTGCGCGTTGTCACGGAATTATGGCTGGTTGGTGTTCTTCGGACGCTGGATGATGTCGAACGTCCTGATGACTTGGGTCTCAAGGGTAGTGGTGGTGCTGGTGATACTGGTGGTGGCACTGGGGACCCTGCGAAGATTTCCTCTTCCTCCGCCGAACAGCCCGTGCTAAAGCAGAAGTTTCCGTCCTCCACGACGCGAGATCCCGAGAAGGCGGAGCCGTTTCCTCTAGAAGTACTGAAGGATCTTTTGGGTCATGATCGGGAGCATACGAATTTGCCACTTGCAGTGCTCTTTGTTAAGAGCTTTAGTTGGGATATTCTTGGTGCTAAGTTGGCCGATGAGGGCAGGAAGACGGTGGAGGTTGATGGGGTGACGACGACTACGACAACGACTCCGGCCACTGAGAATGGGAATGCTGGGGGTTCGGATGCTACTGCTGCTACTGCTGCTCTGGATGCGGACCCGCCGTTGACGCCAGAGAAGATGCAATTACGGTTCAAGAATATTTTGACCCGATACCTGGATGATGTTAAAGCGCATGTTGTACGGGATCAGAAGGCTTTGTCGAATCAGAGTCGTCGCAATGCTGAAGCTTATGTGAAGAGTGGCGAGATCTTCGAAGACCGCCAGTCGAATTTCGAGAAGCAGACCAAGACGCTCGATAAGCTTGTTGCGAATACCCAGGTACTCTGCGAGGCCCTCGGTGCTGAAATGCCAGATCTGGTCGAGAAGGAGCCCGCCGATGCTTCTGCGAGCGGAGGCATTGGTTTGGTGAAGACTACTGATTACCTTCGTGGCCAAGGTGATGGTGCAGGTATCTGGGAAGATGAAGAGGAGAGACGTTTCTATGAAAATCTGGTTGACTTAAAAGGCAAGGTTCCTGCTGTGCTTCTGGAGGACGGCAAGAAAAAGAAGACCGAGGGCGACGAGGCTGGCAAGAAGAAAGCAGATGGGGACAATGCAGCCGAATCGCCTTCAGAGAAGATCGAGACGGCCGAGGAAAAGGCTGCAGCTGAAGCTGACGACCAATCCACCGCCATTGCTAGTAAAACTGTCGGTGCGCAAGTCGATGCTCTACTTGGAAAACTCCCCGATCTGCAGAACAAGGACCAGGTCGACCAATTTGCCTTGGACTTTTGCTTCGTCAATTCCAAGGCGTCCCGCAATAGGCTCGTCAAGGCTGTCTCGGACATTCCTAAGGGCCGGGTTGATCTTCTGCCTCTCTACTCGCGTCTGGTGGCTACCCTTGGACAGTACCTTCCAGATATCCCACAGGGCCTGACGACCTATCTTGATGAGGAATTCCGAAGTCTACAGCGGAGAAAGTCTAAGGAGTTCCTTGGACAAGTGCGCATGAGCAATGTACGATATCTCGCCGAGTTGACCAAGTTTGGTGTGGTGCCTGAGCACATTATCTTCCACTGCTTCAAAGTCTCGCTCGACGAATTCTCCCGTATGAACATCGAGATCATTGGAAACCTGCTCGAAAACTGTGGTCGTTATCTCCTCCGCAACCCCGAGACTTCGCCCCGTATGGCTTCTTTTCTCGAAACCCTGGGTCGAAAGAAGACCGTTCAACATATTGGTCAGCAGGAACGCATGGTGATTGAGAATGCAATCTACTATGTAGACCCGCCCCCACGCCCTGCAATCCAGCAGAAAGATCGGACTCCAATGGAGCAGTACATTCGCCGGCTGATCTACCTGGACATGAACAAGCGCAACTACACTAAGATCTTGAAGGCGATTCGAAAGCTGCATTGGGAGGAGCAAGAGGTTGTTGACATTCTAGAACGCGTATTCAGCAAGCCCGTCAAGGTCAAATATGGCAGCATTCACCTTTTGGCAATTCTTGTCGGCGCCATGTATCGATACCACCAAGACTTCGTCATTGGTGTGGTTGACAACGTCCTGGAACAGATCACGCTCGGCCTGGAGCAGAATGACTTCAAGTTCAACCAGAAGCGTATCGCCGAGGTCAAGTACCTGGGTGAACTGTACAATTACAAGATGATCGACTCCCCCGTCGTCTTCGATACATTGTACCGCATTGTGACCTTTGGTCATGAAGGTGGCACTCCCATCCCCGGGAGGATCGTCATGCTGGACCTCCCAGATGATTATTTCCGACTTCGTCTTGCTTGTACACTCCTTGATACTTGTGGTCACTGCTTCGACCGAGGCTCAGCGAAGAAGAAGCTAGACTTCTTCCTTAGCTTCTTCCAGTACTACATTTGTACTAAAGACCCCATGCCCATGGATATCGACTTCCTTGTCCAAGATACCTACTCCGCCCTGCGCCCACAGTGGAAGCTAACATCGGACCCCGATGAAGCAACCCGAATTTTCAGCGAGGCCGTTGCCCAGAACTACAACATGCCGGACTCTGAACGGCCCATCGAAGCAGACGAGGAGGAAGATGCTGCAGAGAGCAGCTCTTCTGACGAAGGTCTCGAGGAAGATGCGATTCCCGACATCGAAGACGAGCAGGAATCTAGCGATGAGGCTGAAGAGGTCTCTGGGCCTAACCCGGAGGCAGATGATGACAGTGAATCGGAAGATGAACAGATTATCGTCACGCGACAGGAGGAAGAACGCGACCCAGAAGTCGAGGCTGAATTCGATCGCGAATATGAGAAGATGATGATTGAGAGTGCGGACTCGAGACGTTTCGAACGCAAGGCCATCTTCGATATCCCGCTGCCAATGAAGAGACCCGCTCGAGAGAATGTCCCTGCCGATTTCCCTGGTGAAATGGAGGTGCCTGAGCCTGTCGCTCCGCCCAAGACCATGGCATTCTCTTTGATGACAAAGAAGGGCAATAAGCAACAGGTAAGACACCCTTGTAAAAACCTATATGGGGGAGCTGTGTATTTACGATACTAATAATAGCAGACTCGCACCATCGACCTCCCGTCCGACTCCAGCTTTGCTGTCGCCATGCGGACCCAGCAGCAGGCCGATCGAGAGGAGCAGCAACGCATCAAGAACCTGGTTTTGAACTACGAGGCATCAAATGAGAGCGAGACTGCAGAGAGTAAGATTGATCTATCATTCTTCCAAAAACCAAAACCAAAAGCCAGGACCAGACCTAACAAGCCAATCCAGCCGATTTTGAAAAACGTATCCCAGCAAACCAGCGCATCGAAAAGTCCACTGGAGCCCGAAATGCCTTCCGCTCTCGCAAACTTCAGCTCAGCGATGTCAACTGGTAATATGTGTTTGGTATAACGTCCACTTTTCACATGGGGACTCAGCCTTACAAATTTCCTCCTCTCTCTACAAAGGGCATTATTTTATCTGCCAGGATAAAAAGAGCCACACCCAGCAAACAAAGACAAGAAGGGCAATCTGCCACAACTAATTTGTTCGTCTACGACTCAATTTGGCTCAGATGCAACGATCCTGCATTGACAGAGTTGAGACATGGTTGATGTGAGAATTTGATTTCCACCTCGCCGAAACGCCTTTATTCTTGCCGTCGTGGATGGGCAAGCTTGCGCTGGATGGCCAAGGCATATTGGCCTCATGTGGATGCTCTGTTTACCCACACCCTCCCTCCTCGTACTAGTACTAGTAAAGTCTGACGAGTCGAGCCTGTAGGAGTTATTTATGCCTTTTGAGGTCGCGTCGGTATCGAAATTGAAATTGGTGATGGGCGGGGGTGACACTAGGCATGAAGATTAAGGTCCGAGGGTGGAAGATGAAAGGATCTGAATCAGTATGATGATATGATGTTTATGTTTTTGCCAATGGACTTCTTTTAGCTTAGAAGATCAATATCACTCCTTATGGCTGCTAGTACTTATGACCAGGTCGAAATATTTCCATGATATCTAGTATTTTAACGCCAAGTCTATGCTTGATAGGACACTGGCAGATACTAACTAGTAAAAGTAATACTGCAATCCATTTTCTTGATACGAGCAAGCACACTAATATTGACAACCTTGGAACCTCAGGTCGGATGCTGTTGATCCTTCTTGGCACTCACTCCACCTTGACTTACGTCAACGCGCCTTAACCCTGTTTCCCTGTTTTTGTACTTAGCAACCATGACAAAAGAAATGACATAGCAATTGGGTTTGACGTGGGCCTTCTTGAAATCCTTGGAAAGATGAAGATCATTTTAAATAAATGCTAGTATAAAATAATCAGCCTTATCAAGCAAAAATCCTCTGTACTAGGGTAGCAGCACTTTTGGATAACAGCGAAAGATGTACCTCCCACCTTTACTCTTGGCACTACTTGCCACACCTGTTCTATCCTCTTCTTATCACTTCAACCCCCTAGATCACTCAGCAGGAACTGCGCCTTACTTCACTCCTCATAACCCCCCACTCCAACCATCACCCCCGCAGGGTTGTAATGTCACTCGAGCAGCATATCTTGTGCGCCACGCGGCGATCTACCCAAATGATTTCGAATACGAAACTTACATCGAACCGTTTGTGAAAAAGCTGCAAAATACATCGAAGCACCACTGGCAGTCAACCAAGACACTCGCATTCCTGTCTAACTGGACGGCACCTGCTGAAGAGCACCATCTGGAAAAACTTACGAATTTTGGACTTCAAGAAGCGCGGTCGCTAGGAGCGACCCTTCACAAGAGATATGCGCATCTAAAGGCGCCCGCGAGAATCTGGTCTTCGACTGCGGAAAGAACGGCGAAGAGCGCAGAGGGTTTCATTACGGGCTTCACGAATAACCACACGAAATCGATCAACTTGACTCAAGTCGAGGAAAGCGAAAAGGCGGGCGCGGATTCTTTGACGCCGTATAAGGGTTGTTCGGCTTATAGCTCTTCATACGGTTCTGATCAATCCTCGGTATGTACTAGTTATATTAATTGCTCTGCTCTTTCATTTTCTTCCACCTTGGCACGACAACCACTGGCAGCATCGTATATTGACCAACAGACAGGCCTTCGGGAAAGTGTACACAAAGCCTATAATTGCTCGCTTGAACGCGGAAGCGCCTTCATTCAACTTTACGCAAAATGATATCACCGGCATGTTTGAGCTTTGCGGCTACGAAACCGTTATCCGAGGGTCTTCACCATTCTGCTCCTTGAAACTCTTCTCGCCGGATGAGTGGTTGGGCTACGAATACGCAAACGACATGATGTATTTCCACAACGCTGGTTACGGTCGGGAGTTATCTTCAACTCTCGGCTTGCCCTGGGTGAATGCCAGTTTCGCGGCGTTACGTGATGAGTCCCTGTCACAGGAGCTATACGTTTCGTTTACTCACCGTGAAGTCCCGCCCATGGTCCTTACTGCGTTGGGACTTTACAATAATAGTGCCTACAGCGGTGCGAATAATGTGAATGGAACTATGCCGGAGGATAGAATCAACTACAATCGTGCCTGGAAGAGTAGTGAGATACTCCCGTTTTTGACAAATATTGCCATCGAGAAGATGTCGTGCGAGAGCTACGGATACGATGAGGGAGATTACTATCGAATCTTGAATAATGCCGGCCCTCAGCCGTTGGTGGATTGTCGAGATGGGCCAGGTGGCAGTTGCTCGCAAGACAATTTCCATGATTTCGTCAAGGAAAAGCTTGAGTCGACTGTGGGTTATAATGAGGCATGTGGTAGTGGTGACAGTGACTACCCCACATCTTTGACCCTTTACGAAGTATAAGGCGGGAGTTGTGCGAGACAAGACTAAAAAGCTTCATTTACAGGCAAGGGCTTTTGGGAACAAAGCGATTCTGCCAAAATGAAATAGACCAGATAATTATTTTGATTGATCCATCGATGCATTAACATATTGAATATCCGATAACAAAGTCGTATTGGATAATAACCAAGATTTAAGCAATTGAGTCCGTGGATAAAAGTGACTCTGATTGGTACAATCGCTAACCTCTTCGAAAATGACCAAATTGAGCAGGCCTCAAGCGTCGAAGCGTCAACGCCGCCTATTTTTCCAAGAGTTTGTTAGGCGAATCAACTATGAGCCGCTGCCCCTCCTCCCCGACACCGTGACTGAGGTTATACTGGAAAAAGATACAGCAGGAACAGCTACAAATCTGGAGATCGGATTAGTTGGCACCTCTGGCACGATCGAAGATCTCAACATATCGCTGAAATACAAGATTCGGGAAGATCCGCTTCGTGTTGTCTATCCTGCTTCCACCGAATACCCTTTTTTTCGGAAGATTAACGACAAAGAGCTGAGCCGGGATTCGGAAATCTCAGATGGAGTATTTCGAGTATACAACAACCTTGGGTTACAGTATATCCTCAAGGTAGTTAATCGTCCTCTTTACCATCCCCGTAACACCACTGTCTTTCGATAATCTTCCCAAAAAAGGGGGATCCGAAAGGAACTGGAGAATCTCGAATACTTTGCAGACGTACCCGGCATTGTGCAGGCAGAGGGGGTTGCCGTATCTACAAACCCTTATATGATATCAAGAGCTAGCAATGGACTGCTAGTTGTGACTGGGATTCTCCTCAGAGCATATCCAGGAGGATCTTTGCAGGAGATTCTTCAGAAAATCGTATTTCAGAGTATCCATGGAAAAAATGGCCCCTTCAAACCTGATCGGCGCTGAATTGCTTCCACGAGGCAAAGAAAACCCACATGGACATCAAACCTTCGAATATCGTCATTGACAGTGGCGGAAATGCAGTTATCATCGACATCAGCGGCATTAGCGGGATAACCCACGAATGGTGCTCACCGGAAATTCAAGGCGAGGTGTCGTCGCCTTTTGATCTTTCGTTTGAAAAACGTCGATCGAATGACGTTTGGGCATATGGAAAACTTCTCTCTTGGATCGGATCGCATGTCAGTGTGAGAGATGACCCAGTCGCGAATTCTTTGAAGCAGGTTGCCGAGTGTTTAATGGAAGACAATTGCCAATCACGGATGGGTTTATCAGGAGCAATATCTCGACTTTCCGAAGGCCTCTGGCTCCACCCCGACGGTCAATGATCTCCCATGCTTCGATCGGTGGACCGAACAGCACGGCCTCAGGGCTTGGGAAGGACTCTCAAAAGTCCACGGGTTATAATATAATTCCAATAAAGCTAGCAGAAATCCATAGATATCTACGCATTTACGTCAGAACAAAAAATAATAAAATTATCCGGAGTGAAATTTATTTCTTTAAAAGGTATACAGGCTAAACGAATGTGAGAAGAGATAAATATTCACATGAAGACAACAATCCATCCGCCTCCGGAAGTACGAATCGAATTCCAACACAATCTAATCAAACTTGACATCCCGAATCCAATCCCAATTTAATCCATCACTCCTCAACACCAGAAGAGACGTTTTTAGACAGCAATGGCGAGAACGGCAGCGGCGACGATGGCGCCGAAGGTGGAGCCGGAGCCAGTGCGGGCAGCAGCGTTGAAGGTGGAGGAGGCGGAGGCAGCAGCGCCGGAGCTGGAGCCGGAGCTGGAAGAACCAGAGCCAGATCCAGAGGTGCCGGAGCCAGAGCCAGAGCCAGAGCCAGAGCCGGAGCCAGAAGAGCCGGAGCCAGTGGCGGAGGTCAGAGGGGTGGAGGTGCGGCTGCCGGAGGCGAAGCTGGAGGCGTGGGTGCCGTTACGGCCGGGGACGGAGGTGGGCTTGGAGCTCACGACAGGAGCAGAGGCAGAGCTGGAGCTGGCGCCGGAGCCGGAGCCAGAAGATCCAGAAGCACCGGAGGAGCTGGAGGAGCCGGAGCTGGAGGCACCAGAGCTGGAGGCATCAGAGCTGGAGGAACCAGAGCCAGAGCCAGAGTTAGAGCCTGAGCCAGAGCCGGTGGAGCCCTTGTTGGAGAGACCAGTGGAGGAAGAGCCAGCGGCGGAGCTGGAGGTAGTGCTGGAGGAGCTGGAGTTACAGGACAGGTCGAATTGAGGAGTGCTCAGGTCGCCCTTGACGACGCCGAAGCTGGGGCTAGCACCCTCATCCTCGAGCATGTACCACCAGGTGTTGGTGTTACCGAAGAGAGGGCAGCCAACCTCATCCCAGTACTTCTGAGCATTGGCGGCAGAGGCAGTAGCATCGCCCTCCTGGGGACCGCTGACGGGCCAACCAGTCTCGGTAATCCAGACCTCCTTGCCATTGGCAGCGGACTTGGTCTTCTCAACGGAGTCATCGAAGAGGGCCTTGGCGTTCTCGATGCCGTTCTCCATGGTGAGCTGGTAGTAAGGGTATCCGTCGAAACCGAGCCAGTCGAGGTGGTTGACGACATCGGAGTTGGAGGAGTTGGTCCAGGAATCCCAGGTGTCGACGTGACCGAGGGAAGCGTCGCTCAGGCCGGTGCCAGCGATGGTGGAGCGAACTTCCTTGATGTAGGAGACGAGCTCCTCGGGCTCGACGCCGGGGCCGGCGTTGGACTTGGAGCCAGTGACCGAGTTACGGTACATATCCTCCGAACCGACGGAGATACCGACGACCAGCTTGGCGAAGTCATCACCGTACTGGCTGATGGCGGCCTTGAGAGCGGCGATCTCGTTGGCCATGTTGCCTCCGGAGGCCCAGAGACCGAGAAGCAACTCGGTCTTCTCCTCAATGGCGGCGGGGATAGCCTCAATGGGGGTGTTGGTGGTACCGCCCTGGATCATGGTGTAGAGACGGGCACTGGTGAAGCCGGACTGGCCGACGAGGGCCTTGGCGGCGGCGAAATCCTTCTGGAAGTCGGCCTGATACTTGCTGCTGCCGTCGGCCTTGGTGGCACCATAGTTGAAGCCCTTGGAGACGGCATCGACCGACGCCACGGAGAGGGCGAGGGCAAGAAGTTGAATCATCTGCATTATGAAAGTGGCAAGCGAATGTCTATATGTGACGTGAGAGAGATAGTATATAGGAAAGAAATCAGAGAAGATCTGAAGTCAAAGAAGGACGTGAAAGAAAGAGGAATAAAAGAAGGATTCCTCGAGGTTGATGATAATTTTGAAGATGTAACAGAGAGAGAAGAGAAGAGAAGAGAAGAGAGAAAGGATGAAAACGGGGAAAAGAATGGAGAAATAGCGCAAGCAGAACAGGGCCTAGCCACCTGCAACCAGCAGCACACAGCATCACACAGCAAATGCCAAAGGAATGGCATGGAAAGTCTAGAACGCCGCCACCGGGTGGAACCACAGTGGAGCACGACACGTTTGCTTGTTGAAGTCTTTTGTCTCTCCCGATTGGTCACCCATCAAGACTCGATGCCAAAAATACATCGATGTGCCAATGGTCTTGTCTCTCCTTCTTCTTTGCCCTTCCCTAAACTGGGCAGAGAACAGAAAGTGGATCCTAATCCACATGTCGGTGCCTGCAGACGACGCAGTTTATGTCTGTGGCTTGCCCCATTTGCCGGTCCCCCGGATGTCTTCTCCTTCCTGGCTGCAGTCCCATTTTTCTGTCATAATGAAATGCCATCATTGGAACGATCCAATGATGTCTGCACCGTGGAATAACCCCCAATTCAAACAATGAACCCTGGCCTGCGGGAGTTTGGTAAAGTCTTGGGGTTTACAAGTTCGCCTTTTGCCATAACCCAATCGCCCGGTCGTCCCGAAGGCGGAGTCTCGGCACGGAGGAGTCCGATCCTGACTGATGCAGGGGGGAGGGGAGGGAGAAGAGAAATGGGGAAATTAATGTCTTGCTCTGGGCCAACTTGTGAACTGTTCAAGGGGTAATTTCTCTGTATTCCGGCTGTAAATAGAACATAAATGATGTGTGTGCACGTCGCTAGCGGGGATCGGCGCTGTTGGGTGACGATCGTGTCGATTCGGGTGGACACCTTGGACACCTTTGGACACCTCATATTTGAGGCATCGTGGCGACGAAAACGGACAAAACTCAATTCTTTCAACTGGAATCGCATGGAGTACTCCGCAGTAGTATCGAACAAAGGGTTTATTCTTTGTTTAAGGTTTCTAATACTACATACTACGGAGTAGGAGTAGGTAGATATGCAAACGAACGGCCCCGGGCGCGATCTTCACTACTTTAATTCAGCTATACCTACACGAGTACAGAGTGAAGATGGACTCGACATCATGTCAACTACTAAGAAATTCGATGGATATTCTCCAGATCTCAAATGCATTCAAATAATCATGTTCAAGTTCTTTGTGAGCAATGGTATATACAATACAATCAAACAGGTCATGTTCGGCTCCGAAACCTAATGCTCGGAGACGAAGATACCGGCCATTCCCATACCCTGGGGCGAAAAGATCGGTTAGTCTAAATCCGGAGATGGTGGGGACAATGTCTTTGCTTTCACTTACGGTTCCAACACACATCGATGTCACCGCGATACGCTTGTCCTGGCGACGCAACTCGGCCAGCGCAGTGACGACCTGGCGGGCGCCGGTTGCACCGAGAGGATGACCGAAAGCACTGGAGAAAAATTAGATTAGTTTTCCGTAACAGTGCCATTGTCCATTGAATAGGGGGTTCGGGTTCGCTTACATGGCACCTCCACGCGGGTTCACCTTGGACTCGTCCAGACCCAATTTGCCAACACAATAAACACCCTGCGACATAAGTTAGAAAGACCGCGGCGATCTTAACCTAAAATAGACGAGCACATACCATCGAGGCGAAAGCCTCATTGATCTCAAAGATATCAATCTCATCCTTGTTCAGGCCAAACTTGCCCAAAATCTTGGGAATGGCAATAGAAGGACCGATACCCATGATGCGCGGTTCCAGGCCCGCAACAGTGGCACCACAGAACTTGCCAATAATGGGCAGACCCAGCTGCTGCGCCTTGGAGCGCTTCATCAGGACCAGAGCCGCAGCACCATCGGTGATCTGACTGGCATTACCGCCAGTCGTTGCGCTGGGCTTCCATTGCGGGAAAGCAGCGCGAATCTTGCCGAGGCTCTCGGCAGTCGTGCCATAGCGAATACCATCATCCCGATCCACAACTACATCCTTGACCTCGCCCGTCTTGGGATCCTTGATCTGAGTCGCGATGGGAATGATCTCGTCATTGAACCAGCCCGCTTTCTGCGCGTGCTCGGCCTTTTGATAGCTCTTGGCCGCGAACTGATCGTGCTGCTCGCGCGAGATGTTAAAGTCTCCCGCCACGTTCTCCGAGGTCCACCCCATGGGCTGGTAGTTCTGCGATGCGAGCGGGTGCTTGTTGATGCGCTCGGCCATTTCGGGAGAGCCACCGTCGGAATTGGTGCTCATGCTCTCTGCGCCGACGGCGATACCCACATCGATGGAGCCGGAGGTGATCTGGTTGGCGATATTCTGGATAGCCAGCAGGCCCGAGGAGCAGAAGCGGTTGGTCACGGAGGTGGCAGCAGTCGCGGGATACCCAGCGGCCAGAACGGCGGAACGGGCGAGGTATGCGGCGCCGGGGGCAAGGCAGTTACCCACGCAGACATCTTCGATGAGGTTGGGGTCAACGTTGGACTTTTCGCGCACGGTCTATTTTATAACAATGTTAGAATGAATGAAAGTGGCTTGCCCATTGCATACAAACTTACCGTGAGCAGTGAGATCAGCAGGTTATCGATGGTGGTATCCTTCAATCCGCCCTTGCGAGCTTTGGTGAGCGGTGTCCGGGCGAGATAGGTGATCACCTGTATGAGAAGCGATTAATATTAATTCACCGATGGCGGAAAATCCATAATAATACATACCACGTCATCGGCATTCTTAGCCAAAATCCGTTGCTTCGCAGCCGATGTCCCGGGGGGAGACAGCTGGTTTGCGACAGAGGACAGTCGTTGTTGTGGTGAAGACATGATGTGATGTGATGGGAGGGTTGGAGAGTGGGAGAGTTGTAGAGACGGAAGCTATTTCTTTTTTTTGGGAAAGGAGACTAGGGCAGGTCTTAATATTGTCCGGGGTCGCAGAAATGCAGAAACGCGGGGCAAATGAACCGCGGCTCATTTGACCTGTGAAGTGCACACATTTCGGACCGAAACCAGCTGGGCCGAACTGGGGAGCATTTGAGCATTGGAAACATCGTAAAACATCGTGGGAAGCCGAAGAGAAGTGCCGACTCCGATGCTGGAAGTGTGTATCATACCGTCACAGTTTAATCCTCGGCCCACATTCAGGGCTGCTCATTGGTAAAAATCCGGTAATATTACGGCCGAGGTGTATTGAGATGCAGTATTCATACGCGGCTTTGGTTGGGACTTCGTTGTTAGGGCGACCCGATGTCGGCAATTGATTGTTAAATTGACGTTCAATGTTAAGCTGTATTTTCTCTGAGTATGCGAACCCTGAATATATTATATTAATATTCATATTGAATATTGGGTATTGAATATTTTAATTGACCAAAGTTACTACCACTGATTCGCCCAACCACAAACCGCAAACCCGGGGTAAACCCGTCGCCCTGCGGGGAAGACGAATAAGGATACGGAGGTTGCTTACAATCTCTCCACCTCGGATTCTGCTAGTGACGAGCTAAAGCAAGGTAGTTACCTCGCTAGGAACGGCAGATCGCTCCAGCCCAGCTTCCGTCTGGATTTCTACCTGGGGGCTTTCTTTTAATTCAAGTTCCCCAGATCTCTCTCTGTCTTTGAACAATTGAACAACCATAGACAAGCCACTCAATTACAATCCTTGAGGCTTGCGCTTTTCCTCAGCGAAAGGAGAGCTGAAGAATTGAACAATCACCTACAATACAATACGTACCCTTGCCAACACTAGGCAGCTTCTCACAATGGACATCCTGTCGGAAGTAGGCGCGCCCGCTGTGGCGATGGGAACCGCCTTTTCCCTTGCTGCCGGCGCCTATCTGAATGCAAAGCTCTCGATCGGTACCGACTTGACGGCCTTGAAGAATGACCGTGCCTTTGGGCAGCGCCTCGGTGAGCGCATTGGCAAGCTGGGCGACTCTCCCACTATCTACAAGATGCTCCAACGAGTCGTTGAGGTTGAAGGCCAGGGCACTGCAGATGCGCTCTGGTTTGAACACAAGACCTGGTCATACAACCAATTAAAAGAGCGTAAGTGCTGTTATGAGCCCTTCCATTTTCATGAACACAAGAACCTGATTTCTCTTTAGTGGTTGATCGATTTGCCGCCTTGCTACACGCACGCGATGTGAAGAATGGCGATATGGTAGGAGTTTTTACGACAAATTCGCCTGAGATGGTCGTGACCCTGTATGCATTGTCCAAACTTGGTGCAGTTGCTGCCATGATCAACACCAATCTGCGAGGTACGTGTCTTAACCACTAGCTCCCTGCTCCCTGAAAAACACTAACATAGCCCCAGATGACACATTCATCCACTGCCTCAACGTCTCTGGGTCCAAGTCGATTATCTCGACCCCAGATATCGCGCAGCATGTTTGCGCCGATCTACCACACTTATCATTTCATTTTTCCTCCTTCGAGGGAGTTTCCTGCGGTGATGTGGAGCTTATCACGCAAACCGAATTGCAACAATTCTCACCAGCCGGACTAGCCCCAGCTAAGCGCACACCGAAGGATCTCACAGCTTTGATCTACACATCCGGAACAACAGGCAAGCCCAAGGCCTGCGCTGTTCGAAACATGATGGCACTAATCACCTCCAACCCTCTCTCCGCCGACGTCAACGATGCTTCCAAATTCTACCCGCTTCGCACATACTCAGCTCTGCCGCTATTCCACGGCACAGCCTTCTTCACCGGCGTATGCTACTCGGTAGGAAATGCCGGAACCTCTCTGTCTAAGACGAAAATTCTCCGCCTCGCAGTTCTGGAAAGATGTCCATGACTCCGGAGCCACTCGCATCTTGTACATCGGTGAACTGTGCCGATACCTCCTCGCCACTCCCCCATCCCCCTATGACCGCGACCACAACTGCATCGCAGCATGCGGTAACGGGCTACGAGGCGAGATCTGGGAGAAATTCAAAAGCCGGTTCGGCGTGCATGAGATTCGCGAATTCTATCGCTCAACGGAAGGATTGGCCAAATTCGACAATCATGGTCCTGGCGTATGGGGCGCTGGAAAGGTTGGATTTTCCGGTCCCATTCGTCGGTTCTTGGAAGATGATACCTTCATTGTTAAGTATGATAATGATACGGAGATGCCGTTCCGCGATCCTGAGACTGGATTCTGCGTGAGGGCTGGTTTGGATGAGGAGGGTGAGGCTATTGGTCGTGTGCGTGATCGTGACTTGTTGACGGAATACTTGCACAATCAAGATGCTACCGACGGGAAGCTTCTTCGGGATGTTTTTCAAAAGGGTGATCTTTTCCAGCGGACGGGTGATCTGGTGGTGCAGGATCAGTCTGGGTGGGTCAGATTCCAGGACCGTGTTGGTGATACTTTCCGCTGGAAGGGCGAGAATGTCAGTGCTGGAGAGATCCGTGACCATATTTGTCGTATTGAGGGCGTTCATGATGCTGTCGTGTACGGCGTCAAACTTGCTGGGTATGTTATGAATCCTTGGGGGTTTGGGTTTCTGATTTCTAATGATTGTTTCTAGATATGATGGTCAGGCTGGCGCTGCAGGTATCACACTTGAGGAACATTCCCCTGCCTTTGAAGCCGAGCTTGCTTCGAAATTATACCCTGAGCTGAAGAAGCGTGGTGTGCCATCATATGCTTTCCCGCGTCTTGTGCGATTCATTGAAAAGTGAGTTTTGAATTAGCGGACCAGCGGAATCATTTTGCTAACAGGGCGCTTTCAGGGTTTCAACCGGTGTTACTTTCAAGCAGGCTAAAGGCGATCTCTTGAAGAAGGGATGGAACCCTAGCCAGGAATCTGCTGGGGACAGTCTATATTGGCTCAACGGAACTAATTACGAGAAGCTCGAGGATAACAGCTGGTCATTCATCGAGAGTGGCAAGGCGAAGCTGTGAGATGGGGGTGTGAGATGGGGGCCTAGAAGATTATACAATCGTGTCACCACTGTATATAGAAACCTTTGTGATAGATAAATAGCATGTATTGAGTTAATGGGACGTTCGTTATTATTACTAGATATCGGATACCTTTATAATTATAGGTACTGCTGTTGCCACTATTAGCACTAGACTACTATATACTAGGTACTTTTAATATCAGTATAAATACCAGTAAATAGATCAGATACTAGATATTATAAGGTTTTGCTTACATACTTCTATTCTAAATTATCCTGAACATTATATAGGCTAATATTAAGCCTGAGGATATTTTCTCTATAACTATAACGATATTTTATAAGTTATCTCTATTAGCTACCTTATAATGTATTAAAGGTGACGATAACACTGCCGCCTCGGGAAGCGATCGGCTCCCGGAGCCCAACCTGAGTTAGTCCCCCCCGCCGCCCTGAGCTGCTCCCTGAGCGACCCTGAGCAACCCTGAGCGACCCTGAGTACTCCATTCCAACCTTGAAAATGATTGGAGAAACAATTCGGTAAGTAGCCCATCACCGTGATACGGAAAAGTCTCGCAACGAAGCTTCTGCCTTATAGGAACAGAATTGCGATAAAAGTTTATGACTAGACAGCTAGCTACGAGTAGTCTACTGTATAATTCGCGGCTCACAAGAAAAAACCCGAATAAACGAACTGTTCGCTCTCAGCTCGCACTGGAATATTCGCACTGGAAGATTTAGAACGCCATCTTCGACTTGTTATGGAGTACTAGATGAGCAAGCCATACAGCAACTGCATGGTAGTGTAGCTTTCATGTCAGAAGAAGCAAGCTCCAGGGCTCATCTTTTGCGAAACCAGGATTTAGCATTACAATTGCTTTGCAGGCTGGATTTCTTGCCCCTCTCTCGGTGAGATTGGCAGTCACAACATCAAAAAAACAGAAACGCTTGAGCTCTACTGACATGGAGTTCAAATGGAGGAAAAACTCTCCTTGGCCAACGGGGTGAACCGCAGGTACGGCTTGACCACCTGCATGTTAGGGAACCGGGCCCTGGCATCCTCATCCGCGATGTGGGAGGGTACAACCACATCATCACCGGGCTCCCAGTTGACGGGGGTATTGATGGAATGCTTGTCAGTAGCGAGCAAAGAGTCGAGTACGCGGAGAAGTTCGGCTGTGTTACGGCCCGTGGAGGCAGGGTAGGATTGAATCAGGCGAATGACCTTATTAGGGTCGATAATGAATACAGACCGGATGGTATAGGCGATTCCCCTAGCGTCCACATTGGTAATATCTTGGTGATCAAGCCTGTTGGGACACGTGAGTTCATGACGGAAGTGGGGTACTTGGGGTAGTGGAGGGACAGGAAAGAGGAGAAAGGAAATCCACTGACATATCATAGGCATAAGCGATCTGGCGGTCCTTATCGCCAATGACGGGGAAGGTCAAGGCACATCCGGCTATCTCGGCGATGTCGTTGATCCAGCCATCGTGCGACTCGATGTCGTTGGCAGAGAGACCGATCAACTTGACGTTGCGCTTGGTGAACTCGGGCTCGTATTTGGCCAGTGCGGCCAGCTCCGTGGTGCAGACTGGGGTGTAATCCTCCGGGTGGGAGAAGAGAATCGCCCAATTGTTGCCGACCCACTCGTGAAAGTCGATAGGGCCGATGGTAGTTTCGGCTTGAAAGTTGGGGGCAATCGACCCAAGACGGAGACTAGCAGATCGACGCAAGGGTTAGTCAGAATGCAGAACGAACGGCCGGGGTGATGTTGCCAAGATCGATGAACGGGACTCTCCAGAATAATGGAGGCACGGAAGAGCAACGAGTATCTTGCTTTTTTTTTTTTTTTTTTCTTTTGCTCCTTATTTCTTCCTTTTGTAGTTCATTTGGGGTTGGGAAAGAAAGCAAAACCAGACCGCCGACTGGGAAAGAAGAAGTAGGATTCTCAGGAGACTTACGGGGTGGACCTCGTTCCTTCCTGCATCGTGGGGGAGGGGAAGGAACCACTTGCGATCGAGCCGGCAAAAGAATCCTGGTGGAAGAATCAAAACAGCCGCAGGTCTACTATTAAATTCAATGATAAATGGACGCGGAGTAGATAACCAAGTGAGAGAATCGGAAAGCCGTAAAAGGGGGTCGATGGAAGAGTCTGGAAGCGGTCAGGTTAAGCATCCATCATCTATTTACTGATATTTTGCGCGTCATGCACTCCTTTTTCCCCGCTTTAAGATCGTTGGTCTTTGGTCTTGGGTCATTTGATAGACAATGAGTCGATCGCAACGGGGAAAAACTCTCTCAACCTGAAAAATTTCATATTCTTCAATACATCCCACCCGAGGGAAAGAAAAACAGTCTAGTTCGAATTTAGTCAAGGAGAAAACACATAAAAAAAAAAAAAAAAAACCTGTTTCTCTGAAAATCGGATAGCTGGCGGTAATTCTCCCTTCTTTCCAAATTCCTTCCTTCTCCTTCTGGATAGCTTACTATTCTCCCCACCTTCATTGGGAGTAAGTAATACGTACGACGTGCCTTACATTGACTGTGTAGTTCTCCTTTCCGGACTCTCTCTCTCTCCTTCTCACTTGTTTCTATTGCGCTTATTTCTACTCTATTTGCGACCGGAGAACAGGAGGAAAAGCACGGCGATCTTGACACCCGATCCGCAGTGGGTCCTTCCACCTGATCCCCCAACGACACCCTCATGTTTCCTGCGAAATCGTAGAAGCGCACGAAGAGGCAGAAAGGCCTCCAATCTGTCTGATGGACAGACTGAATCAGCTATCGGTTTATACTTGGGACGAGTCGCGGCAATTTCGCTCAAGCTATGGCGTATGGTGCGTTGGCTCACTTCCAGTCCCCCCACCCCAAACGACGACGAAGCTCTCTGCTGAAACTCTCTTAGGCACGTCTTCGGGACGAGGCACCTCGGCCGTGCCACTAGTCAAGATCATGCACAGACTGCTCGCCAGCCAAGTGTCTCCTCTCCGGTTGATGTGAGCGATACCTCAGCCCTATGTGGTCTTGACGAGGACAGCCACCTGGAGAGCTCGCACAGAGGGTCGGAGGGAACAATCGAAGTGATGGCGCGCATTGGTGAGAGTCTGGGCCTGGAGGAAAGGGTGCAAGAAGAGTATCAGATGCTGGCATCCGTTGCTGCCCCTCATCGCAAGTATCTCCTGCGGCCCGTGGAGATGCTGCGCTTACCCAGCCTCAAGGAGGGCCACGAGCCATCGCTCCTGGTCTGCATATATGAAAACCCCGGTCCCAACGATCTCCTGCACTTTGTTGATTGCGACGCGACCTGGTATCAGATGCGTCCCGAGGGCGATAAATGTGATGACGAGATCGATGATCTGGGCTCGCATCAGTCCGGCCGGAGAGAGTTCATGCCGTTGCAAAATTTTCTGGATTTCGCCATCGGTGCAGCTGGATGCATCAAAATGCTGCATAGCCAGCAAATTGTGCATGGGCAGATTCGGGGGGATGCGTTTCACTTCAATCGGGAGACCGGCCGCGTGAGACTGCTCCATCTCGGGGTGGGTATCCTGTCCCATCATACCGGGCGAAAGAGCGCCGGCTGGTCCGCCCTTGCGAATCGAAACGTTGCCGCGGCCAATATCTCCTTCATGGGCCTCAAACAGACCGACCAGCCGCCCATCCAGCCCGACAATCGCGCCGATATCTACTCCCTCGGCATCCTGCTGTGGAACGCTTTAATCCACCAGACCCCGTTTGGGGGCGAGACTCCCATGGACATCATAAAGGAGGCACTTGGACAGGAGCTGCCGTCGGTGTCGAGCTTGCGACCCGAAGTCCCGGAAGTCATTGCACGGATTATCACCAAGGCAACGGCAAATTCTGTCTCGGAGCGATACAACTCTGTCAGTGGCCTGCGACATGATCTTGTGGACGTGCGGAGGGTGCTTGCGACGGGAGATGCTACAGAAGTGGAAACCTGGCAGATTGCTCGCAAGGATGTTTCTCCATTTTTTGCGCTCCCACGCACGATGGTGGGTCGGACGATCGAGCGGGATACTATCGCCGAGGTCCTGGATCGTTGCTTCAAATTGTACCAGGGAGGCAACAAGCTTCATCTATCGTCGCTTCCGGAGGGCCAGTTCGCAGCCTTCGCCGCGCTCCCCTCACCAAGTGATGTCCTAGGGGAAGAAGATGCCCGTAGCTCAGCTGATGGGTTTCTCAATTTGCCGGCATCCACGAGCGCGACTTTCGCCGGAACTCCTCAGCTGTATATAGCCAACACGAGCCGCGTGCGTTTTTCTGGAGGTTCGCAGTACTGCTCGAGCGAGGGCAGCGAGTCCGGTTCCGTGGCCATAGATAGGAGAGAGGCAGAGAAGAGACTGTCGGCTGCATCGTTCGACAGCACCAGCGGCGAGGGAAGTTCGCGCTCCAGCGACATTGTGGGCAGACCAGCTGCACATCGCATACTCGCGTCGCAAGGACTCTGCGAGCTAATCAACATTGATGGAGGGGCTGGGTTGGGCAAGACTCGATTGATCACATCGATCCAGATCGAAGCCCGACGAAATGGCTTTTTCGCCAGCTCTCGCTTTGATAATGCCGCCGAAGACAGCTTGCGTCCGGTTCTACACCTATTTTCAAGTCTGTTCGAGCAGGCCTTTTCAGAAAATAAGTTTGAGCCTAGTTTTTTACCAACGCTGCGAAACCAAATTGGGTCTACGTGGAACACTTTGCACAAAGTTTTAGGGCTTCCCAAATTCCTCCTTGGTTCGGGACCTGCCGTGTTTGAGCAGGTGCCAAATCATTCTGCTCCTTCCAATACCTCACTACCTTACCGCCATCCTGCTCCTGAGAGTACTGGAACGGAAAGCTCGCAGGAATTTCTTCGGACCGGATCTTCGATCAAGTCTTTGCCTCTCGTGCGGACATTGCTGGATATCCTGCGAACCTTCACACGGTACAAGTCAGTGTGTCTCTGCCTAGATGACGTCCACTTGGCAGACGAAGAATCGTTAGAGCTTATTGCTCAAATTATTTCGGCTAGAATCAGAATGGTGGTGATTTTAGCCTACCGACCTGAAAACACGAATACGATGAAAAAGCTTCTTGACCTCTCCATCAATAAAGGTAATTCCCCCCCCCCTGTCTGTCATCAGTTTTGATCGTTGTATCAATCTGACTTGTCTTGCCATTTGGTATCATGCTTACCATAGTAGGTGCTCGGAAAGGAAGAGATCTAGGGATTACCACCATCACGCTTTCTCCACTCAGTGAAGACAGCGTGATGCAATATATTGCAAGCACCTTATATCTACCTATTCCTGTTATCTGGCCTTTCGGGGCGCTCATTCAATCCAGGACCAGTGGCAACCCGCTTTACGTTCGTGAAATGTTGAACGATTGCTATGAGCATAAATTCATCTGCTATGACTACCAGAAGGAACTGTGGTCATACAATCTAAGCCAAATCTCGGAATATTTCAAGGCGGACAAATATAACGACGCTATCTTCGATGATCTCTTAGCTAGGCGCCTGAGTAGCCTATCGCCTGTATCCAAGTCAATCCTGGCATGGGCATCCGCTTTGGGCATGTCTTTCTCATTTCAACTGGTCCAGAGGCTCCTGAACAACGATAAGATAGCCGCAGAGTCTCCGCTGCCTGAGCGAGAGTTGATTGAAGGCCTTCAGGCGACCATAGAAGCCTGCGTTATCGTACCAACGCAGGATCCTGACGTCTTTTCCTTTGCATATGACCATTACATGCATCTCGCGGCGTCATTTCACACAAGAGGCAAGGATCATGTGAATTTTATCAAAGCACAAGTGTTGTTTCAGCATCATTCCCACGAGGAAAAATACTGCAATATGCTGGCAACGGCCATCATCGAGTCAGCTACGGTAATCAAAAGCTCCGTGGCAAGAAGAAAGCCTTATAGAAAGTTTCTGGTCGACCACGCGAAAGCTGCGAGTGAGACTGGCTTCCGCTCGACCGCTGTCAAAACATACGAAAGCTGCATCATACTACTCCAGGAAGACATGTGGAACGATGATGTCGATGATGTGAGCTACGGCGAGACGCTGCAGATATACACCTCCGCTGCCGAAGGCTATTTGTATCAAGGACAGCATGCCGAAGCTAACTGCTTGCTGCAATCCATTCTCTCCAATGCCCGAAGTCCAGTGGATAAGGCTCCCTCCTGTATCTTGCAGTCTCGTATGCTTGTACAACTGGGTAACTCGACAGGTGCATTCCAGGCGCTGAAAGAATGTCTCAAGACTCTGGACACCACAATTGATGATGAACCAAGTTTTTCTAAATGTGACAAAGAGTTCCGTCGGCTATGTGAGGCCATCTCCACCATTCAGACTGATGCCATCATCGAGACGGCGCCCATTGAGCATCCTACTTTGGTTGCTGCCGGTGCGGTCCTTATGGAGGCCACGAACGCAGCATTCTGGTCCGACACGCTGACTTTCTATCAAATAACCCTTGTCATGGTTGACACTTTTCTCTCTCGTGGTCCCTTTTCCCAGGCGGGCATGGGATTCTTACAGCTGGCTGTGATATCGCTCACTCGGCACAACGCAATCGCATTTGCATGCCAATGTGGGGATCTTGCTCTAGCCTTAATTACTCAGTCGCAAGACCCGCTTACGGAGGGTCGTGGCCTCGCGTTACATTCGACTTTTGTCGATCACATTCAACATCACATTCAGTCCTCAATCTGTCACTTGGAAAAGGCTTTGGAATCCGCAATCCACTCTGGTGACCGAAGCCTGACCATCTTGAACTACGGGCTACTGGCCACCTCGAAATTTTTTGCCTCCGAGAACCTGGCCGAGCTGGAAAGTTTCTGTGTTTACAGCTGTCAGGACATTGCTAACTGGCAGTTGGATACGCCCGGTGGTACGATCCTCATCACAATTCGCCAGCTCTGCCGTGCTTTGCAAGGTAAAACACATACGCATGACGCGGTAGGGGTTATGAGTGACAACGAACACAATTCCACCGCATACAAGGCTTGGCTAGTAAGAACCTTCAAGAATAGCGACCGGCCGCTAATGCTCTATGAGAGCATTGAAATTGCTCCTTTATTTTTGTACGGCCACTACGAGCGAGCGGTTGTACTGGGGAATTCCTGCCTGAAGAAAGTCAATGCCATATGGTCTGCACGAAACACGCGATTCCTCATGTTCTTTCATTCCCTTTCTCTAGCTGGATGTGTGTGGGCCCGAAAAGAACAGCAACTCAACCCCGCATATCGCGCATGCTCTCCTCAGCTGGCATCCGATATCAATGGGCGATCCCTCGAGGCCTCTCTCGAGGAGGAGATGAGCGGTCTGGCGAAGATGTTGATGTATTTCAAGCGTAAGATTGAACAGTGGCAAGTAGTCACGGACGTGAACTATCTGGCGTGGACTAAAATCCTCGGCGCTCAGATCGCTGAGATGGAGCATGACCATATGGCTGCTCTTCGTCTCTATCAAGAGGCATTGGACCACGCTTCTGTGCATGGCTTTGCTTTCGAGGAAGCCCTGGCTCACCATCTGTTAGCTGGACATCTGATGCGCGAGGGCTCTTTGCGACTGGGAGCACTCACTCTGAAAGAGGCAGCTGGTCTCTACCGTCGGATGGGGGCGACTGGGGTTGCTGAACACATCCTGCATCTCTTTGATCTGGAGCAGCCGGCAAAGGATGTAACACGAGAAGCCGCTACTCAAACCGAATTAGATGACAGTATTCTACAGATTCACCCAAAGGTAGCCGCTCCCGGCAACGATGAAACCCCGAGCGCGGAAGAGTCAGTGGCAGAGCGTTCCCTACATATCTTGGACCTCGCCTCTATTCTTGAAGGGTCACAGGTGATATCGAGCGTGCTAAGGATTGACGAGCTGCTCCGGACAATGTGCAAGGTCATTATGCAGAGCTGCGATGACGTTGCTACCTTGGCGGCAATCATCACGGAGGCGGATACGACCGTCGGTTGGGCCGTGGCAGCAAGTGGCGACGTAGCTGGACACATCAAAATACATGATCCTCCCACACCGATTGAACACTCCAACCTTGTCGCGGAAAGCATCGTGAACTACTGTGTGCGATTTCGCGAAGCCGTTTATTTGCCAGACGTCCTACAGGAACCGCGGTTTAGCTACGTTAGTGAAGCGTGGTTGGCTCAGAACCCGGTTAGCAAATCGGTTATGGCGCTGCCCATTTCGCACGGCAGTAGTGAGAGCCAACCCCTTGCGGTGCTCTATCTGGAGGGACTGCCCAACGCGTTCTCGTATCGCAACCGGGTCGTTTTACAGCTGCTCGTCGTCCAACTCGGAATCAGCTACTCCAACGCGCTAACCCTTAAAGAAGTCGAACGAGTATCCACCATCAATCAATCCATGGTGGAGGTGCAAAAGAAGGCGTTGGCAGAAGCGATGAAGGCCGAGCAAAACGCGAACACTGCGAAGGCGGAGGCCTTGCGTCTTGCCCAGCTAGCCGAACAGGCCGCCAGGGCTAAAAGTGTCTTTCTCGCCAATATCTCTCATGAGTTACGAACTCCCCTTAATGGGGTTATTGGGAACTCGGAACTTCTACTCAGCAGTCCACTCCCGGAGCAGCAGTTGGAAATGGCAGACTCAATTCGCATATCAGCGGAACTCCTGCTTTCTGTGATCAATGATATTCTCGACCTTTCCAAAGTCGAAGCGAACAAACTGCAATTGCGTAAGGTATCCTTTGATGTCAAGGAGATCGTTCAGGAAGTTGTTCGCTCGATGGCGACCGATTTCGGAAGCAAGCGATGGCCTAAAGATCTTCGCATCATCCAGGATATCCACGCGCCCCAATACCGCGTATATGGCGATCCCGTACGTCTGAAGCAGGTTTTGGGCAACCTATTCGGTAACAGCCTGAAATTCACTGAACAGGGGTCCATCACGATTGGATCCAGGGTCGAAGATGAAAATGAGGACATCGTTCGTCTCTCCTTTTGGGTAAAGGACACAGGAATTGGCATCCCCACGCACCTCACACAACATCTATTTAAGCCTTTCACCCAAGCTGATGCCAGTACCGCGCGCCGGTTCGGAGGCAGTGGTTTGGGCCTCAGTATTTGCAAATCACTGGTAGAACTGATGGAGGGCACCATTGAGCTCAAGAGCGTCGAAAATGCCGGCACAACTATTAATTTCTCAATCTCCGTACGAAAAGCCAATCCTGAGGATTTGGAGACTGCAGCTCCAACAGAGTTGACTGACGGGTCGTCGGGTCTACCCGATAACGCAGCCGCAGATTGCATTGATCTATCCGAGATCCCCCTCGCCGACCTTCGCGTCTGCATCGCGGAGGATAACCTCATCAACCAGAAAATAACGGTGCAATTTCTCAAGAAGCTAGGATTTTCCCAGGTAGATGCCTTCAACAACGGCCTAGAGGCCGTGGAGGGCATTCTGAAGAAGGCCAGTGCAGAGCAACCGTACCACATGGTCTTGATGGATGTCCAGATGCCCGTCATGGATGGATATACTGCCACCCGCCAGTTACGAAACGATGCCGTGGATGCTGTGAGGCGAATCTTGGTTATCGCTCTCACAGCTTCGGCGATCCAGGGTGATCGGGAGAAGTGCTTGGCTGCTGGAATGAACGACTACCTTGCAAAACCCGTTCTTCTGGAGGTGCTGAAGAGGAAACTTCATAAATACCTCCAGATCAAATGATCTCCACGAATAAATAATTAATAATATCTTTCCAAACTTTCTGAAGAGCTTCAACGGGTCCGGGACTTTCTCAATAAGGAAGACACCCTAAAATAATGTTGCTGTGATATGAGACCACTTGAAGATCCTCACCAGATACGTGCAGCAGGGAGAGGTTATCGAAAAACATGACAAAATTCCCGATAGTCTTCGCGAACAGTTTTATGCCGAGGAGGATCAGCGGCTTGCACGACGCAAGAAAAGCTCGAACTCTACATGTGGACTCACCGCTAGGTACGTATATGTAGAAGGGACTTACTTCCTGAGGACGAGCCTAGAGCCTCCAGGGCTCGTCAAGGCCTGCCGTGGCCTATTCGCCGCCCCCATTGTTAGGCTGCTCCCGTGGCGCGTGACTGCGAAACGGTTGTGGCGCCTCAGTGAAGTCCAGCACGACCTACCTAGACTGTCTTAGCCCACGAGATGGTGTATGACTAACCCTTCTCGCCTTGTTTTGAACCTCCTAGCAGACTTGACACGCTGTTAAATTTGGCCTTGACCTCTTTTATTACCTCTCTTCAAGCACCCTTAAGTTTGCATAATATACTAGCACAAAGGTGACTGTTTCTTGTGCGCCATATATGAACTGATCTTCGTAAGTATAGCTAATGCGCTTGTGGTGGGCACAAAACTAGTTTTGTGGCCTATGCAGAGACGTGTTAGTAGGTACCTCAGTTCGTTACAGAAGGAGATAGAGATTTCTTAGATGGTGTACAAAACAATTAGAGTGAATACAGTCAATCTGATTTTTTGGTCTCTATATGACATAGCGGCAGAAATAATAAATGTATCAGCAGTAGGTAGTATTAGAAAGTGGCGTATGGATAACACCAGCATCAATAAGACCCCCATAGGACCAGCAATCCCTCTTAGTACCCTGACCATCAACAGCAGAGTTGCTGTTATGCTTGATATTTCAGATAGAGCCACCGAAAGCATAATGGCTCTACGCATACCGCTGGGTGTTGAACAGGCTTATCCGGTTCTTGAAGGTATTGCTGTAAAGAGTTTGCAAGGCCCTTTCGCCAATATAGACCGGAAACTTTTCATCACCGCCTACAACAGAAACTTATCCATAGATGGCACCGTTAGCCTACTGTGAGTAGACGTCAGATTCAGCAAAGTAGTACATATGGGTATCGATGACTAGGTTTATCTTGGCAGGGAAATAAAGACACCAATACTCTTCGCCGAGGAAGTAGTTCTGCAGCATCAGGGGAATACGCTTGTCAACGCGGGCGATGTGATCCAGAGCTCTATAGATGTACTTGATGATCTAGCTTGTACCATTGGTAGTTGAGGTGTTGGGTAACACAAAGGCTGAAAAGCCGCATGTCACAAAAGTTGATTGTATCTGCTGTGCAACTTACACTGGGGAGCTGCTCGTAGAAATACTGCATGCATCCAGACAAATTGGCTCGAGAGGACTGGAGCATTAAAGTCAATCCCGCATGTTGTTCTCCACTGGCCAATAGCGACCTTCTTCTGGTAGATTGCCTTCTGAAAATCCCCAGTTGTACCCCACGGGGAAACTGCCGGGATAATTCACGGACACGTCCCGGCCCTGAAATTTCAATTCGGGATATGTGCCGGAGAACGGCCGCCAAGTTTGAAGCTATGATTCGACGGAATGATTCCACTTTTCAAAGCTTAGTGGATACATTCAGATTAATGGACTATCCTCGTCCGTGACATTGGGTCGGCTAGGTTGACGAGTTGAACTCAGGACCCGGTGGTGGGGGAACTTCATGCAGTACAAATCAGTATCGTGCACCTACAGCGCTAGATCTATCGGCATCTTACCTTTGCAATTTGGCTCATCATGAGGTGGCTCCTCGACCGAGTAATTATCATACAACTTTGGGTGTTGGCAGCCCTTTCGATCAAAAACCCTATTATTACAGGATGGAATCCTGATCCCTCGGTCATTCGTGTCGGTGATGAATACTTCATCGCGACTTCGTCCTTCGAGTACTGGCCTAGTACTCCAATTTACAAGTCAAAGGATCTTGCCAACTGGGAGCTTTACTCGCATGCTTTCACAAAACCCAGTCAGGCTCAACTCTATGGCGTGCCGACAGGTGCTGGTAGGTTCAACCGTATCCTGCGACCGAGGAAAATCTTATAATCTAAACAGGCTGGCAGGTACATGGGCTCCTACATTGTCACTCATCAATGGCAAGTACTATATGGCATCCATGACAAGGTGGACCTATGATCCAGTTTCACGGGTATGGCCCCGTGTTATGTGGGTGTCGTCCTTCGATCTGAAGACATGGTCTGAACCTGTTTGGGGTGACGCATGGGGAATCGACCCTTCCTTATTTCAGGACCAAGCTACACAGAAGGTTTATTTGAACCTCATGGCTCCAAACAATAACGCGGACAGGATTTGGGGAATCTATCAATGCCAAGTCGACGTGGACAGTGGTCGGTGTGTCGGCGAGTATCGTTCTTTATGGAATGGGACGTTGCCGCATACTTCAAGTGCCAGACCCGAGGGCCCAAAGATGTTCAAACGCGACCAATGGTATTATCTCCTTATCGCTGAAGGTAACTTACAGTCCATAACAGGAAGGATTTATGTTTCATTCAGTCTAACTTGTATAGGGGGTACGGATGACCTTCATCGAGCTACTATCGCACGTTCCACTTCTCCTGAAGGTCCCTGGGAAGAAGCGCCAAACAACCCGATTTTGTTCAACGGTGCATACGGATATGACAGCCTCACCGTACAGTCGACTGGTCATGCCACACTTTTTGATACTCCAGAGGGAGAGAGCTATGCAGTATTTTTGGCCCGCAGAAAGATCAATGGCACATCCCCGCTTGGACGAGAAACCTTTCTTGCTCCTGTCCAGTGGGAGGATGGATGGCCTATTGTCAATGGAAGGGAGCCAATTCGACTCAGCCAATCGTTCGGCAACACCACGGACCAGGTCTCACCACCAAAGCCTTTCACGGATAACTTTGATCGTGCAAATCTCGATCCTTCATGGTATCAGCTTCGAATCCCTTACACGAAGAACTTCGAGATCAAAAAGAATGACGCCAATGGAATCACTTTCAAACCAAACGTCTTCGGCCTGAGTGACAGAGATACCCCGGCGGCTATTTTGCGAAAGCAGAAATCATTGAATATGACTTTCAGTGCGCAGCTCCTTCCAACGAAGTCGGGCCTTGGATACGGAGAGACAGTCGGTATCAGCGCTTATTTAAGCGAACTTCAACATCAGGATATTGCAGTCTCTGGCTGTGTCAACAGCACGGAAATGTGCATCTTTACTAGACTGATGATGAACGGCACAGTCGAGGTAATTACTCAATCCCTCTTTGTACCCTTGTGTGCTAATAACCGATCATAATTTAGTACGACCAAGTGAAACTGAACTCGTCAACCATTCCGTCTGATCTGACGCTTCACATTCGCGCCCAACCGCTTTCTTACACCTTCGGATATAGCTTGGGAATGAACGGTACAAAATATTGGCTGAAAGAACTGTCATCGTCCTGGTTGGCATTTGCCCCTACCAATTGGTTCGTTTTTGATGGCACCAGCTTTGCTGTTTTCGCGACTGGTACAGGGAAACCTTGGCCGCCGCATGCCCCAGAAGTGGGATTTTCCAGGGTGACGGAGACATACTTTGGGGAGAACATTCCCGACTATGATAAGTGGTGATAGGTTGTAGTTCAAATCAAACAATCGATGAGGCACTTGACTTTGTGAACCTGGCTCGTAGCTCCTCTTAGCAGTGGGCAAAACACCGCGTAATCTCCGCCAGCTGTTCGGACTACGAATAATAAAAATCCCGAGGCTTTGTTGCCTGAGGCGAAAGGTGGGCCGGGAGCTTTTGGCACAACCACGGCGGATTCACTTTGGTCTCCAACAGGGGATTCACACCGGACACCACGAGAAAGGTATGAATCCATTGTCCCAACAGCCTGGGCAGGACTGCTGCCCAGTGCGAGCTCACTGGGGGCCTTTGGTTACAGCTGTATTTGAAAGAAGTGTGAGCTGGCCATGGCCTCAGTATTAACTATTTTCTATGGTGTTGTCTGTGTTTTTAAGGCATTCGGGTTCTAGACACCTGGGAGCGAGTATAGCGAGGCTAGCGAGGCTAGCGAGAGTAAGCCGGCAGATTATCGTATCCGGAAGCGGTGGCGGGGAGGGGAGCTGTGAAAGAGTAACAGCCAGGCCTGATTGGCAGAATCGTACGACCTTCGGTCAATGTGTATAAGGTTTGGTAGGGTTGGTTGAAAGAGAAGAAGATAAGAGCAAGGAGCTCGCACACTAATTCAAATTCCTTCTTCATCTTTTTCATACCTACCAATAACACAATTGCCTGACCACCTACGCCATTCCTGAATTATACTCTACCTTATCCAACGCCATGCCTGTCAACTCAACTGTGCTTCCTCGTCCTTGGACACGAAAGGAGTACGGCAGCGAAAGCCCGATCGAAGCACCATCCGAAGCCGCATTCGTTAAACAATTCGGAATCGTGCTCCCAAAAGCCCAATTCATGCACACCATGTACGGGAAAGCTGCCTATTACTCGCTTCCCCCTCGTCGCCCGCCCCGGCAAACATCAAGAAGCCCATCTCGCGGGTAGTATTCGTGCATGGTGTCCAGACGCCCGCAATTGGCATGCAGTCCCTGGCCAGCGCCTTGAAATCCCGCTTCCCCTATGCTCATTGCGTTCTTGTTGATTTATGGGGCCATGGGCTCTCTGCAACGCCTATTATTGCTCATGATGCCGAACGCTTTCATCACTTGATTGATGGCTTGATGATGACGCTTCGCTGGGACGATGCCCATTTTATTGGCTATTCATTTGGTGGATCGACTGTTGCGAGCTATGCTGCGCTTGAGCCTGGCTCTGTTGCGTCTATGGTCCTTGTCGCACCGGCAGGTCTGCTGCGAAGCTCGGAGTTGAGTGAGGTGGAAAGGGGCTACATGCGGGGTGGTGAGGGGTTGGAGGATCGGTCTCGAGAGTGGGTTTTAGAGTTCTTGGAGGGTGGTCAATTGGTTGTTCCTTCGGATTGGAAGGAGAGAGTTGGAAGAGGGGAGGTCGTGGCGGAGGCTGTTCGTGATTGGCAAATGAAAAACCACAAGGGACATGCGGCGAGTGTGGTTGGGATAGTTCGAGATGGTGGTGTTTTCGATAAACATGCCGAATTTACCACAGCCTCCAAAGCTGGTGTTAAAAACTTCTGTGTACTTGGTGAGCTGGATGACTTATGTAGCGTACAGCGCTTGAAGGAGGTTGGGATGGAATATGTTGCTGTTGTGCCCCAGGTTGGACATGGAGTGGTGAGAGAAAGGGTGCCGGAGGTTGCTGGGCACATCGAGGATTTTTGGAAGAAGATTGAGAAGGCGTAGAAATTGAGGGATAGATCCATATACTCAACATTTTTATGCCCTGGTACGATATACGATACCGAGGACAGGTAGAATCGCAGAATCCTATGAGCCGAGATTGTTGGCTCACTTCTTTAAGTCATATTATGTGTGATTCTTCAAGCCAGCATGTTTCTAAGCAGCGCTACCACAAGTTAGTAGCGTGATTACGTGTCAATATAAAGCGGGGCTTCCATTACACCGTGGCCTTTAACAATCTCTACTACTGTCTAGATATTGTGATACTACTCAGAATGAGAACTTCTAGTTCATGATTATCAACTTTGATTGATTTTCAGGCTTTAAGCAAAGCGAAGCGTCTTTCATCCAATATGATAGACTATCCCAATGAGCCGACTTTTTGTCTCATGAATTGTGTTCGGGGTTTCCTTTTCCTTCCGCTTGTCCCGCAAAATAAACACCTGAACCACAACAACGGCGATTATCGCTGCAATGACCAAGCCGAATGTTGCCGGAAAGCCATATTCTGAACCAAACATATTAGTTATATTGCTGATCTAGCGTATCCAAAGGGTCACTCACTAAACGTCGGTGCCATGGTCTGAGGGAAGATCATGATAGGTAGCCAGGCAGCAACTGCATACTGAAGGGTTGCTTACCAAAGCGCTCGTTTTGTATAATAGGTGGCGATAGGGCAGGCAAATAACGAATTAAGATGTGTTGACTACGAGTCGCATTGGCCGAATAAATATGTACTGGTAGCTCCATGCCAGTAGTTCTCTGTGAAGCACTGCCCAGCCGGGTGGTACGCGTACTCAAACAGATGTCGTGTGCTTGCCCTTTTCGCATCCCTTCAAGCTTCTCTTTACCAAAGTGCACGACTCTTGGAGTGCTCTTGATTCGACTGAAAAGGGCATGACTGCAGCACCTTTGTTGATTTCGAGAAAAAAGAGACCATAAAAGAGAAAAAAACCATTTATCATCGAATACTCAAATTGCCATTTTCTTAGAGCGAGTGGAAGCCGCCTTGAGATTCATGACTGGCTTCTTCCAACGTTCTATGCTGGATTTTGTTTATTGATTATGAGATATCTCGGGCACTGATAACATGAGGTCACTAGACAAACAAGGGGACCCGAGGAATGCGGGGGGGGGACCGAGGAATGCGGGGAAACCCACGGGCTGTGCCCGGCCAGCGCGACAATGCCAATTCAATCACTGCACGCATCTGGGCGGTAGTTGAGAACATCGATCTTGGGCAAAATACCGCGGAGAGATATAGTGATTTAGAGCGATTATTCCACAGAAGCCCCGAAGATGCCATTTTCTGCGATCTATCCTGACGTCAAGATCCCCGAGGTTGACCTGTGGGGATTGATGTTTGAAAAAGAGCGAGAGGAAAACTTCCCTTTCGACCAGAGTGAGTTAACAAGTACTAAGTAGTACTTCAATGATCTCTGACAATTTCTTTCTATGATTTCGCCAGTCATCTATCGCGATGCCATCACAAGTCGCTCATATTCTTACTCCGAGTTCCACAATGCCGCAATTGCCTTCGGACAAGGGTTGCGGTCAGAATGGGAATGGCAAAAAGGCGAGATCATGACTCTTTTCGCCCCGAACAGTATTGATATTCCCGTCATTATCTATGGTACTTTTTTCGCTGGTGGCATTGTGTCCCCTGCCAACCCCAGCTATTCAGTCGACGAGCTGGCTTTCCAGCTCAGGGATAATGGCACGAAAGCCATCGCGACATTCAAATCCCTCCTACCAATTGTCACTGCGGCGGCCGAGAAATTGGGTATTTCGTCTCAGAGAATTATACTTCTTGGTGACGAGCGAGATCCATCGAGTCAATTCAAACACTTTGATCAGATAGCGAGACCGAAAACAGCACTTCTTGATGACAGGCCGCGAGAGACGCTGGACCCTGACCGTGACCTAGCATTTCTCGTCTACTCATCTGGTACTACTGGCCTACCAAAGGGGGTTATGTTGAGCCATCGGAATATTGTCGCAAATATCTTGATGGTGGCTTCGTCCGTGGGTAAAAGCTATAATTGGAAGAGCGATAAGCTGATCGGAATCCTGCCCTTCTATCATATCTATGGTAGGCTATTTCAACAACACTTAACGATTTGCCGGATATCTAACCTCATTTTTAGGGCTCACTTGTCTCATTCATCAGCCGCTTTACCGCGGTATCGAGATGGTCGCGATGGAACGTTTCGATCTCGAAACTTTTCTTCGGACAATACAGAATGCACAGATCACCTTTGCCTATGTCGCACCACCTGTACTAGTCCATCTCGCAAGCAATCCGATCGTCGACAAATTTGACCTGAGCTCGTTGCGCATGGTAACATCCGGAGCTGCGCCACTGACCCGCGAACTAGTGGATACAGTCCATAGCCGACTCAAGATTCGAATCAACCAGGCTTATGGGCTTAGCGAGACAAGCCCCATTACGCATACGCAGCCTTGGGATGAATGGTATAGCAGCGTCGGTAGTGTCGGCAAACTGATGCCGAATCTTACGGCAAAGTATCTATCGCCGGAGGGTGCAGAAATGCCATCTGGGGAAAATGGGGAGCTCTGTCTCAAGGGACCTAGTATCTTCAAGGGCTACTGGAAGAATAAAGAGGGTACCGCTATTTCCTTCACAGTTGATGGATACTACAAGACTGGAGATGTTGGATATCACGATAATCAAGAAAACTTCTACATTACTGATCGAGTGAAAGAATTGATTAAGTATAAAGGATTCCAGGTTGCTCCAGCAGGTTAGTCCTCTATCCGGTAAACCATCCGGGGAGTTATTTCTGACGAATCAATAGAGCTTGAGGGACTATTGATTTCACATCCAAGCGTCACCGATGTTGCTGTCATTGGGGTTGACCAGGAACATACAGAGGTCCCTCGCGCTTATATCGTTGTACAAAACGGCATCGAAAGAACGCCAACTACAGCCAATGCAATAAGGACATGGATGGACGCGAAAATGAGCTCACACAAGAGGCTGAGGGGTGGTATTAGATTCGTGGATGAGATTCCAAAGAGTGCCGCGGGTAAGATTCTACGAAGGAACCTCAAAGACGCTGCGAAACAAGAACGGATGTCTAGCAGAGCCAAGCTGTGAGATAGAATATTCATATTTAATGAGTTCCGGAACATGCATTTGGCCCAATTCGGGTTCAATACATCTATTCAAACACCCCTGCCGAAGTGAACTTATGACCAAACCATAAATGACGGTAAATCGGGCAGAGAAATGACTCAGAACTGAAGAGCTATTTTTTTGGTCAATACTGCAAGAATCATGTCTCCTTCAAAACTCAATTTTTGTCGTCCTGACATTAGAACTGGAGTGATATTATTCGAGGTTAGGCCAGGAACAATCATTATCACACGAAAAGGAAATGCTCGTTATGTACAGCTAGGAACTTCAAAACAAGGTCGAGAAAGCCAAGAAATCGCTTGAATGGATCGGCATTTGTGGATAAGCCTAAGGATTGGCCGATCATGCATTATAACCACCGGGGCAATTGAAGTATTACGATATAATGATAGGCTCAGAGTAGCGCTTCAAGACGCATAATTGAAGGTCAGCCAGATCATGGCATAGCGACGCTCCTCGGCTGTCGCTTTCCGAGACGCAGACGGTGCTTCCACTTCGAACGGCTCTTCTTCATCGCGCGTTGAGTTCTCTCAATCGGATAGTTGACTGGAGACTCTCCACCAGTAAAGATGAAGAAGTCATACAGGAAACCACCGAAAAAGCCGCCACCCACAGCGCCCACCCACGGACCATAAAACCAGTATGGGTTAAGGAACAAATCACTACTGTAACCCAGAGCGAGGAGAGCAAGTCGAGGACCGAAGTCTCGGCTGGGGTTGAAGGCGGCGCCAGTTTGGTAGGCAAATGTCATACTCAGACAGGTGATAACAAGGCCGATGATCAACGAGCTCATACCAGCTCCAGGCGGTGCGTTCTGGTCGTCACCCAGGGCCAAGACAGTCACTACTAGGAAAGCCGTACCGATGAATTCAGTGAAGAAGGCCGTGGCAGGGTTAATCCAAGCCTCGCGTTGGCCGGTCACGAAGCTTGTCACGATTCCAGTGTCGACGTTACTACTAATGTAGTCAGCGATAGACTCGTAGTAGATCCCGTACGCCACTAGCCCAGCACAAAAAGCGCCGATAAACTGAGCGGCGAAGTATTCGGGCATCTTGCTCTTAGGGAAGCCACGGTAGAACCAGAGGATTATAGTAATTGCCGGGTTAAGATGAGCACCGGAAATACCACCAGAAATGTAGATACCCATCATAGTAGCGAAACCCCAGGCCCATGCAGTGGTGTTGGGGTTTCCTGCGTTTGCCACGGTCACGGACAAGTCGGCACAGAATCCAATAGTCAATTGGACAAAAACAGCTAGAGCTTCGGCTAAAGCCTCGCGGTGGTGTGTTCGAATGACGGACCAGGTAGTGTGATTGTTGTGAATCTCATCTTCAACGAGATCCTGCACTAATGGGTGTAGATCTTCTGGGACCGTTGCGCTATCCAGGCCTGGGAACTCCAGTTTGGCAGCCAGATCATCATCATCTATCGCGTTCTCCGGAACTTCCGGGACAGTTTGGAGCGGATCGTCGACCAAATAGTCGGGTGGCTTGGTTTGGCCTTGGCCATCGGCCGCTTGAGATCCGCCTTCTTCGACAGTCGATAGCTGATCTTCCCATTGGGATGGGCGTCTCACCTGATTAGACGTCCGAGAGAAGCGTCGGGAGCGTCTTCCACCAACAGACGTTGTTGTTTCTCCATTCAGAACCTTGTTCATGAAGTTGGCCTCACGCTGCAGCCGAGCATCCTCCACCTGTGCAGCCATCTTTCGGGGGTCCGTGGTCTTATCGATCCTGCCTTGTTCCAGGTCATTTGGATCCACGTCCAGTCCAATCCTCTGGGAATTTTCTGCAGGAAGCTGGGCATTGGCACGCTTTTCGAGCAGCTCTTCCTTGGTCGGTACCATTCCCGGTCGTACCACGCGAGGCAACGGCTTGGCCAGCGACCACACGGGCTTTGCATTGCTTGGTTGTTCATAAGACGGGTTCAGGTCGGCATATCCAGGCTGCACGAATGGCTCGTGGGAAAGTGCCATCTGAGGAGTGTCATCGGGTCCCGCCAAAGTGAACTTGCCTGCCGTTCTCTGTGCCAGGGTTGTTCTTGGGGCGAGGCTCGGCACTCCGCTACCGCGACTTCTTGCTGCGGAGCTTCGACGACGAATACCTTCCTGGGCTTCATCGATTGTCGGGAATGGGCGAGTGGGCGAAACAGCGTCATCATCTCTCAATTCACGATCACTTCGAGTAGGTGACGTAGGTGCTTCATTTCTGGCACCAGACTAGTAGTAACGGACATTTTAAATAAGGACTTGTTATAGATCTCCGACATGATATATCTAGAAGTGCACTCACCACCGCTCTCGGGCGTCTAGGATTCCCTTCCTCCATTGTGAATCCGAGTCAAATCTTTGTCGCGTAAAATGTTTTCAGATGTTACAGTGGAGACAGAGCAAAAATGGCTCTGTTATCATCAGGGATCGGCAGCGGTGGTCGATGACGGAGGAAAATGGGGAGAAAAGGCGCCGAACTCCTCTCGAGTGAAGAAGAGGATTAAAGACGAAAGAGAAAAACCAGACAGCAAGACCCTTGGTGGATACAAGGGCCAACATATACACTACAAGCGAGTGCGGAGTTCTTCCAACCTCCCTCCGAAGCTGGAGTGGAGGAGGGATACGCAATGGCCATCCGATCATCGTGATTTCCTGATTAGCTTCGCCAGTGCTTCACATGAGGAGGAAAGCCTCCAGTCAATTAGAGGCTTCGATCCACCTGTTAGTTCCTGTCCTGACCCACAACCGGTTGCATGGGTACCAGTGATTGATCCATTGGTGTCCGCAATCAAGTTGAGCGTGCTTCAACTAACGGGGCGGCGCGAAATGAGGTATCCAACGGCGTGGCTGAACCAAGTGGACCATCTTTCGTTGGCGAGTGCTTGTCTTCCGTCTGATCCGAGAATGTGTGGGTGGCGGCACTGTTCGTACACTGCTCGTAGTACTCGTAGACTTGGAATTGATGCATAGCACATTTGTGCACAAAAAGGAGGCCAAGGGAGAAAAAAAGTGACGAGGGTGATGTCATGATGGTTTTTCCCCTCGCTCCTTCCCCATGCGAACATCCCGAAAATTGGTTCCTTCCTAAGGTTCCCATCCTCGCAATCTTGCTGGCTTACTAAGGTAGAGTCCAGAGTAAGAATTGGAATGTAATTCTCCCCAATTCCCGTTTCCTGCAGCCTCCACATCCTTCCCGTTCACTTAGTTTGAAATCTCCACGTCGATCGCCTTGGCATTGTGATGACAGTTGCTTGACTTCGGCCTCCAGAACCCCAAAACCTCCAATTATTCTGATCTCGAGGGGTTTTCGTGTTCAAGATCTGATTGGGCTGAGAGCTTATCTAATGGCAAACTTGGAAGAGTCGCGGTTTGTGCAGAATGATCACTGGTGTAAGCTAGGCATTGATAAAAGTATGCTGCCAACGATTTGGAGTTTGAGATCACTACCAGAAATACAAACCATGCCTATGAAAGAATCCCTTTCTAATGTTATTACTACTGTAATAGTACTATGGATCTTGATTCGTGCCGCATTATTACAATCCACCTGGTCACGTTGGACTGGCACGGGCAGGTCACTGCACCAACTGAGATAGATGATCTTGATTCTTGCCCTGCACCAGCAACTTGATTCTTGAATTCCCACCGAAATACTCAAGAAATACTCAATCAATCAGTACCTTTCACTCTGTACTATTGAATAACTTTTGTGTTTTGGGACTAGCCGCAGGCTCGGAGTCACAATGACCCACTGTCACTGGTGTTTTGGCCGTACGGTCGGCAAGGCGCGTGGCTACCCCAAACGCCGGGAAGCCGATCGTTTTCAGGTGGAGTTCCAAGGGTTCGTTCGCTGCCTACTATCTTGCATCTGATAAATACCCAAAATATTACCTCCTTTGACTGCTTCCAAGTCCAACCGGTTTACATATTATACGCACCGCCAAATCTGAGCCGCGTAATAGAAAAGCCGGACCATGACATTTCCACCAAATGCACGTCCGGTGTGTGATGGCTGTGATAGGTTCCGGGCCGAGTCGCTAAGCTCTATCTCAGGCCGGACGCGGGCGTAGCGTGGGGCCTACCCAGATTGCTATCGTGCGATCGGCACTTTCATTCCAATGCAACTGGCTACTTGGAGCTACACAGGGTTTGGCACCGCGCGGGGCAAGAGCGGTCGAGCCAGACAGAACTCCCATATTTCTCAGTCAATTTGTTTTTTCTTCCTCTCTCCTCTTTCTCGCCTCCTTTTCTCGCTCCCTTCGCTATTCCCCTCGAGTGATCATGGAGCCCGATAAAGACAAGCACACCCTCTCCGCCGAGGAGGTGGATCACGACGTGTCCCAGATCGCACTCGGTGACAAGTCGGAGCAGCTCGTGGCTCCCGATCAGTTCGATGACAATTATCGCACGACCAGGAATGAGATCTGGGCTTATTATGCGTGCGTTGTTCGGTGAAGAGGAAGCGGGCTCAAACTTGAGGCTTGAAACTAAAGACACCCCATATCTAGCTATTATATCGGAAATAATGGATTGTCGCTGTTCAGTATGTTCGACCTTTGCGAAACTCGGGAGATCCCAAGACCCTGAGGTCCTGATCTAATACTCTATGTGATAGACTTCGCGCCCACAGCTTTCCAGAACTTGCTATACCAGGCCGCACCTTCCGACGGTGTCATGCAGTTTGCGGGAAGCCCCCGGTCCATTAACAGTATCGTACTGCTGTGTAACGGCATCTCGTTTGCCATACAAGTGGTTGTCTTCTTGACCATCGGTAGTTTCGCCGATTTTGGCTACTGGCGACCCAACATCCTGATCGGCCTCTCCATCATTGCCTGGGGTATTGGGTTTGGCTGGCTCGGGGTGCATACATGGGACAAATGGGAGGTTGCGGTCGGACTCTATATTGTTGGTCTGATCGCCTACCAAACCACTTTGACCTTCTGGACCGCCGCCTTCCCCGGACTAGCTCGTAATACCTCTGAAATGAAGGAGAAGGCCGAGGCATTTACTGCGGGGCGAATCACTCGCGAGGAATACGACTATGCCGACACCATGGCGCGTAGCCATCTGGCCAATATCGCCTTCTATGTGCAGTCCTGCGGAGAGGTTGTCATTCTAGCCGTCATCGTCGGTATCATGTTTGGCTTGGATGTCAATGCCGGCCAAGAGGAAAACAACTGGGGGCTCAGTGTGCTTATTGCCTTTGTCTCGGGCGTGTGGCTGCTTGTCTCTTTGCCATGGTTCTTCCTGGAGAAGCGCCGCCCCGGTCAAGATCCCGGTCCACGGGGTGTCCTGATTGCGGGAATATGGCAAGTCTGGCATGCGATGAAACAGATTTGGAAATTGAAGCAGAGCTTCATTTACCTCGTTGGTAATACTTCCCCTGAATCAGCTTGCAAGTCGTGATTCCAAGACTGACCACATACTATCATAGGCTATTTCTTGCTCGGAGACTCTTTGAACACTACTGTCACTGTGATTTCTACGTTGCAAAATAGTATCGTGGCCTATAACACCTTACAATTAACTTATCTCCTGATTGTGGGAATCGCTGCCCAGGTATGTTTGGATTTCCACTGGATACCCCGAAAGAAAAGCCCTAACGCTTATATCAACCAACACAGGCGGCTGGTATCTATACCTTTTGGTTTGTGCAAAAGCGCTACAGACTAGGCACTAAAACCATGTTCAATACCATTGCAGTTGCGATCATCCTTCTGGACGGCTGGGGCATGATCGGAATCTGGACAAACAAATTTGGATTCCACAACACATGGGAAGTCTGGGTAAGTTGAAATACGGTGAAGACGGTTATAAACAACGCTAAGATGCTGTCAATACAGGTTTACCAAGCGTACTATGGCTTCTTCGTCTGTCCCTGGTACAGCTACTCTCAAATCATGATCTCCGAGGTCACACCTCGAGGCCACGAGTTCCTCTTTTTCAGCCTGTTTAGCATCATCGGCAAAACCTCTTCCTTCATCGGGCCTATTGTCTCAAGCGCCATCATTGACGCGAGCCCTAGTCACAATAACTCGACTCCGTTTTATTTCCTCTTCGCGCTCAGCTTGGTTAGTTTTGGCGTCTTGTTCTTCTGGGTCGACCTCAAGAAGAGCCAGGAGGAACAAGAGAAGTTTTTAGTTGACAAGCTGCGACGCTTGAGGGGCAATGGAGCCTCTGCGACAGAGAGCGGTGTGTCGAACGCTGTCTAGATCAAAAACCTCGGAAGCATACGAGTGATATACTTGATCTGGTTCACATCTTCGTCCCCTGTATATAGTTCACATGCCGCCCATACACGACTGGCGTTAAATATCATTTACATTTATTTTCCATAATATAAACTGGCTATATCAGAATTTATGACTGGAATTAAACATGTCGTAGTCATAAGATGGTGCTGTCGGGCCCGAAATCGATGAATGGTAGGCCACGGCGCCGAACAAAAAAGAATTGAGCTCGCCTCGGCGCCGAGCAACCTCCCGCCAACTTGTTCATAAGCCGGCCCTGTTTCTATTTGACCAGACACAATTAACGATATTTCTTATCATCTTGAGTACAATTCCGAATAACTTTCATATTCCACAATGTCCATATCTCAACAGCCTGTCATCGTGGTGGGCGCCAGTCTCGTTGGGCTTTCCGCAGCTCTATGCCTGGCCTCCCACAAAGTACCAACCATCGTCCTCGAGAAACATGGAGGAATCTCCAAGCACCCGCGAGCTATTGGATTTACAGCCCGAACCATGGAGATTTATCGTTCTCTTGGAATCGAGAACAAGGACCCCGCGCCCGAAAACTTCGTTCTTCAGCGCGCCCACGTCGAAAGCGTGATGGGCAAATGGAGCAATAACTCGACCTGGTCTGACACCAAGATAACCTCTAAGACCAACAAGCAAGAACAGAAACATTCGAAGCCCGACGGTCCCAAAAAGGAGTATTCAGTGGAACGTGGCTCGGCTATTCCACAGGATAAATTAGAGCCCATTCTCGAAGCACTTGCACTCGAACGAGGCGCTGATATTCGCCGGCAACAGAAGGTCATATCGATCGATCAGAATACCGAAGGAGTCACCGTCACCGTTCAAGACGCACAGGGGGATCAATATCATATCAAAGGCTCCTACATAATCGCCGCCGATGGCAACCGGAGCACAATTCGTGAATTACTCCAAATCCCACGCCACGGCAGAGGATTCATGCAAAACCTACACAGCGTCCTATTCCGTGCCCCAATAGAGGAATGGACCAAGGGAATCGTACAATTTGACATTGAACAGACCGACCTCAAAGCCTTTCTCGCCTCCTACAGTGATGGACGATGGGCACTAATGTTCAAAGACGACATCGAGCGCGACGAGAATGCCCTTCGAGAGGCAATTTACCGAGCTATCGGACGATCCGACTTCCCCATTGAAATAATCACCACCGGTAGTTGGGAATTAACTGCCCTTGTCGCAGATACTTTCCGATCCGGAAGAATCTTTCTCGCCGGCGACGCGGCGCACACTCTACCGCCAAATCGGGGTGGATATGGTGCGAACACCGGTATCCACGACGTGCATAATCTTGCCTGGAAACTCTCGGCTGTTCTATCTGGAAAATCATCTGAGGATCTCTTGGACACGTATGATGCCGAGAGACGTCCTGTTGCATTGCTGCGGCATGATCAGATCTTCGTGCGTGCGGATTATAAGATGCATCTTGATGTGGCTACGCCTGCTGGCGAGAAGATCGACGATGATGCTATGGAGTTTGGACAGATTTATCTTTCTAGGGGCTTTGTTGGAACGGATGAGGGTGTGCCGAGGACTATGAAACCTGATGAGTGGAACGGTCAGCCTGGTACCCTTTCTCCTCATCTTTGGGTCTTCAGGGGTGGGGAGCGAGTTCCGCTCTTGGATTTACTTGACCACAACGGGTGGACTCTTGTTTCAGAGAGTGCTCTTTGGCGTGATGTTGCTGCGAGCGTGGCCAAGGACTCGCCTATCTCCCTTCGGCCTCTCCAATTTGGTCACGATGTACAGCTCGCCCGGCAACAAGAGTTCCAGCATACTTTTGGTGTCTCTACAAACGGAGCCGTTTTGATTCGGCCCGACGGTTATATTGCTTGGAGAGTACAAGAGGTGCCCTATAATGCTGCTCAGATTCTTGACGGAGTCTTGTCTACTGTTTCGTTCCGAGTGAACGGCTCCCGGGTAGCGCAGGTATCCTTGCACTAGTAATAATAGTGACGGTAAGACTGCCGCCTCGGGAAGCGATCAGCCTCCGGAGCCCAGCCTGAGTTAGTCCCCCTGCCGCCCTGAGCTGCTCCTTGAGCGACCCTGAGCAACACTGAGCGACCCCTGAGTACTCCCGGAGCACCCCGATCGCTCACCCCTGGTGCTCCGGCTGGCCTACAGCATGCTGCTTTCTTTGTTTCATATCCTCCGGCGATAAGCGCTTTGCTACTTACGGTCGCTCCTAGGAGCTCGAGCAAAGATATGACCTAATCACACATGGTAACTATCTATTCTCCAGCGCTTGCTTACTCGACTTTATCACTTAATAACCAGGATCTACTATACTGTCAAAATCCTATGAACACGCTCTCTATAGTCTCCTGTCTATTTTACATTGTAGATACATGTATTCTTTGACGAATATCAAAGAGGAAGTTTAGTCGCTGTCTCTGGCTCTATACTCTGGATTAGTTTAGCCCCAGAACTATTATTCATTACTATAGTCTGATACAAGCTCTATAACCTATCGGCCGTAAACTTACATAAAGAAGCTAAAAAGGCACTAATAGCCTATCAAATTCTACTTAATGTCCATTCAGGGATTATACGTCTATCTCAGAGACAGGTTCCTAGGAGCATCCCCTTTTACTAGCATAGCCCAGACAAGTACAGCCCTTAATTAGCTACTATAACTTACAGTACAATAAATTCCGGGGTTCTGCCAGATAGATTTTCGATCTTAGCTATAGCCATTCACAGCTCGAACAACAGCTAATTCTTTAATTTCATCTCCCCTTTAGTGTTAGGAACCTAATAAGGACAATAAACAAACAGTTATAAAAAGCTAGGGGTATTCCCTATTTACAAAATTTAGAATATATCTTTTTATTATCTTTCTCCTTATATCTGTAGCTTGATAGCACCCTAATCAAATTACTTAAATATCTTGTTATTATAGTGACGCTAAACTATCAAAACTTTTAGTAACTAACTACAGAACTCTCTAGAGATTACTCAGATAATGATCCTGAAAATAATACTTCTAGGGTATTATGATAATCCCTTACTCTTATAGAAAGATATAGAAAAATAGTTATATACTATAAAAACGCAGACCATATGACAGGAATGTGGTAGAGGATTTTGGTATATATTATTATTTATTCATCTGACTTCTACTTAATATAATTAATAGAACTATAGTATTGTAAAATAGCTAATCTATATAAGATACTCTACCAGAAGCACCTACTGGCAATATATCAGCGGCTAATATCTACCCTGATTACCCTAAGGAGATCACACTTTTTTCTTCCTCTTAAGCTAGCAGCAGCCCTTCTATAACTAGTCTAGATAGGCCTAGGACATTAAGGAACTTTGACATATTCCAGGATAATCTAACTAAACCAGAACACAAGCATATACATATATAGCCTTGGGCCAGAGATAAGAAATAAGTCCTGAAGGGACATGATTCTGCGCAGAAATAACCCCAGACCTGCTATTCTACTGCTGCAGATACGAAAACATCAATAAGAAGAAGATACAGTCTCGAAGACGAAGTCCAATCCTAGGATAAGAACAGCCATCCATATAAACTCATCAGTATTAAAGATTCAATCTAATACTCAGAACGCTTCTATTATTTGGCCGATAGAGATATCTGCGATAGAAATCTCACCATGATTCAGAGAATAGTCAAAAGTCTCTAATTGCCACGGGATTCCTGAATCCCCCCAGAGTACGATTCACGGTCGTCTCGCGGCCGAATCTACTTCGATACACCCGTGTATGCAGGTCTGCCCCAGCCCTAGACCTAGTATTATAAGAACGCACGAAGATAGCCAGGATTCTTGATCTCGTCAAGAATCAGTCAGTGTATCAACTGTCCAATCTGACCTCTACTGTCCAATATCCTTGCCTAGTCACAGGTCTCTAGCCTGACAACTTACTAACCATTACAGCTTTAATATATCTCTTTGATGTTTCTCAGCCGATTAAATTTAGGATTAAAGACAGTAGCGTGGATTGAACACTTCATTTTGATTAGGAACTGAAGGAAGTTGAGATAAAGAAGTTTTTCAAGGAACGAACGAGTTTTTCTAAGTTTGCCAAAAACGAGTTGCTTTGATATATAGATTAATGTGATTGTACATAAATATTAAATTTACCGTAATCGCAATATTTCTTATCCTCGTCTGTGGCTAGCTTTCTCCGCCATCCTATAAGCTGTACCCGTTGCTTCTGGGCTCCCTCGACCGTGGCCGCTACAGTAAAGTAAGCCAAAGTTCAACTACGAACACACAAGACGTTCATTCAACGGTGATAATTTGGCAGGCTCATCGTTACATAAATTGCAAAATCTATTATATTAACGGTGGGCTTTGCTTTTTGCTCACTCACATATCTGAGGACGAAAAAGAGAGAGTGGTGAAAAAGAGAGAGTGGTGAAAAAGAGAGAGTGGTGAAAAAGAGAGAGTGGTTAAAAAGAGAGAGTGGTGAAAAAGAGAGAGTGGTGAAAAGAGAGTTGGTGGGTGAATTTTTGAGGTCATCCACTGAGTGTTCAACCCCTCGTGTGATATTTCACTGGGGCCGCCTTGCGACACAACCGAGAAAGTGTGTCACGGCAGAAACCCACCAAGATCAACATGATGCAGGGTAACGCCATTTGTGTCGCTATGAACTAGTGACTATCCATTGACTCCGTGCCCTTGAGAATACCCGAGGCGACGAGGGAACAGATCGACGAAGTAAGATTGGTTAGAGTGGCCACAAACCCGCGCAAAGATAGTGGGGCTTAGTTCGACGTAGGCCAACGCAAAAATCCGGTAGAAAGCGATGATGCACCCGTTGAAGAGCTCGCCGACGGACAGCTGCACTGGCGTGTGGCTGCTAAATGGGATGAAAATGAATGCGGTGGATAACACACAGCAGCCGCCGGTCATTTGCTGCAGTCCTAGGCGTCTGTATGCAATTTCGGAACAGAGGGCGCCTAAAACTGCACCGAGGAGATTGGCGTTACTAAATGCTGAGAGCCATTGTACTGTGATGATGTATTTGCCGTCATGGTTGTAGCCGAATGTTTTTTTCTTGGAGACGGAAGGCCAACCAGGCTGCGGACAATGCCGTCACCAATACCTTTTAATATAGTTGCCTAACACAAGTATTTTGAACTCACATTTTTGGGAAATTGTGACTGACTGTAATCATGAAAAGTCTCCAGCCAATGGCGGGGCAATGTAGACGTGATCGCTTCCCACCAGCCGAGGGCATGTTCCTGTTTCGTGAACTGGGAGGTCAGCTCGGCCTCTTCCGTGGCCTCTGCAGGAAGACCCTGGACTACTTTAGTCCCTTTCTCTGCTTCCATCTTGTTCTTCGCAGAGCCCAATGACGCACATAGGATATAGAAAAGAAAGGAACCATATCTCTGTGCCAAGGCTGGCATGCGGTTACAGCGGAGTATGCCGTGGAGTAGAGCCTCTCGGAGGACCTGAGGGGTAAATCTAAGGGTAACATTCATTTGTTGCGGTTCGTTCACATGCGGACAGGCCTCCAAATTTATCAAAACATACGCTGCTTCTGAAGAATGGGAGGTCATATAGACGATACCATTGACAGCTAGCTAAACATTCCAGTTTGCATCTTCGGTTTCTGATTGAAGTGCCATCTTATGCTTTGCAAATTGTTTCGCCGGGACCTTGGCATCATAAAATTTGTCGATGTCTTCCGTCGACAATCCAGTTGTATCTGGGACAATCGACCAAGCGCCCCATGTGAGCAGAGCCGAAGCACCTGCAAACACAAACCCAGTTCGAGCACCCAGGTTACCCGAGTCGACATTATACATATACGGAACAACAAATGTTACGAGCCAAGTGGAGAGTGTTTGAGCCATCATTCCAAGGGACATCGACTTTGCGCGAAGTCGGTAACTGGAGATCTCCGTTGCAATTGACCAGCCGGGGGCTTGCATCAGACTCGATTGCAAGGAAATGAGAACATTCCTAGAAGTGTGTTAGTTTTCGGTTGCAAAAAAGAAATTAAATATCCCTTACATGAATATCGCAATGGCCCACTTAGGCCCTGTCCCATGGGCAAAGTACAAAGCTCCCACAATAAAATTGAAAAGGAGGTTGACCACACATCCCCACAAGAGAGTGTTTCTCCTCCGCACATTCTTCGAACAGAAACCACTTGCAATAATGATGATAATGGCCAATCCGAATCCCCCAATTGAAATGTCGAATACGTGAATGACAGGTAGTCCTACAGAGATGAGAAAATAGATCGACTGTGAGAGGAATGGACCCCCGCCCAGATTGACAAGACTAAAAAGAAACATCATCGTGAATGTTCTTCTGAAATTGACACCCTGGAAGCATTCGAGATAGCTAGCCTGGCTGGCCTCCCGTTGCGAGTTTTCTTCTTCGATCGTCTTAACAAGGTGGTTGTACCGCTCCTGGCGATCAGTCTCATCGAGGTAGAGCCACTTGAATAGTTTCTTGGCGCTTTCTTCGCGCTTGTTGATAATACAGTAAACAGGGGACCTGGCGAGCAATTTAGCTGGGATCAATCAATCGGTTCTTTGAAACACATACTCTGGAGCAATGGCGTAAGCGATCGTGACAATCCCACCAACTGCCCACTGGATTGCGAACACAGTACGGAAAGCCTTCTCAGTAATATCGGGAACGAAAATGCGAATGACACCCATGGCCACAGCTTGCATTATAAGAATGAATACCACCATCGCCTGCTGGACAATAGGAACCAGCCTGGGAGGGACAACCTCCGAGGCATAGGTCATACCGCAGGCCATCGACATTCCGATTCCCAATCCTCCCACAATCTTTCCTCCAAGCAACGAAATTCGTGTTTTGGCGGTGTATTGAACTGAAGCGCCAGCCAGGGAAATCAATCCCGCGGTAATGCCTACCCACTTCCGGCCGATGCGATCAGCCAGGAAACCTGTTCCGGTGGCCGAGAGGGCTTGAGCAAGAGCGGACATGGATGTCCAAAGGGCGGTCCATAACGATGGTAAATACAAGCCTGTGGCATCTTTTTCTCCGAAATACATCATGAATGCGGGCATTGAAATCGAAGCGCCGTTGACGATTGTATCGTAACCGAACATGGTTGCTGATGTGAAGGAGACGCAACCTAAATTGGGGTAAGTGATTGATCGTACTCGATGATAGAATAGATCTTACATATCAACAAAGCCCTCCAATGAGTTCTTATTGTGCCTATGAAATTCAACTCATGATCGGATTGAAGGAAGCGCGGTTGCTCTTCCTCCCGCTCGATATGAGACGACGACGACTTTGCACCTTCCATTTTATATAGAGATTGACCAACCACTTCAATAAACCGGTGGGTAATCCCAATATTCAAACGAAAAGTGGCCCATTTTATATGCACGAAGATCTCTAACAGCAGTACGAAAATGGGGAAAGTCCGGGGTGTGCGGCAATTCGCTACATAGAAGGCAAGGTGGACAGTCGGATATTCCGAAAGTGGACATTGGCCCCATTGCCGTGGACAGACTTCCCATTAAAACTCCGAGGGTGGAGTCAAACCCAACCCGGAGCCGGAACTCTCCAGGGTTCTAGAACCGGAACTCCCGAGGGGCTCTAGAACCGGAACTCCCAAGGGGTTCTCGATAGGAGAGATATATATCTCCCAATCTAGACTTTTACAGATCAAGCCGTGGATACGGCACTTCCATCCGAGATGAAATTCACAAATCCAGTCATCCCAGGGTTCGCCCCAGATCCCTCCATCGTCAAAGTCAGAGACAGCTTCTTCATTGTCAATTCTTCCTTCCATGTCTTTCCCGGTCTACCGATCTACGTGTCCAAAAACCTCCAAGATTGGGAATTGAAAGCCCATGCGATCTGTCGTCCATCACAACTAGATCTCTCCCAGGCTTTCACGAAATTGATTCCACTTCCAGGCGGACGAGCGATCCACATAACTGGTGGTCTCTTCGCCGCCACAATCCGGTATCACAAGGGCATCTTCTATGTGATTTGCACAAACGCCTATGAAGACCCCCATGACCACACTCATAAATTCCAAAACTTTTATGTCAGCTGTCCCGAGGAAGGGATCTTCTCAACTACCGGCTGGTCTGATCCGATTTACTTCGACTTCCCGGGCATTGATCCGAGTTTATTCATTGACCCGGACACGAACAGGGCGTACGTGCACGGTTCGTACCGTGCTGGCCCACCCTGGGCCCCTGACTGCTCTATCCGACAGTTTGAGATTGAGCTCGCTACGGGAAAGCCCCTAACAGATATCAAGTTCCTCTGGAAGGGGGCTTCGACAGATGCTGAAGGGCCCCACATGTACAAGAAAGATGACTGGTATTACCTAGTTACTGCTGAAGGGTCTACCTTTGAGGGCCATGAGATCGATATTTCTCGATCGCGAAATATCTGGGGGCCATACGATGGCTATCCTCATAATCCTCTGCTGACGGCGAAAGGGCGGGATACGGATATTAAATGGACTGGCCATGGAGATTTTATTCAAGATGAGGCTGCAAACTGGTTCTGTGTCCATCTGGGAATCCGGTACAATAGTTCTAACCCAAACCGACATCCGCTCGGCCGTGAGACTTTCCTTACGCCTATGCAATGGGAAAAAGGAGAGTGGCCAAAGATCACACAGACCCGGATGCAATTTGAAGTTGACGTCCCTGGGCAGTTTGCCCAGAATCTGATTCCTGTCGACAACCGCAGTGAAAATCGCAACGAGGATCTTTATATTCGCACACCTGACCTTGGGAGGTATATGTACGATGCTGAAAATCATACGTACTCATTACAAGCTTCGCCTTCCGCTCTGTCCACTTCTCTCGGAACGACAACCTTTGTGGGATTAAGGCAACGACAACTAGTCAGCCAAGCGTCAACAACACTATCACTGGCTCAGTTCGATCATATTAACAGTGAAATCAATGCTGGCCTTGCAGTATATAAGGATGACCTTCGTTTCGCTTTAATGGCCTTTAGAAGCAAGTCGCGGGAGTTACTTGTTGAGGTCAAGTCTGTTCTGGACATGAAAGTGGAAAAACGTGTATTGGGAACTAAGAATGTCCCTCGGCATGTCAATGCAATCCATTTGAGGGTCACAGCTGATCCAGATGGGTATTCATTTGAGTCAAAGCTAGGAAAATCGTGGGAAAAAATGGGAAGAATAGATAGTTCGGAGATGTCGGGGTATGATATGACCGGAACGATCTTTGGTATCTGTACTACTAGTACCCAGGAGAGTGGAAAGTATGATGCAAGTGGCGAATGGGTGGCATTTGAGGCGTTTACTGTCGCTTAGGTCACACTAGAATCAGCATATATGTAGATTGGAGGCTGGAATAAAGTTGTTGGCCAAACTATGAGTTTCTTTTTCTTAGCTTATTCTGTAATGGAACAGGGTCGCTACTCGGGTTATTGTCGCATCTTCAGGACCACCTTCATCTACCTATCTGCGCCCCAAATGATTGCTTTCACCCTCAAATCTCCTATAACATATTTTAACTTTCAATATTGATATATGTCCAGATCTCTACACACCTGGATATAAAGGTCTATTAATCGGTGTGTTGACATGTCTGCAGATCTATCTGCCGCTTTGCTTGAATCAGTCCCATCGGAACGATTAGCTACTAGACTTTGACGCTTTACCGGTCCGTGGATATTTATGGAGGGATGGGAGGATGAGAAGCAATGATGTGCGATTAAAGAGGTAACGTACACGGCTAATGGCTGTTGATATAACATGATGTCAAACCAGAAATTGACGGCACTAGACGCAAGATATGCCATCTGCACTCATGAGCTTGTTGATATTCTATCGCGGTGATACATGGGAGTGTTTTGCTCGGATTTGGGGAATTGGGGAAGAGTAACATGCAGAAATATGCATACAAAACCCTACAACCCTAAGTCACTACCATCTAGTCAGAAGAAAGCGACAATAATACAGGAATTGCGGACAGCAAGAGTGAATGACAGACGTGCGTAGCAGAACAGTTCATATATGGTTTGGGCACTTTTTTCCGCAACGTCTCGCGCGCACACGCACATCCTTGTTGACTGGGGACGCGCGTTGGCGCACGCAGTAAGCCCTGAAACGACGTGAAACTCGGGTTCAGAGACGTGAAAACAATTACTGGACGACAAACACCCCTGTAGACACGAAATACGTGAGATATGTGTGAGAAGTATGTTATAGGACGATTGAGGGATTGATTCATAGGGTTTTCTCAATGGCTGTCCTGCTAAAGACCACTCGCAGTAGCAAGAGCGTATGTGTTCTGATCCTCACCTTGCAATGAACCCGAGAATAGTACGTTAGTTTTCCCTGTTCGGGGGCCCAGGTTGTGAAGGACTGAGCTCGAAAGGGTATGGCTCTCTATATTCCAGCGTAGGTAAACAGGTGGACTTGCTTCCTTTCTTTTTCATGGCTAGATACAGATAGTTTCGTGGAAACAATTGAGATTTAGCAGAGTGTGGACCTGTGCAGTGAGGCAAAAAAGTCACAATAAATAGAGGTCTGTTTTTGCTCCACGCTCAGAAAGTAAGGCTTTGACGCAATGGGGCCCGACCCCGCTCCCTATATATATTCGACCTCGGCAAGTCAAGCGGGTGGCAGACCAATTAGACGAAGATTTTAAAAGAGTGCGTAGCAAAAGCATGCAAGTAATGGACAGGAATTCACAGCAAATAAGCAGCAATTATGATACACGGACGCTAGGGTTAAGGAGTCAGCTGGTAGGGTTATGGAGGCAAGAGCCAGTCAACCAGGATAAGAACCGCCCACACTAAACTAAGTTGATAAAATCTTGAAAATCAATCAGAAGAGGGCGTAAGATGAAAAGAAATGAGAAAGTAGCGAATCACAGGCGAGCAGTGGAACGGACTAGCGAATCAGCAACTAGAATTTGCCTAACAGCAACACAATAGGCTGGTGACGCGCGCTTCGCAAGCTTCGCACGCCGGTGCCCTGAAACGAAAGTGAAGAGACTGAAACTAGTGGTAAAATACAAAGAGGGCGTCAAAGGGAAGGTATCGATTACACGAGGCACGGGACACAGAAAAGGTGAAAGTAGTTATGAATGGTACAAGCGCTCATGTAAGAACAATAAAGGTAGCAGAAGTGTATAAAAGGATCATTCCCACAGAGCCGAGCTTCGTCCAGGATCAGCGTAGGAGAACAAGCCAATAGAGCGGAAGGCAATAAAGCTAAACCAAAACAGGAAGTAGTTGAAGGCCAATTGCAAAGGTCAGAAGCCAGAGGAAGCGGCCAATGAGGAAACTCAGTCGGCAGCCAACGAGAAGCGAGGAATCGCCCTAGAATGGGCGAATCAGAGGCAAGCGAAGGTACCAGTTTGGTAGGCCAGCTTTCGCTGCGGCAGACACGTACCTCATGTGTATAGCCGTGGCCGAAATAACCCCATTCACTCGTTCCTCGTTTCAGGGCACAAAGTTTTGACTTCAAGGGTCTTCCCTGCGCGCGGTAGTAAACTCTTCCTCTCACTTCGTTCGTTCCAGGGCATTCCCTGGTAACGATGAATGAGTCATTGTTATAATACCGTAATTTGCCTTATGAATATGATCTAATATTTCTTGCCAAGAGACCAAACAAAGGGGGAATTCCGACAATCTGGCAAGATCCCCATCCTCGTCACCCACATTTGATTTTCTCAACACAGCAGCCTTCGCTTGCCCTCCTTTGACATCCAATAGAAGGCTGCAGTGTCTACATAGAGTACTAACCCTGGTAGACAACGATGCTTTTTCTTCCTATGGCTCTACAATGTCCATGTGTATTCATGTCCCCCAATAAGCCACACAGAAAAATAGGAATTAAAGAGTTTCGCGGACTATGTCAACTGGCCAGGCCTCATTATCAAGTCTCCCTTCTTCCTCGATCGTGGTCACTCGAACATATTTCCTTTGATCAGTCATTTCGTTTGCGTCGTATTCCAAGCTAAGTTACTATATACGAACGCGTTCCGTCTCTATCAAAATTATCTAAGCCAACATCGTATATGTAAGTTGAATTTTAATTTTGACGTAATATGTGCATGGTTATTCGTGTGACTTCGGAAGGCTATCATTGCGGTGTCACCATCGACGTGGGACTCCCATTTCTTCAATTCTTAGTAAAGATGCGCATCACATTTCACCAAATCATCCCGAGCTCTGCCATCGGCCAATGAAGCCAGATCCTATGTGATGCGTTCAGGTAATCATATACTTCACGAATCAATTTCTCAGGGCACTCATTGATCCAGTACGCGGGTTCTCCACGTTTGAAAATGGTACAAGCATATCCGAAGATGATCGACGCAATTTTTGGCAGATCACCGTAGTTATCCGTGAATTGGCACAACCACCCATAGAACCCCAATTTCACCATCTTTGACCACATGGTCAGCTCGTCTAGAGTCCGGAGACAGATTTGCACCGTGCTTAGTGAAGATTCCTTTTGGATATGGCTTGAAAACTCCTGCCAATGCTTTCCATTTCCGCTGGACCAGTTTCAAGGAAGGAACATTGTATCATCGGCTTCAGAACGCCCGATCAGTTGTTGCTATCTTACAGGCAATCCAGAACATACCGTATATGGCGTGTATAGTCACACCATAATGGAGTAATCTCAAATGTACTTCTTGATCATGTAACAATGGATCAAGACTATTGGAGAAAGATGATAAGAAAGAAGATGGATATGCTGAGGACCACGTAACATGACCTTGTCAATGCCACTTATTATGATTAGGGCACCCATATTCCATGTCTCAAGATAATTATGTTTTCATAATATTTCCCAGTGAATGTTCCCGTTTTGAGTGTCACCGTCACCGTCACCGTTGCCTTGTTGGTTTTTGCTGGCGGCACCTTCCACATTAGGCCTGCTTGCTTTACTTTCCCTCCACTTCTCTTCCCTCACTTCGCCTCTTCTTCCTCTTTCTTCCCTTATACCACATGCTCGACCTCACCAATAATTGACACCCTTGATTGTTTCCTACCAAATTCTTCTCCTTTGTTACGCCATCGCATTATCTCAGCATGGCCAGCCACCTTGTCGGCACGGCTGATCTCAACCTCATCGAGGCCCCAGTCACCTGGCATGCCTATCTGATATGTGGCTTTGCCAGCTTTGGAGGTTGGTACTGACATGCTTCTCGATCTTATGTAGCTGGATCTTACTCGTTTCATAGGTATTCTCTATGGCTATGACTCTGGCTACATCTCGGGTGTTCTGGGCATGCCCTATGTCAAGAAGCACTTCGGTCATGCGGTGCCCAAGTCCAAGGATCCGGACGGCTACATCATTTCCACCTCGCGCAAGTCGCTCATCACCTCCATCCTCTCTGCTGGTACCTTTATCGGCGCGTTGATCGGTGGCGGTGCCGCTGAGCGTCTTGGTCGTCGCCTAACCATCATGCTCTCGTGTATGATCTTCTCCTTTGGTGTGGCTGTTCAGGTCGGTACTGTCAACATCGCTGGTCTTGTAGCAGGTCGATTCGTCGCTGGCTTGGGTGTTGGGGGTGTCTCTGCTACTGTCATCCTTTATGTCTCTGAGATCAGTCCTCGCAAGGTCCGCGGGCTGTTGGTTTCTGTCTACCAATGGGCGATCACAATTGGATTACTCGTGGCATCTGGCGTCGATCAAGGCTGCAAAAACCGCCCTGATCGGTCCTCATATCGTATTCCCATTGGAATGCAGTTCATGTGGGCCTTCATTCTCGCCGTTGGACTTTTCTTCCTGCCTGAGTCCCCTCGCTACTACGTCAAATGTGGTCGGATGGAGGATGCCCTCCGTTCCCTGGAGCGAGTTCGTGGTCAGCCCGGAACCAATCCGGCTATTCAAGCGGAACTTGCAGAGATCAAAGCCAACTTCGAGTATGAAAAGCAAATTGCGAGCACTTCCTGGGCCGACTGCTTCAAAGGTGGCATGTCTCGCCGTGGAAATCTTCACCGAGTCATCATGGGAACTTGTTTGCAAATGTTCCAGCAGTGGACTGGTATCAACTTCATCTGTGAGTTTTAACTAAAACATTGTGAGATGTTCCTATAACTAACAAACTTCAAGTCTACTACGGCACCACTTTCTTCCTGCAGGTGGGCATCAAGAATCCCTTCTTGATCTCGACCATCACGGGCGTTGTCAATGTTGCGACTACCCCTGCCTCGTTCTACATGATGGAAAAGTTTGGTCGCCGTAAGCTCCTCATTTATGGTGCCGCTGTCATGTGTGCCTGTGAGTTTATCGTCGCCATCGTTGGCATTGCCGCCAAGGGACAACACGCTGCGTAAGTCAAGGATCAATTCAATATGCAACAATAGTGAGCGGTGAACTGACATTTTTACTACTTTTCACACAGAGAGATCTGTTTGATCGTCTTCACTTGCTTCTACATCGCTGCGTTTGCTACCACCTGGGGTCCTGCTGCGTGGGTCTTCATCGGCGAGATCTATCCACTCCCCATTCGCGCCAAGGGCGTCGCGCTTGCAACAGCCTCAAACTGGCTCTGGAACTGTATCATTGCCGTTATCACCCCATATATCGTGGATGAGGACAAGGGTAATCTGGCAGCCAAGGTCTTCTTCGTCTGGGGCAGCGCTCTCGTTTTGTGCTTCATGTTTGCCTTCTTTGTCGTTCCTGAGACCAAGGGTTTGTCTCTCGAGCAAGTCGACAAGATGCTTGAGGAGTCTACTCCCATGACTAGTGCTAACTGGAAGCCTCATGATACTTTTGCTCATGAAATGGGCATGGTTGATAAGCAGGAGCCTACAGTTAGCCACCTCGAGGAACACCCCTCGCCTGCAGAGCGGCTCGGTCGTTACAATGCGGTTTAGGGCATAACTACCTTGTGAGAAGAATCCAATGACCCTCTTCATCATGGACCGCACTGAGCCTGAGGGCTTAACACAGGAAACAACAGCTTACAGAGAAGAACAAGCAACTAATGGTTTTCCGGGGATGAAGGGTAATGTTTTATCTTTGATAGTGTCTTACAGGCTTAACTCTTTTTTTACCCTTCTGTTAAGCGTATGGATCCCTGTTTGACTGGTTGACCGTTTGAAAAACTTGTTGTAGAAAGTAAAGGACAGTTTGGTATTGATCATTTACATACAAATCCATGAGAAACACAGAGAGAGAGCACTGAGAAAGATTTAAACGCCAGACCCATGCTCTGCCAGAAGCGCCAAAATAAAACCAGACCGAAAGACGTAGCCAGTTTATTCCTCGTCGGAAGCAGCCTCCTTGGACTTGCTCTTCTTCTTTTTCTTCTCCTTGCGCTCGGCAGCATCGTCCACGTCTGCATCCTCTGAATCGCGCTTGCGCTTCTCTTTCTTTTCCTTCTTCTCTTTCTTCTCCTTTTTGTCCTTCTTGTCCTTCTTTTCCTTCTTCTTGCCCTCGGCGTCGGCAGGGAGAGTCTCCTCGGGCGCGATAAAGTCCTTCTCGCGCTCGCGCATCTTCTCGTCGCGCTTCAAGCGTTGACGCTCGACAACCTCCTCCTTCTGCGCGCGATCCTTGGCCTCCTTGGAAAGGAAGTACTCGCCAGACTCGATCTGGAGATCGACCTTGCTCTTCTCGGGCGCGGGCGGGAAGGGCGTATACACCTTCTTCGACTTGTCGGTAACCTGGAACGGGACGCGGCGCTTGGAGAGGGTTCGCTTCTTGAAATTCGGCAGGAAGCGGTCCCAGGACTCGTTGGCCAGAGTTGGGTCCTTGGCCAATTCACGCTTGATCATTAGCTCCTTGATGTGGTAGATTGGGTGGATGTTCGCCATGCAGTCGTCGATGATGCGGCGGACTTCCTTGAGGCCCTTGAACGGGCCCATCACGGAGACGGTGTTACCCTGGACCATGATGTAGGTGCTGGTGAGGAGTTCGAGGGCTTTGAGGGTTGATCCGTTGGGGCCTAGGATTCGCTGGCGTCGCTTGACGAATCGCTCTTTGTTCTGCACTTGGTTGCGGATCTTGACGATGTCGCAGGCCATGTCATCTTGGAGAATCTTGATAGCCTGTGTGACGGGGACGCTACGCGAGAGTAACTTGATCAGGTCGCGCGCTTTCAGGATCGAGGCTGGGTCGTAGGTTTTGCGAGTCGTCTTCACGGCCATGCTTCCCTCCACCAAATCGAGTGTGCAGGCGATACCCTGCTTCTCCAGGGCTTTTGTGATCGTCGGCCATGCTTCCTTCAAGTAACTCTCTCGGTATTTGGGGAACAGGATGACAAAAGAGGACTCTTCGGCGAAGTTTCCGGCGACATTGTCCTCGGGCTTGAACTCAGCGATCTAGGCGCAAAAGGATGGTTAGCTTGTCTGGGGGGGGGTTTTTTTATTTGGTTGCAGAACGATCAAGATTTACCTTCCACTTATCGATATCCTCCGTATCCCATGCCTTTTCCTTATTGTATGTGGAAGGCATTGTGGCGGGTGCTCAAAGTTGTTGGTAGCAGCTCAAATGAAAATCCGCGCGCCAACTTTTTTTCTCCCCGCTTGCCGCCTTGCCCGATTAGGTAAGTACTGATGCCTCGGGGCTCAGGTGTCAAATATTCTAGATCGGGCGAGGCGTGGCTGACAGTTTTGGCGTGCATACTTCACATCGCACAAGGTGGTTTTAACGCATGCTGTATGGCTGGAAATTGGAGGCCCTTTCCCGCCATTTTATTTTGATTGCTCTACACAGCTCTGCCTACAACGGTTATGCTCCACACCAAAACTCCGGGAAATGCAAATGTGCATTTCCCACTAAACAGCCCTGCAGACCACTGGATTTCGGCGAATCGCAAAGCTTGCGATTGGGTGGCTACTATCTTTTTTCGTGTGATGCATTGGGCACTGTTCCCTAGTGTCTACTCGTATGTACTCGTAGCCTCTCCGATGGTCCCTGCCGGAGCCCCTGAAGGGGCAGACCCATAGCACGGGAGCTAGGACCGGTAGCTCTGAAGGTGGGCAGGTCTGGCCTGTGCCGGGAGCTTTTGGTGCCTCGGAGAAGTTCAGGGGGTGAGAGTAGCAAGAGAGAAAGATAGAAATTCAAGTTCCGAATCAAAGCCATCGAATGCCGCATTTCGTATTTCCAGGATCTGGCGGTCGATGCTTGATCTCGCTAGCTTGGGGTGCATTCCATTCCGAACTCTAATAGGGCACTGAAACCCGGCACCCTGGAACGGGGATGTCTGGCCAGAGTAAGGAGACGCCAACGGTGTGTTAGGTGGGTGCTTTGCCCCCAGAAAGCTCGACTTGGGCTCGACCTGGCTTCCTATCCCCCACGGCTCGCCCCCCCGGAATACCTGTGAGGCTGAGGCATGGACCTTTTGTGAGAGTCATACTTTGCTGCTGCTGCTGCTGCTGTTGAGAAGGTACCGATAAAATGATCAGGACTGTAGATCAAATCGGAATGGTCGGGAGGGCGAAGGCACCTCATAGCGTGCCTAGGACCAAGCGCAGGGTAAACAATCCTCGAGCGCGCACCATGGAAACTTGTGTTGTGCCGGGGTGTGTATCGCGCTCCCCCTGCAACCGTTGGGCAGCAATGACAGTAATAGTACTGGTAGTAGTGATGAGTTGAGGTGGAAAACGTGCCCGAATTTGAGTTAAGGTTGAGTTGTGCACATCCAAATCTCGCAGGCGCGAAAGGTCGAGTCCCTCGGTCTCTCCTTCCTTGTCTTCCCGTCAGTCTGGGTCGAACCCCTCCTGCTTTTCTTTGGCTTCTCTTCTCTTTTCCCGTTCTCATCCCAACGTTGGCATCTTCTTTCTCGGCTCTCTCTTTCTCTTCCTTACCACCAAGGGTCAATCTGAGATCTCGGCGTGATATGATATGGTCGGATCAGATCATACCTCTCTCAGGATTCTTCCGTACCGCCTCCCACCCACTCATGAGCGTTGCTCATCTGCTTTCGGCATGCTAAGAGCTTGATTACCCTGATCATTATCTCAAAAGAAAACCTATCAAGGCTCTATCTCACCCGACGTCACATCTGCTATGGCCCAAAATGGTCCTCGGATCTTCCTGGTGATCCTCCCGATCCGCGCGGAACCACATCCGCGACGATCTGCCCAAAGACCCTGATGAGCCTCAAGCACCTATCTTCTCAGAGATCCCGAAGGTACACTCAAATTGGTGGGTTGGAGCTATATCCGGATCATTGCCCGACCCAGTCTGCCTGGGGGGTTGTTTCTGTGCGACCATGTCACTCTGTTATGGCTCGGTCTCTAGGGTTTCTCTTTTACCCTACAAGTGACCCGGAGAGATGCATCCCGCAGCAGGACACTGAAAAAAGCAATGTGGCACTGTTGCCCCACCAAAAGCACGTATGCAATCAAGAACACTTGCTTCACTAACCGTCTTTGCTAATCCAATATGTATATGCTTCTGAAAATGCAAAATATGCAAATGCAAAACGAGCCGAAGCGCCAAGTGATCTGCATGGTGCCCATGGGCATCCTGAGTCTGCAATGATATGTGCAGTGGTCCGTGACAGACCTTCGCTGTTGTATTATATCAACTTCCTTCATGTCTTTCGGCCGATGCAAACGTATCTGCCGAGTCAGTGATTTTCTGAAGACACGTCTCGAGTGGTTGCACTTACAAGGGGAAATATGCCTTGAGAGAGGGATCTTTGGCCTCTTCCTGTGCCTGTTCCACCAATGTGTCGAAGTTCTCAATCGACATGTGCAGTCGTTTCGTGAGAGGGTATAGTGCTAAGGATCGAAGAAGCTTTTGAATATTACCGCTGTTGGCCTGGCCGATATCGCGTGTCCTCTGGTCTGCATTGTGTCAAGACTGCTTCTTCCGAGAAAATCAACGAGTAAGATGGCTTACCATTCTCCCCATGCAGACAATGGAAGTGGAATCATCTTCGTGTCGACCTCTGTCAATCCCGCACTCGTCAACATGTTTCGCAGCCTGGTCCCAATCCGAAGATCCTTTCGGTCCTCTTGTGCGCGCATGTATTGTGTGCTCCATCGTCTCAAGGCATGCTCATCAGTTATTGAACCGTTGTCCGATTGGACATTGAAGTATATTTCGATCATTTGAACCCATCCACCTGGTTTCAGCACCCTGTAAGAGAGTTCAATCATCAGTAACACGGCTATTTCAAATGGAGGTGATTGTTTGGAACTGTCGGCATTTCTGTTGACGCTCACTCTGGGAGTTGTGCGCACCTCACAATGTCGCGGATATAGGTTGGCCATCGAGAATTGTGGATACCGGTCGCAAGAAGTCGAGACTGGACAAGATCGAAGTGGTTCGCGGGGAATGTGAAGTTTCGGTTCAGGTTGTCAACCTACGTACAGTCTCGTCAGCAATTGTCTTCCAGGGGTCACACGTTCCAGGGTCGGCCTAGCATCCATCCACGACATGTGTGCCAGTCATAAGGAATGGAAAGTCAGGCTCGACAGCATAGGCAAGGCAGTGGCACTATCGGCGGATGATGTCGAAGAAAGGTTTGCACTCACTTGAAGCCATAGGTTTTCAGGCACATCGTCAGGGCTCATGTGCGGGGCAATGTCTACGCCAATAACCTTTTGACGCCAACGTATGTTAGGTAACAATGTGAGACTGTGTCGGAAAATATGCTCACTTGACAGTCTGGATACTGTTCTGCGACCTCTACGGCCCATGATGCGGAGCCGTGGCCACAGTCAAGGACCCTTCGTGGTCGTCGAATTGGTGGAAAGATTAGACGGTCATCGAAAATACGCTGAAAGACTCGCTGTTCTTCGTCGAGGCGCTGTGCTTCTTCCTAATCATGCTGTCAGTGATCAAGGGCCTTTTTTGAGACTTCCTTCCTCCCAGCTCCTCTTACATCGTCGACTGGTCCAAAATATACCCGGTGGTCGAT